AGCAACCTTTCCTGGAAAGCTTACAGCAAGCTTTCACGGCAAGCTTGCCCTGGGTGGGACATTTCGCTAGCTCAGACAAGCTTGCAGCAAGCTTGACAAGCTTGCACGGTTAACTTGCCGCAAGCTTGCTGCAAGTTTCCATGCTATCTGGGCTGAAATACAGATTTATAAAATGAGACCGCAATTAGTTTGCATTTGTCCAAAATTAGTATCATATATAGCCGATTTGTAAATTAAATATTAGAATCAATTCGCAGTAGAGGTAAATTAATATAAATCAAAAAATATGAATTTGAAATAAGTTTAGAATCATTTAGAACCGTCTGCGCATTAGTTAATAAATTAGGAATTTGCAGATTTAAAGTTTGGTGTGACAAAAATAGAATTTAGTCTGAAATCAGTTGGTTTAGCCCTAAATACAAATCAGATAAACATTTAATTAGTACGCATTCTAAAATTTTAATTCTAGGAACTGAAATAAAGTTTGAAAATGGAGGCCCAAAAAACAATCGAAATTATAGTTCGCATTCAAAAAAAGAAAAAATTTATCCTAGAAATAGTTTAACCAAAATTTTACTTAAATTTCAAACTGAATTTTGATAAAAAAAAAAAAAAAAAAAAAAAAAAAATTTACTATCCGGAAACAAGGCGATATTGACGTGAATGATTAATATAAAAGGGGATCAGAGAATATGGAAAAGGGATGTGCGCGCAAAATGGAGGTTTTGCTGAGTATGGCGGATAGTATCGTAGGGATATATATTCCTCAACAAAAAATATATATATATATATATATATGCGATGTCATGGTTATGTGTTGTCCGCCTTGTCAATTATATTTCATGCCATCAGTTTGGTGGAATTTTTTTTTTTTTTTTTTTTCGAACGCAACGGAGAGACATCGCTCGATCAATATTTGCGCAGCCGGGACTGGAACCACGTCACTCGACCTTCCAAACACATGTGAATGCGATCGAACATCGCAATGTCATATATATGCGTCTGCGTACATGTATATATGTGCCATCTAAAAAAAAATGCACCAATATTTTTATATTAACTTTTTTTGTTATAACAAAAAAAAAAGAAAAAGCTCCCTTTTTATTAGGCAAACAAAAAATTTTTCAATCATATCCAAAAATTGATGTAAAAAAATAGTATATATATATATCTATACTCTTTTTCTCAAATATAATTTTGACGAGTGTGTGCTATTTCATGGAAATGGTTTTTGAAAAAGATTTATTTTTTTTTTTTATTTTTTTTTGAGATCACGCTAACCAAGATACTGACCGATATGTTTGCTGTAAAAATTATTGTTAGTTTCTTATTCAATAAGACTAGCGAGTAGTCGTCGTCGCACTTGAGCAAAAACCGCAAGTACTCGCAGTATTCACGCTAAATGTCTGTAATGAGTGATTATCTTGGTTAGCCTGGTTAACACGTGGCACCAAGGTAGCGCCAAGTGTACGCCGTATTTACTTACCACGACACGTGCCTCTCTACCATTTACGCAATCAGTACATATTTTTTTTTCTAAATTTTTGTATTTTACTGTTGTAGACATAATTTTTTTTTCTCTTTTAAAAGTCAATCGATATTATAAATTATAGAACGAATTTCTAAAAATATATTTAGTTAATTTTATGGAATTTCATTTGTCATAATTATTTTTGAATTTTTATTTATTCAAATTATATAGTATAGAATTTTGTGGAATTCAAAAAAAAGAAATTAAATGATATATATATATATATATAGGGTATATGAGATTGGTTCATGGTGTTATGAGGTCATATTTTTTTTTTTTCCAACTTTTTTTTCGCTTTGGTCAAGTAAATCGAGGCTTGACGCAACGTCAATCTAGGGACTTTCCAGGATCCGGGCTGTTTGAACGACAAATATTTTGTCGTCAAACTTCTGTCGCGCGGAATGAACGTGTCTATATGTGCAGTGCTAATACAAAGCATTTTGCGGTCGTTTGCTAAAATCAAATTATATCAACTCGTCTCATTTCTAAGTACAATCATATCATCTATATTAATCAAAATAGAATAAATGAATTATATACTTATAATTTAACTGTGTTAATTAACACAAAAATTAGGAAAATAATTCCAAATTAATGTTTGAAACAAAAATTATAATCCAAAAGTATATATAGTTTGGAATTAGTTTATAAGACAAAAAAAATTATTACAAATTTCAATTTATGATTCTAGGACAGAAATTTACAATTCATCGAATTTGTCCGCATTTTTATTTGTACGAATTTTTAAGACGCCGAATTTTTATTTGTCCGAAATTACAAATGCGTGATTAGCGAATTTTCAAAAATTTAATGCACCGCAATTTTTCGGTCATTTGTAATTTCGGAAAAAATTAAAATTCTAATTCGCCGAATTTCAATTTGTCTAAATTTTTATTTGTACGAATTTTTAAGACGCCGAATTTTTATTTGTCCGAAATTACAAATGCGTGATTGGCGAATTTTTAAAAAATTGCACCGCAATTTTTCCGTCATTTATAATTTCGGAAAAAATTAAAATTCTAATTCGCCGAATTTCAATTTGTCTGAATTTTTATTTGTACGAATTTTTTAATGGTAGAATTTTTAAGAAGCCGAATTTTTATTTATCCGCGAAATTACAAATGCGGCTAAAAAAAAAACAATCGACAGAAAGATTTCGTAGCAATTTATCGAAAATTGATAAACTAGAAATTATCAAGTAAATCGTATGATTATATAATTTTTGAAAAATTGCGCGCCATAATCTTTCGGTCATTTGTAATTTCGGGCAAATTAAAATTCCAATACATCGAATTTTAAGTTTTCCAAATTTTTTATTTATACGAATTTTTTTTTAATTGATAGAATTTTTGAAGACGCCGAATAATTCATTTATCCGAAATTATAAATATGGACGAACAATTAATTGACATAATGATTTCGGGGCAATTTTTTGAAATTGACCATTTAAAATTTATCAATTAAATCGTGATTGAGCAATTTTTGAAAAATTTGCGCCAAAAATTTTCTGTCGCGATTATTTGTTCTGCCATTTGAAATTTCGGACAAATTAAAATTCCAATTCGCCAAATTTCAATTTGCCCGAATTTTTATTTGTACGAATTTTTAAGACGCCGAATTTTCATTTGCCCGAAATTATAAATATGAACGGACAATTAATTGACAAGAAAAATTTTGGAGCAATTTTTGTTAAAATTTACCAATGACAAACTTTCTTGATAATATTTCTAATTACTGAATTTTTTAAATCGCACCAAAATATTTCTGTCAATGGTTTTTTCCACCATTTTGTAATTTCGGACAAATTAAAATTCGAATTCATTGAATTTTTTCAAATTTTTTATATTTATACGAATTTTTATTGATAGAATTTTTAAGACGCCGAATTTTCATTTATCCGAAATTATAAATTAACGAACAATTAATTGACAAAAAAGATTTCGGGTCAATTTTTGAATATTGACCAATTAGAAATTATCAATGAAATTGTGATTGGTCAATTTTTGAAAAATTTGCGCAAAAAAATTTTCTGTCAATTGTTTGTTCTGCCATTTGTAATTTTAGACAAATTAAAATTCTAATTCGCCGAATTTCAATTTGTACGAATTTTTTAATAATGGAATTTTTCTAAACTCCAAATTTTCATTTGCCCAAAATTATTATAAATGGATATGAAGAAAACAAATCGACAGAAAAATTACGGTATAATTTTTGAAAATTGACCAATCACGATTTACTTGATAATTTCTAATTGGTAAATTTTTGAAAAAAATTGCGCCGTAATCTTTTTTCTGTCAATTGTTTTTTTTTTGGCCACTTGTAATTCTGTACAAATTAAAATTCCAATTCGCCAAATTTCAATTTGCCCGAATTTTTATTTTTACGAATTTTTAAGACGCCGAATTTTCATTTGCCCGAAATTATAAATATGGACGAACAATTAATTGACAAAAAAGATTTCGGGGCAATTTTTTGAATATTGACCAATTAGAAATTATCTTGATAAATTCTATCAAAAATTCATAGAAAGAATAAAAATTCGTATATAAATTAAAATTCAGTGACTTGGAATTTTCGAAAAATTTTCGATCTTTTCAAAAATTCGATTGATATGTAATTATTTTCGTGTGAAGTGGAATTTTTTTTTTTCACAAATCTTTCAAAAAAAAAAAAAAAAATGGTAGCTACTTTCTGCATTAAATTACACATTTAAAATTAGTGTTGATAAAAAAAATATAATTGTCGATATCAGCAAATATTTGATAGGTCTCGTTAAAAAATTGAAGATTTGATATATATTATCAAAGAAGAAAATCTCGGTGAAGACGCGTGAAATATATTTATCTTTTTGACTAATATATTAAAACGGTAACAAATTGACATTACCAGGTGCAATTGTCCTGCGTTTCAAACACAATGATAAACGAAGTATATATATATATATATGTATACCGGCCGTAAACATTGCTGTGCAATGTGTTGTATCTAGGATTTTGAACTGTCAATACACACAGATAGGAAGCCAAAAGTGAGACACACATATGTTTACCAAATATATACGCCTCTGTCCAAGCTCATACAAACGACACCTATCCATATTTTGCGCGCAGACACACGGTTTATTATATATATATAGCTGAAAATATATGAGTCGATATATAGGCTTTCGATTACCAAAGGCAACATTTCTTATTTACCTCTCAAATATTGAGTCATAATATTTTTTTATTTAAATCTTCCTTGTGTACAGAATCACTCAAAATAGGTATAATATGTATATCTTTTGATTGTTCTTCTTTATACTCGTAAAAAAAAAAAATATTAATCTCAATCAAACTTGAGATAATTTTATTTAGAGTGAGAAAAAAAAATTGTTTTTATTTAGATATTATAATGTTTGAAAATTAAAAAACAAATTTCTGAATTTGAAAAAAATGATAATTTGTAAATTTTATTTAATTTTTTCTAGGAAAGTCATCATCATCATCATCCGGTTTTGTCATTATACGAGAGACGCGGAGAAGATGTTTTTAGCGCAAAATGCGTTTTCTTTTTTTTCGTCGTATCTTCGAAGACTGAAAGACGTACCTATATAGTATAGTTAATTAAGTGCTAACAAGGAGTGACCAAGTAAAATTTTACAGAATGACTATATTTATATAAAAATAATTTCTTTTTCCTTGTCTATTTTTTAAATCAATTTTTTAAATCAATTTTTTAATTCAATTTTTAATATTGCAAATTAATTGTAATAAATATTATATGAATTTTAACATTGACTGTACTTGTAGATGGCTTCGAGGACCGAGGAGGAGCTAGTGTGAAATCGTCGAAAACTCATACGGGACAGGTATGAAGTCACAAGCGGCATCGAGTGCCGTTCAAGGAGGAAATCTTGTTCTCTTCGTAACGGGACACACTATGAACCCAAAGGAAAAGACGCAAAAAGAAGGAGAGAGAGAGAGAGAGAGAGATATGATTCTCGACGGAGAAGAAAAAAAAAAGCTTGGAGCAAGAGAGAGCGCGGACGACGGGAGCCAAGCGAAAAGAGGCAAATTAAAATTCATGAACGTTTCGAGCGCTGTTGAATTAAAATTCATGGTGAAATTATCGCTAGCTCCTTGAAAACAAAAGAGAACAGACTTATAGTAAGTACCTTCTATGAATTATTTCTTTGGTGATAACTTATATTTCAAACCATCACTATTTTACCATTTTTTTTTTCTATTTTGCAAAAATTCGGAAATTCTATTTAAAAATTCTTTTACACAAAAAATTTGGCTAAATATAGAAATTTTGAAAAGAATTATATATAGAAAATAGAAAATTAAATAAAAAATTTTGGCAAAATATAATAAAACTGCTTTTTAAAATTTTTCAAAGGTATGCAATGATTATCCCATAAAAAATTATTAGTGAGAATTTTCAAATTTTTTTAAATTTTTTACACGAATTTTCATTTTTTGAATTAACATTTGTCGGAATTAATTTTTTCAAAGAATTTTTAATTAATAGAAATTTTTAGGTATATAATTTTGATTTTATAGAATTTTTAATACGCCAAATTTTCATTTGCCCGAAATTATAAATATGGACCAACAATTAATCGACATAAAGAATTCGGGGCAATTTTTTGAAAATTTACTAATTAAAAATTATCAATTAAATCGTGATTGGTCAATTTTTGAGCGCAAAAAAATTTTCTGTCGATTGTTTGTTCCGCCATTTGTAATTTTGGACAAATTAAAATTCCAATTCACCAAATTTCAATTTGCCCGAATTTTTATTTGTACGAATTTTTATTTGTACGAATTTTCATTTGCCCGAAATTATAAATGGACGAACAATTAATTGACATAAAGATTTCGGGGCAATTTTTTGAAAATTGACCAATTAAAAATTATCAATTAAATCGTGATTGGTCAATTTCTGAAAAATTTGCGCAAAAAAATTTTCTGTCGATTGTTTGTTCTGCCATTTGTAATTTTGAACAAATTAAAATTCTAATTCGCCGAATTTCAATTTGTACGAATTTTTTAATAATGGAATTTTTTCTAAACTCCAAATTTTCATTTGCCCAAAATTATTATAAATGGATAAAAGAAACAATCGACAGAAAAATTTCGGTATAATTTTTGAAAAATTGACCAATCACGATTTTCTTGATAATTTCTAATTGGTAAAAATTTTTGAAAAAATTCCGCCGTAATCTTTTTTCTGTCAATTGTTTTTTCGTCTACTTGAAATTTTGGACAAATTAAATTTCCAATTCGCCAAATTTCAATTTGCCCGAATTTTCATTTGTACGAATTTTTTTCTTTTTTTTCCATTTTGCAAAAATTCAAAAATTCTATTTAAAAATTCTTTTACACAAAAAATTTAGCTAAATATAGTAATTTTGAGAAGAATTATATATAGAAAATAGAAGATTTAAATAAAAAATTTTGGTATTTATAATAAAACTGCTTTTTAAAATTTTTCAAAGGTATGCAATGATTATTTCATAAAAAATTATTAGTGAGAATTTTCAAATTTTTTTAAATTTTTTACACGAATTTTCAGTTTTTGAATTAACATTTGTCGGAATTACTTTTTTCAAAGAATTTTTAATTAACAGAAATTTTTAGGTGCATAATTTTGATTTTATAGAATTCTTAAAACGATGAATTTTTATTTGTCCGAAATTACAAATTGCGGAAAAAAAACAATCGATTTTCGCCGCAATTTTTAAAATCCCACCAATCACGATTTTTTTTTTCGACAACTTTTGATTGGTGGATTTTAAATATCGCGGCAAAATTTTTCTATGTCGATTGTTTATTCCGCGAATTAAAAATTCGGCGTTTTGAAAATTCTAATAAAAATTCTTGTTGAGTAAATATTTATTTAAAAAGAAATTCTGTACAAATTTTAATTCGAAAAATAAAAATTCGTCTAAAAAATAATTATTTCTAATAAAATTCTTTAAAATAAAAATTTTAACTAATGATTTTTATGAGATAATCATGCGCACTTTCCAAATACTATGGAAATTTGATTCTGAAAGGAATTTAGTAAATATATAATAATATAATAATATAATAATTCCATACAATGGAAATTTCATGACCTTTTTGGGGATAATAATTTTTTTTTTTTTATTCCGCTAAAGAATGATAAACTTTTTTTTTCCAAAGAGAAGGGAGATATAAATTTATTAGCTACGCGGTTTAACCCTATGACCCTAAACAAAAATGGGGCGATTCAATTTTTATCATGATTGTGTATCGAAAAACAATTGAGAAGATTTTGGAGAGTTTATATACCCCATGATATTTCATTTGGATCTCACTTTTGCCCGGCGGCGTAAAATGTGGTTCCTGACTGGAATGTCGTCGTGTATATATACATATAGTAAACGCGAGCAAATCAGGGGTAAGCTTGAGCGACAGGACGGCTTAGGGGACCCCCTAGCTATATATATATATATGTGTGGGCACAAGGGAGTGGTTGCATTAAATACAAGCGTACCATATAGGGAAATATGCACGATGGTTATTGTACTTGCACCCTCTCTCTGTCTTTTACGAACCTGCAATGACGAGAGCAAAAGGCTCAAAATAATACCAGCTAAATGCTACATATTGCTTGGTTTGTCACGAATTTATATTCGGATTTGAATGCCGATTTCAATCTCTGATCCCCCGCTCACAAATATATACGATAACTTTTAATATATCTCAAATGCGAGGAGTTTTTCCTGTTTTTCGAAAATGTTGATGTATATATTTAGATTTAGGGTGTGTTTAGGAAAATTATTTTCTGCTTTAGTGGAAATTTATATAATAAATTTATTTCCCAGGTTCAATTGGGTTTGATAAATATTTTTCCAATAGAAAATTTTTTCTTTTTTTTAGAAAATAAAAATTTTCATACAATTAACATCTAAAATATATTTGTGACGAATAATTTTTTTTTTTTTTTTTTTGGAGAAATAAAATTAAATTTTTAATGAGTATATATATATGAAAAATAAACTTTCGAACAAATGAAAAATTCTGATGAATTAAATTTTTTGTGAAAGTGAAAATTTTAATTGAATAAAAATTTAGATTTACACATTTTTTAATTGAAAAATTTTGATGATTAAAATTTGGATAAAAGGAAAAATATATAATGAAATGTTCGAAAAATTATGGATAAATGAAATTTTGTGAAAGATAAAATTCGAATGAATGAAAATTGGGAAAAATGAAATTTTAAAAAAGAGAAAATTCGAATATATGCGGAAATTTAAATAAGTATGAAATTTTTCTAAATGAAGAAAATTCTTTTAATTGAAAATTTTTTTGAGATTATAAATGAAAATTCAGAGAAATTTGAAATTAAGAAAAGAAAATTGAAAAATATTAAAAACTATATTTCACCATGAAAAAATATAATTTAATTTTTATAATATATACAGTGATTGCACGTGTCATTTTCAGTATCTTCTCTTTTTTTCTCTCCTTAATATTATTATATTAATATCTATATATATGGTTGCAATACCCACAAGTCCTTGAGAATTTGATGTAAAACCGCAGCTTGGTGTGACATGAAATTATTTCTAGTACTCTTGTGATCAACATACGTAACATTACTCCAATGTTGTATTCGAATATGTATATATATATATTGAGAGCCGAAACTTGATGGCGAACGGAAAAGAGATGAACGTCCCACGTGGCTATTCGAGTACTCTCAACGTCATTTTGCTACCAGAAGTGTCGTCTCTCTCGGACCCTTTTCATTCACGAAATTACGAAAAGCCCAGGCGTTACTTTCAATTTCTGTTTCTAGTTTCTTTTTTTTTTAATTCCTCTCTCGTTTTCTTTTTATGTAAAATTTTTTTTTTCTTCGTAAATTAACGAAAAAAAAAAATCTAAACATGTTTTGTATTTTTTTTTCGCGCTTCTTGTTAAGGAAGTAGTAGAAAATATTTTTAACTTGAGCTAAAAAAAAAAAAAAAAAAAATCTACGTTGAAAGTGTGAGATTTCATTTTGTATATATATAATAAAAATTTAAATAACAGGAAAACTATAAACACGTGCGCGCGCTATGAAAATTGTTGATTATGTGCGAGAAATATATAGATATATATAGGAATAAATGTGTAAATGCAGCTTGTACAGTACATCCTCACCTAGCTGCACAATCAGACAGAGAAGTGAGGCTGTATTTGGTATTGTGAATGTTGACTCGGAGTATATTTGTCTAGCAATGGAGGAGAAGCGAAGCAAGCAAGGGTATGGTCGACTCAAATATTGTGCTGTTTCATTCAGCTTCACGACGATCATAGACACATTATATATCTCGCGACATTTTGTATATATATATATATATATATATATATATATATATAAAAAGACATATTATCATCTCTTCAATTTGCAAAACAAATGAAAAAAAAGAGCAAAAAAAAATTAAAAATAATTTACTCTTTTTTTTCAATGATAATATATATTTTTAAAAAAGAAAATAATTTTATAACTTTAGTAATATTGATTTTTAATTAACCGAATTATTGTTTAATGAAATTTGTATTTAACAGAATTCATATATTGAACCAAATTTTCGTAACGAAGAATTTTTATTTCACCGAATTTTAATTTAGCAAAATTTTCATTTAACATAATTTTTATCCAACTGAATTATATATAATTAACTGACTTTTTTTTTGAAGAACTTTCATTTAGCCGAATTCTTATATATGTATAAAATATATTGAACCAAATTTTCGTAAGGAATCCGAATTGTAATTTAATAAAAAATTTTCATTTAACAGAGTTTGATTTTTCAGCGAATTCCAATTTTTAAAAATTTTTATTTTAATGAATAAAAGAATTTTTAATTTAATTAAATCAATATAATTTTTTATTTATAACTAAATTTTCATATTAAGAAATTTTTAATTCAATCGAATTTTTATTCAAGAAAAATTTTATTTGATTAAATTTTTATTTAGCACAATATTTAACAGAATTTCTAAGTAGAAAGTAAAAAATTTTTGTTATAAATTGAGAAATTGTGCTAAATGAAAATTTGTTGAAATAATAAAATAATAATAGGAAATTAAATTAAAAATAATAAATAAATAATAAAAATTTGTATTAAATGGAAATTTTGTTAAATAGGAAAATTTATAAAAATAATTTTATAAATGTAATATGATAAATTATTTAAAAAAAACAAAATTTTTTTTAGGAAAAACAAAAATATGGAGGAAATTTTGGATTGTACACCAAATTCTATATATATATAATGAGAGAGAGTGGGACGAAGGAATCTTGAAATAAACGCAAATTGGAAAATATCGACTTATTGGAGTGAAATTTTCAAACTATATTAAATTCTAAAAATAGTCAATACTAGAGGAAAGGATTTTTTCATCATATGCGTGAGTATTATTATATTTCTTTCTATAAAGAAATTTCCAATATATTCTTTTTTGATGAAAAAAAAAGAAATAAATTTGGAGAATTTAAAAAAAAATTTGAGGAAATTTTAAGAATTCCAAAAAGCTTTTTGGAATTTTTTTTTAGAAAAGATTGAAAATTAAATGAAAAGAAAATTCAATTGAATATGAATTGTCTTTGAGAAAATATAAATGGAGGATATATAAGGGGCAATAAAAAAGGAATTAAATTTATATATTGAGAGAGAGAAAGAGGCGTGTCGTCGTCGCTATATACAAGAAATTGAGATCTTCATCATCATTCTCCTCTCTCTCTCTCTCTCTTTCTCTGTGCTCTAAATTAAGGGAAGCGGGTTTCCGAGAAGCTCCGCGGGGATCTAATTATCAGTTTGGGAGAACTTTCGAAATTAATAAAACTAGCTGCCCGCACACCGCTACCCACCTCATCCTGTCCGCGTCTTTTCCGTTATATTACTCTCGGAAGTAAAATCCAAGTTCCTTGCAGGAGAAAGAGAACGTATATATATATATATATATATATATAAAGGAAGCTTCAAGGAGCTTGAATTGAAGGGTGGAAAAGTGTGGGTAGAGAAGAAAGTTGAGAGAAAGTAAAGGATAGTGAATCTTGCTAAAACGTGTTGGAGCCCAGGAGAAAGCTCGTTTTATAGGAGTTGCGGGGGCAAAGCAAAGTAAGAGAGAGAGAGAGAGAACTAACTCGAATCCAGAATTTGCCAGTCTAATGCCACTGAACTGAAACTCCACCCTCGAACTCCCCTTGAAAGTTTGCGGGGTTCAACTCGCTTCAGACTTCTCAAGACTTGTCTCTTCGAACTCCTTCTTGCCGCCACCATATCTTCGCGTCGACGTCTTGCTACTGTCACCAGCACTTTCCCGATAATTTGGCCGCTCTTTCAATTTCGACATGGCCCCAGGGATCGGTCTCAACATTCACGTCACAATTCCCTGCGAGAAATTTCACAGGTCTCTCGCATATATTAGATAGAAATTAAAATATGCTTCTATATTATATTCGAATCGATAAAATTCAATTACATTAAATTTCATTATATTATTATATTATATAAAAATCAAATTCTTTCCAAATACAATTTTATATCGAGAGAGGGATACAATTATTTACTATTGAATTTTTAATCGAATTCAATAATTTATGTTTTTTCCGAAATTTTATTTATTATTAATTCGAAAAATAAAAATTCGTCTAAAAAATTATATATATCTAATAAAATTGTTAAAATGATTTTTATCATGAATCATGTGCCTCGAATTTTCGAAATTTCTGAATTTATCGAAATTTTCATTTCGCATCTTTAAAACAAATTTCGATTTATCCAATTTTTTTGCTTTATATATACAGTCCAATAATTAAAAATAAATATTTTTCGCATAGGGTTCGTTTTTTTTAAAAAAAGACTTTTGGCAAATATTTTATTTGGCACTTGTGTCTTTTGAATAAATATATATATATATATATATATATTTAATATTATATTAAGAAATCAAACTCCGACTAATTTAAAAAGTTATTCGGAAGCGCGGTGAATAAATACATTATACTTAATTGGCGTATAAATTTATGTATGTATATACATACTCAACTCCTTTATATATACATATAAACTTGTAGCTAATCTGTATGATTTGTCCTAAGCAATTGGAATTAGGCCGTAGAAATGTACACATTTGCCAGTTGTGTGTGTATATATATATACTCGCGCGACGACGGCGGCGGCGGGTTGAAATCGTGTCCACAAACGCGATTCGCTTTGCTCTTTCGCCATATGTAATCCTCATTTTACGAGATAAAACGGGGATACCGTATATAGTGCAATCCCCGATACTCAGATTAAATACTGTTTGTTTAATCGAACTACTGAACATAAATTTCACGCAATTTGTATATATATATATTTCTCTTTCGATATACGTGTTGATTAATAATATATGTAATGCTTTTATTTTTCCACCAAATATCTCCTTTTTATTGACTCACAAGTTTAATTCTTATTTATTTGCTTTTCTATTTTAAAAAAATAACTGACTTTAACGATGTTAAGTTTATTAAATATATTTTCATTTATCAAAAAAAGAATTACAAAACAATATGTAAAAATAAAAATAATAGAATTTTTTTTCTCAACAAAAATAATGTTGAAATTTTGATAGAAAATATATTAAATGGAAATTTAGTGAATTAAGAAAAAAAAAAATTGGGCTAAATTAAAAAAAAAGGCTTAGAACAAAATTAAATATTGCAAAAACAGTTTTCTTTGAATTTCTCATTTTATTTTACATTATTTTTACAAAAAAAATATTTTCATAGTATCAATATTAGAATTAATTACAAATGTATATTTTTGAAAAGTTAAAAAATTCCCTTCTATACTTATTTTTTTTTTCCCCTCTCCAAACTCTATTTAAGCCGGCAAGCCCTTGGAATTAAGTTACGATCGAATTTCATGAAAGGCGGAGCTTTCAAGAGCCAACCAAAATCCTCAGATCAAATTTCCTATCTCTAATGGGCTCTTCATTTTCCATTCATCTGACAATTTCTTTTTTTTTCTTTTTTCTAAACTGTAAAAAGAAAGGTAAATAAAGTCAAATATATTTATATAGAAATTTTAATGATAATCGTTGCGCTGAATAAAAAAAGGAAAAAAAAATTTGTATTTTGGCATTAATTTTGTTTTTTTTTTTTTAGATTTTAGAAGCTCTTTAGAAGATTTTCTAATATATATATAGAAAAGGCAATATCGTGAATTTACGCTCAACGAAGCGCAATTCGTGTTTCTCGTCTTCCGTCTTCTTTCCCTTTTAGTTTTCCCTCTTCGTACACCATCTCATTCTTACTTTCTTTTTTTTCTTCATCCCTCTTGATATTTCCCAAAGCAACATACCGATTTCGACGAGCATTCGCATCCCACGGGACTTTCCTTCGGCTACAATTCCAAACCAAGCGAAACCCTCTTTTATATATATATATATATATATATAGCGAGCGAAACGTTCCCAAAAGAGGAATGAGAGAAAACTCTCTCTCTTTCTCTTCTTCTCTTTCTCGCAAATCGAGGATTTCCTGATTCGTCTATCTTTTTTTTTTTTGTTCGAAAATTGCAAAATGTCTTGTTTTCAATTCAATAAGTGCGCGTTAGAAAATTTTTTATACCAAATAATTAAAAATTTTATATTAATTTTTTTTTCTTCTATAGAATTTTTGTTGCTTTTCACATATATACAAAATTTTAATTTAAATTCCACTTTAAATCAAATTTATATGTATAATATAATTTTTTTTGATTGATCCCCAAAAACAAATTCCAATCAAATTTAACTGAATTTGCATTTAGCTGAATTAAAATTTCACAAAATTTTTTTTTAAAAAAATTGTGGCTAAATAATAATTTGATTAATTGCAAAAATTATGCGATTAAATCAAAATTGAAAATTCATATTATAACACTGGGGAAAAAAAAGTTTATTTGATTCATATAATCGGTTACTTTTTGACTATATATATTATCAAATAAATATATATATTTATTTTTATCAAATAATTATTTATTTCTATAGCAAATATAATTATTATTTAATTCAATTAAATTTTATTTCTTTTAAATATACAAAAATTATTTATTCAAAATATACAATTTATTTATAATTCAAATAAAAATTATATTTGGTTTAAAAGTAAATATTTATTTGATAATATATAGTCATAAGTATATAAACAATATTATTTGAATCAAATAAACTTTTTTTTTTCACTGTACAAATTTCTATAAATGTAAATTAAGTCCCATGAATATTCGGACAATTTGAATCTGAATTGGCTAAATGAAAATTTTGTTTAAAAAAATTCTATAATTATTTTGATCAAAATTCGATTCAAAAAGGTGTAAAATTCGAGGAAAAATAAAAAAAAAGAATGAACCAAGTTAAAAATAAAGAATAAATGAAAGGTGAATAAAAATGAGATTCTAATAAATATGACATGACTCCATAAATATTGAATATATGTATATATAAAATAAATGTGTATATATATATATGCGTTTGCATTGCAGCACGCTTTCAAGATACAGAGGAGGCGCATAGAAAGAACAGAATGCCCGTAAAAACAGGGCCGACAGCTGAGTGTACATAAGGGGGGGCTTCTCTTTTGCCTAACTCGCCGCTTCTTAGTTTTCTCGTATGTTATATCATTTCCCCCCTCCCCCCCCCCTATTTTTTTTCTCAATGGCACTAAACTCACTTTTAGTCTCTATACCTTTATCTCTTTCTCTGTCTCTCTCTTTTTACCGTCAACATTTCAAATCTACCCCATAATGTACCCCTACCTATATTTCCTCTCCCCTTCCTCCCCCTCTCACCCCCTTCGAAGCCATCATGCCTATTGCACCTCTGGACCTATGCAAACATCATGGTATTCATTGGCTGACATATATGTGTACCTATATATATATATACGAGAACGTGTCCGTATGATTTAATGGATATAAGAAACGTTACGGGATTTTTCGATTAATCGCGCTTGACTCGAAAACCAGCAGCATTTTATTTTTATTTTCTCTCTCTCTATATATATATAAAAAAAAATATTTTTAAATTAAAGAAAATTTATTATTAAATTACAAAAAAGGAAATTCCAAGAATAAATCGAATTTTCAATTTTAATTAAAATTTAGATTTTTTTTTAAACCGAAAAACATATATATTACTAAATTTCGTCATTTAGCTAAATTTCACACAATTTTCATATATAGATGACAAATTAAAATTCGGTTAAAAAATTTTGCTAAAATTAGAGAATTAAATTGTAGAAGTAAACAAAATTGATTTTATTAAAGTCAAAAAAATTTGGACAAAAATTTTTGGTTTATTAATAATTATTGTTAATCGAAATTTTTGAATAGGAAAATTAATTATTAAATATAAATAAAGAATTTAAAAATTGAAAATTATGTACACTGAAAAAAAAAATTTATTTGAATCAAATATAATCTACCAATAATTTCTGTATTTGAAACAAATACCATTTAATTGATTCAAAAATAATTATTTGTTACAAAAAAATATTTTTTTATTAATAGTCAATTAACTGATTATTTGAATAAAATAAATTTTTTTATATGAGTCTTTGCAATATGGTGAATATATATATAAAGATCGTAGAATCAACCGGCGTATAGGAAATAAAATTCTCCTTTCCCCTCATGATAAAATTCCCTTGGGTGAACCCCGAACGCTTATTCGTGCAGAGACCAATAAGATCACCCCCAATCCTTCAATCCTCAGGGTAAGAATCATTCCCTCTGAGAGTAAAGTTTCAGATCTTTTTCCAAATGGCTGCTCATCCTCGTCTCCATCATATATATATATATATACTCTCACATAGGAAATCGCGGTTCAGATTGAATGTTCAAATATGGCTACTCAAAATAAATATACCAAGATCTGAGAGATTTTTTTCTTATTCACAATTTTTTTTTTTATTATTTTTCAATGATTAAAATTTTACTTTTCTTTTCTTTAGCCGAATAGCCGCAATATATATATTTATATTTATAAATTTAACTGAAATGGCGTCTGGTCAAATTTTCATTTAGCCAAATTTTGAGTTTGAATTTTCATTTATCCATATAATTCTATCCACACTTGAAATATTTATGGTCTAATTTATACTAGTTTGATCAAATTTGCTCAATGACAAAAAATAGTATTTTCGACTAAATGAAAATTCGCGGAGTTAAATGAAAATAAAATTTATACTTATTTTTTCTATTTGTTAGTTTATTTTTTAAATTTTTTATTCAATAACTTAAATAGTAAAAATATTGGAATATATTTATTTACAAAATTAAAATTTTGTTATTCGATGTATTTGAAATTTTAATAAAACATTCCAATATTTATGTATGTATGATTAATTTTTTTTTTTATTATTATTATTATATTTTTTTCAGGGACTTTTTGAAGAAGGAAGGAATTTTTTTTTTTTGAAGAAAGAATTTTATCCTGTTTGGCATGATTTTTAATAAACACACACACACACACAGGGAAATATTCAAACATATATGCAACCAGATGTACTGTAGACCTGTATATATACTTGACTCGTTGTTCATGAAGTACTTTACGGGGGCTTATCGGGAGCACTTCGTACATAAAACTGACGGATGGACAGGTCCTCACACAGAGAGAATCGAACACCATATATTACAACTGAGCGCGGAGAAACGAAACGAACTCAAATGCGAGAACAAAGCTATATACGCCATTGTTTTGTACCGTCAATAATCCACTTGCCCTGACTTCGAGGACCGACTGCATCATCGGAGCGGGTGGTTGACTCAATTGCGCCAAAGAGCAAAAAGAAGAAAAAAGGCTGTTTTCTACCCAAAAAAAAAAAAAAAAAAAATATCTCACTCACACGTAAGACAATTTATTTTATTTCAATTGATATTTTTATTGGAGGACGCATGATTATATATGTTCTAAAAATCATTAGTCATAATTTACATTTTATCGAATTTTATTTCTCCTATAATTAGTTTTGAGCCGAATTTTTATTTGTTTAAATTAGTATTTTGCATAATTTTCATCAATCCGATTTTATATATTGCAGAATTTTTATATAACCGAAAATTGGCGGTCTTACTTTACAAAATTTTTAATTCTTCGAATTTTTATTTGCTTGAATTTTCATTTAACATAATAGGCATATTTTAAAGAATTTTTATTGGGTAGAATTTCATAATTGAATAGAATTCTCATTTGTTCGAATTATTATTTGATATAATTTCCGCATATAATCGATTTTTCATATACTACAGAATTTTTATATTTAACCAAAAAATCATTTAATAGAATTTCTAATTGATATAAAATTTTCATTTGTCCGAATTTTCAAATGGCCGAACAAACAATCGACAGAAAGATTTTGGCGCGATTTTTAAAATCATCAGCCAATCACAATTTTATGCGGATAATTTTTGATTGGTTGATTTTAAAAATCGCGCCGAAATCTTTCTGTCGATTGTTTGTTCGGCCATTTGAAAATTCGGACAAATGAAAATTTTATATCAATTAGAAATTCTATTAAATGATTTTTCGCGGTTAAGTATATAAAAATTCTGTAGTATATGAAAAATCGATTATATACGGAAATTATATATCAAATAATAATTCGAACAAATGAAAATTCATCTGAATGAAAATTCTATTTAATTATGAAATACTATCAAATAAAAATTCTTTAAAATGACTATTATGTTAAATGAAAATTCGAGCAAATAAAAATTCGAAGAAATAAAAATTTTGTGAAGTGAATTTTCGATTATATAAAAATTCTGCAATATAGAAAATCGGATTGATGAAAATTATGTATAAAATACTAATTCGAACAAATAAAAATTCGGCTCAAAATTAATTAGGAGAAATAAAATTCAATAAAATGTAAATTATGCGACTAATTATTTTTAGAACATATATATAATCATGCGTACCTTTTTTTTCCGCACAAAATAATGAATTAACGAATTTATGGAATTATCTATATATCGTTTTTATTTAGACAAATTCAATAATTTAGACCTTCGAATTAATTTAGAAATTCGAAATTGATTGAATTTTCATTTAATTTCTAATTTCTAAATAACTTTTATCCGAATTTGCGCAATTGAACAAAAATTTTGACAAATATTTTTCACAATTAACTGAATTTAAACTGACAATTCAATTTATTGAATGAAAACAAATATTCCTGATAAAAATTGTAAATCATGATTTTTGATAGACGAATTTAAGGCGTGAAACTAATATAAAGTTTATGGTGTTTAGAATTTTGGTGCTATGTAGAAAGGTGACTGAATCAAAGTTTGTGCTTTGAGAGCCATACAGTTGTAAATGAGGGATACCCTTTTCCGGTTTTGTATATATATATATATATAGATAGGAGATGCTTGGGCTTAAAGTCCTAGCAATTGGTATCGAATTTCCCAGGGAAGGAATCAAAGCGTCGGCAATCAAATGATTAAAGGCAACTTCGCATGACCGGACAGGATAGCGCGCGAAATTCCCGACGGAAATCAGAGTCGTTGGCCATTCAACCCCCCTTTTCCTCCTCTCTCTCTCTCATACCTCTTGGTACAACATATAGGACGACAGAAGTCCTCTCTGCTTCCAACCCTTGTGAACAACCAGGGCTTTGCAGTCACCCACACTAGGGTTGGCTCCTGCTACACACTCTCTGCTTCTAAGCTCTCTAGCGTCTCGCATATCCCTCTTGGCAAACACAAGCTCTAGTCTTTGCTGCTTGCAGCATTGAATCCCGGGAATGTACCGGGTGCGGTCAAACCTGATTTATTGAAGATTTTTGTCTTCTATTGCGAACAAAAAGAAAAATATAACATATATTCTTCAATTCAAAAAATATTATTGATTTCTATATTCAGGGCCTCGGATTATATACGCAACTTTTTCCTATATACTTTTTTTCTTCAAAAATACTATATTTTTCGAATTATTTTCTAAAAGAAACGACTTTCTTTATATTTTAATTATTTAACCATTTTTTTTTTACCACGAATTTTCATTTAACCAAAAAAATTGACAAAATTTCGACTTCATTTTGAAATTTTTTTCTTTGACCGTATTTTCAATTGACAGAATTAGTATAATTATTATCAAACAATCGAATTTTGATTTAGTCATTGACCGAATTTTAATTTTTTTTATACCAAATAGAAATAAATTTGGTTTAATTAGATTAATTTTAATTAAATATATATAGAAACAAATATTTTGCTCTGCAAAAAATTCGGTTAAATAAAAATGTTTACAGTTTTAAATCGAATAAAATAACAAATTAAAATTCTGTTTAAATTTATCAAAATGAAAATTTAGACAAATAAAATTTAGAAGAAAAATATTAATTATAAAAATTCGAATTAAATTGTGGATAAATGAAAATATTGTTTTAATTTCTTTTGAACTGAAAATACTGTTAATTTCCTTTTTTTTCTCAGCAAAGAAAAATTTTCGTTTTTATATTTAAAAAAAAAAAAAATTTTTTTTCCTTTCTCACGTCCTGAATAATCTACTAGCTTCACATTAACACTTTCAATTTAATTTCTTTTACGACTAACTTCCGGTTGAAAAACTTTTACGATTGACGTGAACAAATATATATTCTAAATTAAAAAAATGATCCAACTTTAAGAAATATTTTTTTTTGTCTAAATTAATAATTTTTAAATTAAATTATTATCTGTGATGTGAAAAAAGAAATGGTACAAAAATCGGTTCTTATTTATAGTCTCTTAAAATCGCATAATATCAATCAAGGTTTGACTAAAAAAGAAATTCTCAAATTATTACAAGAAAAATATGATTTCTCACCGGGAAAAACAATTCGTCAACAAATTGACATTGCTCTTCGTAGGGGGATAGATTTTGGAATTGTAATGAAAAAAAATGATAAATACAAGTTTGTACTTTATATATTTCTATAAATATATGTTTCTATGAGTTAAAAATTTTTTTTTTTTAATCTAAAGATTTGTTACACGTTCATGGAAAAGGAAACAAATTCCAAAATGTAAAAAATGTTCATCAAATCGTAAAGGAAAAACTACAAGATCAGTAAATACTCCCAATAAACGGCCACCTGAAGTGCCAAATCCAACAGTTCCAAATTTACCAAATTTGAATCCTATAAGACGTGACATACGTCAAGAACCATTTGCAAAACTTGTGAAACATCATAAAACAAAAAAGAAACATTAAAAAAAATTATTTCTTTAATTTTTAAATTTTTATTTATTTATAAAAAATTGATTTTATCAATATATTTTTATATTGAAATAGTTTTAGGAAAATGGAAAATTCTTTAATTTATTTTCAAAAAAAAAAAAAAAAATATCATTTACCATAAATTTGTTCCCATAAAATTTCTTTTTATCCATATGTGTGAGATATATAATATAGATAAATATCCCGTTAAGTGAGACTATATAGTTAATTTTGAATTTCTTTTTGGTTCCAGAGATAATTTTTGATAGGTTTCTCGATTCTTTGCCGTTCAGCAGCTACCGATGGTCATTTATCGCCGATTTTCTAGCCTTTTATATATCTCTTCTATAGTTGAACGTAATACACATATAAATAAGAATAGAGTTCCGCTTGAATTTGTTCGAGGGACGTCTCATCTCTTCCATTGACTGCAAATTTTCCAGAGTCGTCAATCCCAAATAGCTCGAAAATGAAATAAAATTTTTTTAAAAATGACCGCAACGATGTTGAGAGTTTCAATTTTAAAACCGTATAACCGGCAAAAATTGGCATGTCCAATTTTTAGGGAGACATAATCCTGGACATCCGGTACCTGTTATCTTTTAAGATTTAGGTTTTCTTCTTCATGTATATACCTCGTTCCCACAGTCATAATAAATTTCTTGCGAATTCACCTGTAAAATATATATACCGGAATTTCCGGAAATAAAAAAAATTAGAAAATTCCCATGAAAATTCAAAATGCATTAATATTTTGTTAAATAATAATTTTTATTTAATCGAAGTCAATAATTTTGAAATTAAAAATAAAATTAAAAATTTACATTCGCAGTTATAACAAAATTCGATTATTGAAAAAGGAAATAACTAGGGAGGCTAATTATTAATAAAAAGTAAAGCAAAGTCATTTTCCTCAGAATTGAGGACGAAAAGTGGACAGGAGGGTGGCATAAATATTTCAAGACTGAATTCATATAGCACAGAGCAAAGAGTTAGAGAGTATTGTTAACATACATTGTGAGTTTAACAATAGGGGGTGTGAGGCAAGTATATATCGACAGCAATTGCTATTGTACGTAAATTGCATGTTGCAAGCCAACACAATAAACCCAACGATTCCTATTCCGCTTTTCACCCTCGCATATATATATATATATATATATATATACACGTTCAACAGATTAAGCAGCGACAAAGTATAGCTGTAAAATCACGGATGACCGCCATATGTTCTCTTTTCCCCAATCGTTTAAATTACATAGTGCCCCGCCAATGTCCAAAACGTAATAATTAGAGGTTCATCGTGAATTTGTTCGATTAGTAACGATCCACAAACAGTATGTTAGCCATTTATTTATTTTTCTATCCATGTAAGTTGATACATTGTCCCATATATATTCAATTTCGAAAAATAAATCCAAGGAAACGTACGAACCGAATTTACAATTAACAAAAATTAAATTAAAATTAAATTTTCTTTGCTTTTTATTAATAACTAGCAAAATTAAACGCGTGTAAGCGCGCCAAATTGAGTATTTAATTGTTTGTTATAAAGAAATTAAAGATTAATATTATCAATAATAATTTAATTTATTAGAATATTATTACATATTAAATGATAATAATAAAAATTATATGTTTTACAGGCCTCGGATTATACGACTTTTTACGACTTTTTCCGACTTTTTTAAAAATACGACTTTTTTTTACATTTGAAAAAAAATGTAAATAAAATACATTTTTTTAGTATAAAATGTAGATCTTCTTCAGATCTTCTTCAATTAAATTATTTAACCAATTTTGAACTAAAATGATTTTTCACTAAATTAATTATTTTTAATATAATTTGAATGAAATACATCACAAATTCAATTATATTAAAATTATTTTTCAATTAAAATTTTTATGAAATTTAAACAATTGTTTATAATTAAAAAAAAATATCACAATAAAATTGAATTATTTTTTAAAAATTTAAATTCAAAATAAACTAAAATTCAATTATTACCCGAAATTTTAATTCAAAATCAATTAAAAATCCAATAATTATCAAAAATTTTCAATTTAAAATTTAATTATTTACCAAGTTTTCAATTTAAAATGAAATAAAATTCAATTATTTTCTAAAATTTCTATTCAAAATTAATTATCCAAATTTTCAATCAAAAATGAACTTAAATTAAATTATTATCCAAAATTTCAAATTAAAATTCAATTATTTCCCAAAATTTTCAATTCAAAATGAACTGAAATTCAATTATTTTCCAAATTTAAAATCAAATTATATATTATAATAAATTATAATATTATAACTCTAAGGAGATTCAATTATTTTTAACTATTTTAATAACATTCTTTGAAATTTCAACTATCTGAAACCATTTTTCAATTAAAAATGATTTTCAAATTATTGTATTTTGTCCGCATTTTCTAATAAATTTGTAGTAAAATCATCTAAAATTTTAATTAAAAAAGACTTAAAGTTTCAATTAATTTCAAAAATCTCAATTTTAAATCTCTAAAAATTCAATTAAATTTAAAAAATGTTTTCCAAAAATTGTTTGATAAATAATTTTTAGTTCTGTAAAATTTAATAATTGTTTGAAAATTAATAATATCTTTTGAAATTTAATTATTTCTAAAAATTTCAACTTTAACCCTTCGAAATGGATTATTATTAAAAAAAAAATTTTTTTATTTAAAAATCTGTAAAATATTTTTGTTAAAATAAAAAACAAATCCACTTTTTTCTGGAATATAAATCGACTAAAACGACTTTTTTGTGTCTTTAAGTTGATTCGAGGCCTGTATTTTTATAATTTATATTTAATAGGTATTCGTTGGCCCCTGGTACCTTAAGAATTAATTTTTAAAAATAAATTTTTTTCAAATTACTATCTTGAACGAAATTTCCTGGCGCATTTTTTTTCTCATCATAAATTTTTTATATTTGTATACAATTTTTGAATCAATATACAACTTTAAAAAAAATTTCGTTGGTAAACGAATGAATTGAAACAAATTGAATTTTCGAATTTGGAATTTTAAAGAAACTTATTCCGAAATTTGGAAACACAATTATACAACTTTAGCAAAAAGGAGAAAAAGAATTGTCAAAATTTGATATGTCATAAGATTACTATTCAAAAAAAACACGTGTAATCAGAAAAGGCCAACTTCAAGTTAGGATACAGAAGGACAGACCAAGCATTTTATTATTATATATATATTAATTAGCCTCCTAATTATTTTCTTTTCCAAAAACCGAATTTTGTTATATAACTGAATGTGAATTTTTATTTTAATTTTGCTTTCAAATAGAAATTTTTGTCAAATTGAAAGTCGACTGTATTATTTTTCCCTTTTTTTGGGAACTTTACTAAATTGTGAAATTTTTGTAATAATAAAAAAAAAAAAATTTACTACAGGTGTATTATATGAAAACATATTTGAAACATTTAGTATTATTATTCTAAATTTTTATTATTTAAATTAGAATTAAGTAGAATTACATATATATATTTTCTATTTTTTCTTTTATACAAAAATTTCTCAATACTTAAAAAAAAAATTTTCCTAATTTGCTACTGTAAAAAAAAAAAATTTATTTTCATTTTTCAATGATAAAATTAAGTACTCTTGTGCGATTATGAGGTTAATTTGCGGTGATCTGTCATGTATAAAATTCACGAGAACCGGAAGCAATATGACAATATATATCGTGACACGACACGTGTCTTGATATACATTTTAAGTAAATTTAGTTCAAGAGAAAAATATAAGGAAGGTCGATGGAAAAGACCCAAAAAATTATTATTATATATATATATATATAACATCGAATAGACACAGCTGTGACACGCGTCATGTTCATTACTAAATTATTATCATATTTAGGTTCTTCCCACGTGCAGGTTTCATATTTCATTACGCATATATTTATAACTTTGAGCCACATATATCATATAGTAATAAAAAAAAAAAAAAACATATTTAAGAATATATATTTTTCAATTTGAAAAAAGAGGCCAAAAAGAGAGAAAAAGAGAAGGAGAGAAAGGGAGAGAATTGGGTTTTAATAGTACTTGATTAGAGAACAATAAGACCAACAAGCAGACGCAGACTGCATCCAGAAACCATATTGTCAAGATCAGGTCGCTCATGCATTTATTTATATTTCACTTCACAGTCATGTTAATATTTTCCTTAAGAATATTTTCGAATTTTAATTCCTAATTCAATTTTTTTTTTTTTTTTTAGAGAAATAAGAAAAAAAAGGAATTTTCTATTGCATTTATTTCATATATGAATATATGAAAATTAGTTTCACTTTTCAGTGTTGCGAAATTCATATACAGAATTTCTATTGAATCGAAAATCGATATTATTCTTTTTTTTTTTTCTTTTTTAATTTATTTTCCATTTATTATTAGAGAATTTCATTTATCGAAAAATTAGCATTTATGTGGCATTTATATTTGAATAAATTTTCGATAAATGAAAATGTTGACAAATAATAGTGTTTGAATAAAAATTTTTTTTAAAGATTATCAAAAAGAGTTTAAAATAAAAAATGGAATTTTGATAAAAAGAAAATTTATTTCTACATATATATATATTTTCAAAGGGAAATTTAAATTATTATACATTTCAAAAAAAATATATATATATAAATATTTTTCAATTAATACTAAAAAAAAAGTAAATAAAATCATTTCCTCAAATTTTTACATTTACAAGTTTTTATACAATTTTTCTTATTTTTTAATTTAAATTTATTCTATTTAATATTAATTATTAATTTAAAATATTAATGTAAATATTAATTACCTCATTTAAATGTTACTCCATTTGTAAAATATCAAAAATTTCGTAAACTTATGCGAATTTATTTTTTTTTCAGAGATATACAGAAAAATTAGTGTTAACATTTTTTTTTTTTTTACTAAAAGTATAAATTATAATTAGTATTGATTTACAATTTACTTTTCACACACATAAATAAGTATAGCACAGGTGTTATCATATATTTTTTTCAAATGACTTTTCAATTTTATATTTTTAAATATAATGAAAACGAAAATAAAAATAATTCTTGTAAAGTGTAATCAAATAAATTTTTTTCTTTTTTTTTCTAATGGTGTAATAAAAAAGAAAAAGCTCAAAAAAAAAATTCCTTTGCGCCGCACAGTGAAAAAGCAAATTTCTAACAATATTTCTGTTAATCTTTTATTTGCTCATTTTTTTATTACTTCAACTTTTTTATCTTTTAGAAGCAAATATTTTTCCTTGTGCCTTTGTAAATCAACACCAAGGATAACCTTGTAAATGGAAAAACCTTCAGTAGAAATGTCTTCAGATATATTATATCTTTTTATGAGACTTTAATAAGCAGCATCCAAGTCAATATAAATATATCAAAACATAATTAAAAAAAAGAAAAAAAGAAAAGGAAAACAAAATAATAATGGAGGTATTACAAAAAAATAATCAAAATTTTTATTAAACTTTTTTAGTTATACTGTTTCAGTTAGCAAAATTTTTTATTTAATATAGAATTTAGCAAAAAAAAAAAATTTATTTCAACGAGAATATAGGTATATTGATGTAGGAATATTTTCTGTTAATGATTTTTGGATTATATTCATGAGTTAATTAGGACTTATTTTATACGAACGTCTTTAGTTTGGGTAATAATAATAATTGAATATACGTGTGACTTGGGGTTGTTTTTAAGGTGATATAAGGGACAAAGACTGGACTCGTGTCATGGCAATTAGGAATTTTATTGTTCAGAGGGTGTAACGTTTTTATTGCCAATAATGTGATATATTATAAGTGACGCAAAGTTTACTTAAAGCACGTACGATTTTAATGTTAATTTATATATATATTCTACTTTGTCAACTTTCAAAGTAATTACTAAAAGGAACTTTCTAACACGTTTTTTTTATTCTTTTTTTTTTTTATTTAAATATTTTCCTTTTTTTTAACTGAGATAACTGAAATTGATAACAACAAAAATTCTCTCTCGAAAGATGGTTATATACCTTATCTTATATATTCTCGTTTATCATTTCTGAGATAAAATTTTGTCACGCGCGTTGCAGAGTCTAAATTTTTTTTTATGTATCTCCCGTAGCTTTCTCTCCTGAAAACACTTGGTTATACAATTTTTTTTTTTTTATCATAAAAGAGGCAAAATTATTTATAAGAAAATTTCTGTCTGTAGAGAAATATGAAAATTGTCATTTTCTTTTTAGAAAAAAAAATGAAAATTTAGTTATAAGAAATTGAATATTAAAATAAAAATATTCTACTTGCAAAATAATTTTTTTTTTCGATGAATGACTCTTCGGAAGAATGAACAACCAAGTAGCAAATATATATATATGTATGTACCATTTGTACTTATGATTTTTGACAAAAGATTTGTGGCATTTGGTATATATATATGTACAGGGCCAGTGATTTTTGGAAAACCTCTTCTCCATACCACAAGAGTATATAAGACTATATATACATTGGTGTGAGGGGGATAAAGTTCATTCTTGGTCGATCTACCGTAAAATATAGAGCCCCTGCCAGTTATAAGTCTCTCCAAAGGGTGCATGTGCACGGTTCGCAAACATCGATAAATGTTTGTTACTGAAAACGACGGTTTAAAAAATAATTGCCAAAACAATTTTATCGCAGAAAAAAAAAATTGATAATATATATATACAATATATAGTAATAGTAACATTGATTTATGTGAAATCAAAAATTTACTTTCCGCGCAATTAAAAATACTGTTTTTTTTTATCTACGTTTAATTTGACTTAATTTTTTTTATTTAATTAATTTTTCATTTGACTTAATTTTTATTTAACCAAATATATCTATGAAGCCGAATTCTAATTTAATTAAATTTGCATTTTTATCTTCAAATTTTTATTTTTATTTTCATTTAGTTGATTAAAGTTAGTTTAGTTTTAGTTAAATTTTCATTTAACCAAATTTCCATTTAGCCGAATGAAACATTTAGTAATTTTGTTTTTAAATATCTAAATTAAATTTTCTTTTTACAGGGAGCGATTGGAGACGGAGAAAGGAATTTTTTTTCAACTGTTTGCGAATTTGAGATTGTTGTCATTGACTCAAGTGGAAACAAATAGGACATTTAGTGGGTTCAGGGATGTAACCTCATATAATACGAAATGGCAAACGAATCCCGCTAAGGGGTTATAGGGGGAGAAAAAAAAAGAGAGAGACAAGAAGTGAGGAAAGCAGAGGCTGGCTGACATCTCATTTTGGTTTAGCGGGATAAAAGAGCGTGTCATTCGATGAAGCTGACGAGAAAGAAGGACAAAGAATATATATAGCAGGAGAGAGAGAAAGAGGTATGTGTGAAAAAAAGAATGAAAAGAAGGGAGAACGATAGGGAAAAAGAGAGGAAACGAGAGGAAAAGAGGAGAAAGAGAGAGAGAAAGAGAGAGAAAGAGAGATAAAGAAAGAGAAAAAACGAGAAAGATGTAGATAGGGAAAAAAAAGGGAGAGAAAGAGGCACGGATCAAGGCTAGTCTTTGCCAAACATCAATATTTGCGACCGCCCTGTTGGTACCTTTGCGAAGTTCAACCTGACTCGACTCGACTCGTCTGAACCGATCCAGCTACAACCACTCACGCCTCTCTCGATGTACTCACTTTTGTATGACCCAAAAGTGTGACAACTTTAATTATTATCGAGCCAATTTCCATTATCGTTTTACGATCTATTCACTCATTTTTTTCTCTTTCATATGCGCTCTCTTTATTCTCTTTTCTTTTTTTTTTTTTATATACACGTATTTTAGTTTTCTTTTCTTCTCTTTTTAATTTATAAAACATATATATATATACTCCCACTTTTAGTCGAATTATATTTTATACTTAAATTCCTTACAGATTTTTCTCTTTTCTTTTGCTAAAATTTTTTCCACGCCTTCGATACAAAAATTGAATTTTGAAAAATTTTTTAATTGAAAAATTCTTTCAAATATAATTATATATAAAGAGGAGTTAAAAAATTGTATATTTCTTTGCCTATATATATAGCGAATAATGAACGTGAGTTTATAATTATGATGTAAAACTTGAATTATTATATCACTCATCTTTATAAAAACAAATGAAGAGGGAAAAAAAATTTGGAATTAATTAAAATTTTCGCAGTTTCACATCCATTAAATGAGAATTTCAATCTTCTCTCTGTTGAAAATCTATGAGCACACACAATATACAGTATATATTCAGCCGCCACGAAACATGCCAGCTTGTATGCGCAGGACATGTTGACTATATGTAGGGGCTAGCCTGTGTGGCCATTCGATAATGCAACCGAGCCCAGAGCACAACTTCCGCTTCCATATATATATATATATATATATATATATGTTACTAACCTGATCTCGATAATGCACATTTATATATGACTTATCACCTTTATTACACCTGCTGCAATTTTTTTTTTATTTTCTTCTTCACTTCTTTTTCTCAGAATATTAGATTTTACATTACACTATTCTGCAAAATTAAAATTAAATATTACAAATTCGTTTAAAATGAAATATTTCGAAAGGATAAAAAATAAATTCGGCTAAATATAAAAAATTGAAAATTCTAACAAAATTTTTAAGTTTTAAAATAAAAAAAATTACATTCAGTAATTTTCTTTTTTTTTTTTTATTTCATACTAAAAATATATGACGAGGAAAGATAACAAAACGCGTCTCTCTTTTTTTATTTATGCAAAATGATAAAAAGAATATATACTTGAAAAAAAAAGTGACGTAAGTTTTCATTTATTTTTCTTATGTATAGAATCAAAGTATATATATGTATTTGTGAAAGATAATAATGTCGTTAAAAAAGAATGAAGGCCAATTCTCTAGAAAAAAAATAAAAAAAAAAACTTGTATGCAAAAGGTGTATAAAGAAAAAAAAAAAATAACCCTATAAATGTACAGTCGTTTTGTAACTTTAACGACCATTTTGTCTTATAGAGAGAATATATATTTTTCGCTTTAACCGGTGATTTCGTAGGACGGACGTTACCTACGAGTTTCTGTAAATATTGAAATTGGCTGCACCAAGCCGATGCGTGCTGCATTCTTCGAGGAACTCCCAACCTCGAGGTCTCTCACGTATATACCCAAGTTCGATCGCCGCCATTTGTACGACCTCGTTCCACCTTCTCTCTCTTCTCGGGTGTGCCTCGTTTATAAAATGGCACTGAAATTCCTTCTATCAAAATATTATTTTCTCTTAAATTAACAATTTGGAATTTTATAATTTTCACAAAAAAAATTGCAATTTGGAAAGAAATATTTGCTTTTTTTTTAAAAATAATTTTTTACTAATTATAATTCTCATGAAGAATAGAAATGCTTTTCCTTAAAAAAAAAATTTTTTTTTTTTAGAGTAATGCATGATAATAATATATCAAGAATTTTCTTAATTTGAATAATCTTTTTTTTTTACATTAGCCTGATTAATCTACAGTGATCTTACTTTTGTTACAGAGGGAAATATATTCTCCATCAGTCAACCGCAATCCTGTAAATGCGCTTCTACTGCGGATTCACTTTTTACTGCGATGTTTAACTTGCGAACAAAATTCAATGATGAAACTTATTATTTTGCTACATGGTAATTATTATTCCTCGCACTTTTATTGAATTTTAATTATTCAAATCAAATTATAAACACTAATTCAAAAAAAAGGAATTCAAATTCTATTTTTAAAAAATATATATGTATCAGAGAAATGGACAAATATGTCTCCGAGCCTACTAACTCATTTATTTGTTGCAAATATATATTTCATTTCATTGAAATAAAAAATTTATTTGAACCAAAGAAAAATTTATTTCTGACAAATTAAAATTTTTATTTACGCCAAATAAATAAGTTAGTATAGGCTCTGAGACAAATATACGTTTATTTAACTCAAATATATTTTATTTGGTTCAAATAAATCTGGGTGTATATTTTAATTTTTAAAAGAATTTTCAAATTCGAGGAATTTGGCGAATTTTTCGATTTTCTAAATTTTTATTCAAAAATATTTATTTAATAATCATATATACATCCAGAGAAAAGATTTGTATTTGTCAAGTAAAACATATTTATTTGTTTCATATAAATTTTATTTGATTTAAATAAAAAAATTAACTTGAAACAAATAAAAAGTTATTATAATAGAAACAAATATATTTTTATTTTGTTTAGATTTTATTTATCCGAAATAAAAAATTTTTTTGGATGTATTTAATTATGAATTATTAAATTAAAAAAATTACTTATTCAAAAAATAGGAACTTGAATTTTAATAATTAAATTAAATTTTGGTTAAAATTGAAAATCTGAAAAAAGGGAAAAAATAAAAGTGACGGGAATTTCATTTAGTTAAAATTCATCAAACAGTCGGCAAAATGTAGTATATATATATATATAAGCTGGAATGTATCGTAATCCCGTTGCATTACCATTTAGATTAGTTAGATTTGCAGGTAAACAGAGAGTTTGTAGTCACATATATATATATATGTGACTACAAACACGCACGACGCGGACACAGTATAGTAGCACACCGGCGACATTTTAATTTCATCCATGATAATTACACTCAAACGGATGGCTTTTTAAGTAGATTAAAATATTCGTTGTGCTGCCGCGACCTACACTATTTAACGTTAAGCTACACTCGGTTATAATTAATGAATTTTCGACTATATATATATACATATATAAACGCGTCGCGCTCATGTTTTCCAAACGCGCATTCTCTCAATTCAATTTTAATGTGCGCACGCGATTTTAACTGAATTTTCACCCTGTAAATTTCATTTCTCCTCGTAACTCAATCCGACTCATTGTAAATGTTCAATTTTACCACCGTTTTTATTACACATTAATAGCAAACCAAAAAAAAAAAAAAAATTCTAAAGAATTTATTAATTTATTGTTTCGGATAAAAGAGCAAATTTTTTTTTCCAACATTTTAATTATTTGAGGGAAAATATAAAGTAACTTTTAATTACGAATTTTTTATTCGTTAAAATTTGGGTTTCGCAAAAAAAAAAAAAAAAAAAAATCTGACTAAATTTTCGTTTAATTAATAAAAAAAATTCGCTTAAATGAAAATACAGATGCAGAGATATTCGATTGAATAAAAAGTGCGTCTTAATAAGAATTCGGTTAAATTAAAAACGCGCGCAAATAATAAAATTCCACCGTTAATAATAGAGGAGAATTATTAATTTTTCCCGCAAACTTAAAAAACAATATATGTTATTTATTAATAATTTCAAATTTGTTGAAGAAAAAAAAACATAATTAAATTATTATTTTGTCTAATTCGTTGAAAAAAAAAATATATATTTATAATTATTATTTATTTCTATATATTATTTTTCAGTTAAAATTTTTTTGATTTAATTGCGGATAAGATTTTTTTTTGCTATATAATTTTATCTCTGCTAATTTTGATAGTGTCCCCAGAGAGTTTTTTGATAGAATAAGATATAGAAAGACGCAAAAAAAAAAGAGTCACGACAGACGGGATGCAGTTTAGTGTAAACAATGGCCTACGTCCTTTTAAAAGAAACGCTGATGGGTATTCATATACATTCAAAATTGACGTGTTAGTTTGTGTTGGTCTCATCTTTTGGATATATATATATATATATAAAAGTACAACACTTGTGTAATCTTTCATGTGAGTGAGGTGCTTATTGGGTCCATAGGGAAGCTGCGCAGAGCGCAGAAACAACCCTCTAGTCAAACATTGCCAACATCAATCAGCACCAGTCACTCAACCATGGGGTATTGGCACACCGACATACCGATATTGCCTATATTTAGATTCCCACTAAAATTTGTCGACAATATTGTCAGCCATTTTTCATTAGTTTTATTATTTTTTTATAGTACAATATTTATTGTCAATTATTATTGATTACTATTTATATTGAATATTACCTAAAACTAAAAGTTTCTATTTTCAAATTTATCGAAATATTTCATTTAGCCGAATTTACAATTGACCGAATTTTTATTTAACCAAATTTGCAATTAGCATAATTTTCAATTGACCTAATTTTTATTAAGTCAAATTCGAGGTTGATCAAATTTTTATCTAACCGAATTTGCTGTTCAACTTAATTTTTTATTTAGCCAAATTCGTGATTGTTTGAATTTTTATTTAAACAAAATTTGCAACTGACTTGATTTTACTGAATTCGAGAGATTTTTAATTTTCCTTAAATAATATATTTCGAAAATTCATAAATTAGATTTTTTTTAATTATTATTTAAAAAAGATAGATTTTACATTTGAGAATTTTAATTCGAATCTTTTTCTTATCAGCTAGTTTGCAAAATTTATTTATTGCAATATTTCGTGCCAAGTTAGCACTGCGCGCGTGAACTCCTTGTGTGTGTGTGTGATACGGCGCACTATTAATAGCGAATTTCATCACTGCCTCTCTGTTGATAACGATATTTGCCCAAAGCCCTTAGAATTTAGACCCTGTTTTATAGCCCGGTCCCTCATATAAATATAATCGCTCTGACGAGAGCTTATAATGTATATGTGCGCGCATATATAAACGCATTTGCTGCGCTATACTCAAGAATTTTCGCACATTATGTTAAATAGAATGTAAAAAAATAGATTATAAATAAATAAAAAAAAGCAAGAAATCTTTTTGAAAAATTCTCTTCAATTTTCATTTAACAGGATATTTTTATGTTTTTTCGAATTTTTCTTTAATTAAAATTCTATTAAATATATATAGAAATTATTAAAAAAAAAATATAAATAAATATATTGAAAATCAAATTTTTTTGCTTTTCTGATTTAAATTTGTATTTTATATGAAATTGAATATATTTTTTATTCTTGAAATATAATGAACTGAAATTTATTATTATTTTACAGGTACTCAAGACAATAAAGAACGTTTGGCGCACCCCTTTCTCGATGGTGTATTTTTTCTCCCTTATGCCGGGAATTCCCTTTGCGCGCACGAGAAAACAAAAGTCGCATCTTTGGTATTCGAAAAGGAAAACAATGTTAAGTGGCAGGTTCGAAACACAACACTATTGGATGTGATGTTTTGCATTTTCGACGGCATTAGCACTGGTATTATTGTAAGTTGACATTCATAATTTTTCAACCCCTCTTTTCTATATACAATAATGTACATATATATAGTTCACCCTATATATCAATAGAAACGTGTCGATTTAATTTTAAATCCACTCTCACAACATTCACCCGCCCGGGGCTATAATGATTATTCCATAAAAATCAGTAATTAAAATTTTTATATTAAACTATATATTTTTTTTTTAGAAATATAATTATTTTTTATACGAATCTTCATTTTTCAAATTTGCAATTGAAAAAATTTTTTTTTATACAAATTTTAACTTAACAAAATTTTTAGCTACAAAATTTTTGATTAGCAGAATTTTTTATTTTATATTCATTTAATTTACGTAACATTTTGTTTAAGGGGATTTTAATTTAATCGTATATTTAGCAGAATTCTCATTCAATATTGAATTTTAAAAGTAATAAGAATTTTTAAATGATAAAAATTCTAATTCACCGAATTTTTATTTGTCCGAAATTACAAATGACAGAACAAACAATCGATGGTCATTTGACGTTTTAAAAATTCGGTGAATTGGAATTTTTGACATTAAAAAATTCAAAACAGATAAAATTCAATTGAATGAGAAATTCGATTAAATTAAAATTCCCTTAAATATATATATATAAAAAGTTAATAAATTAAATGATTGTAAAATTAAAAATTATACTAAACAAAAATTCAGTAGCCAAAAATTTTAGTTAATTTTGCTAATTCGAAAAATGAAAATTCGTTTAAAAAATATATTAATATATATTTCTAATAAAATATATTTAAAATGAAATTTTTAATTAATATTTTTTATTGGATTCGATTTTTGTTAAAAATGGAAAGCTATAGTTGTTCAATTTTGATAAGTGATCAATCACATATATATTGAGGATTGAAAGTTTGAATGTTGTTTCAGTGACTCATTATTTGAAGAAGGAGGTCCTTGGAACGTGCGAGCACGTCCCCAAAAAGGACTATATATATATATATATATATATATATATATGTTCCTCTTGCTTTGATTCATAAATATTTCGAAATCCAAAATTTATTTTTCAAAATGAATTCAAAACAGCTGAAATTAAATTGAAATTTTTTTTTGAAAAATTTCATTTTATCCTCTCTTTCTCTCTCTTTCTAGGAGAGAGGATTTTATCAAGAATTTCCTCTTTCTTCTTGATGCCTCCACCTCCTTCTCATCCTCCCTTTTCGTATATTTCGATCAAAGCGCCTTCGGCTCTCTGCAATAGACGTTACGGGCCGGATTATATACACGTATACATCAGTGGTTCGATTCCTGTGTGTGTTGCGCCTGGTACATTGTTGTAGAGACACATGTAGGCTCTAAGTAGGTTGTATGTGTTAGGATTGCAAACATGTTTGCAACGTTGTCAGGCGGGCAGGAAATTACGTCCGCCTTTAGCCGCTCTCTATATTACACCTAACTCTCTCTCTCTCTCTCTCAATTTCTCTCCCGACCCTCTGGCTCTCTGGTTCGAGTTGCCGCCACCGCCTCCACCACCAAACCCATATTCCGCTATCCTGTCCGTGTATATATATAGTCCAACACAGAGGGTGAGAGAGAGAGAGAGACTTCACCATCCTGTGTGTATATATATACTTGTGTGTACTTAGGGTACAGGGTTGTTTCATGCAAAGGTATGTACCTGGTGCAGATACCTCCACATACAACCAACCTGCATGCCTGGTTAATACACACACATATATATATATATATATACGTGGTAACAATCTATCTCGTTCCAAATAGGATACCGCATGCAAGTCCCGGAACTTGCTGAGCGAAGCTTATGTTTCAAAATTACTTTCGTCGAAATAAAAATTATTTAAAATAGAAAATCAAAAATTCTGTTATTCAATGTCGTTTAGAAATTATTTTTGAATAAATTAGAATTATTTCACTTTCAATTTTTCTATTATTTATTTTATAAATATTAATATTTCTATTTTTATAACAAATTCTGTTGAATCAGAATTTGTTTAAATAAAAATCTCGTCAATGATATAAATATGGGAAATAAAAATTTGAACAAATATTCTCGACAATAAAAATTTTGATAAATCCCACTCTTATTTTCTTAAAATAAAAATTCGGTTAAATAATAAAATTTTTATAGAAATCGAATTTTCATATAAAGGAAATTATCATTTAGCAGAATTTGATATATTTAACCGAATTTCCATTTAAGGTAATTTTTATCAAATGAAATTTTTATTTAATGAAATTATTATTTAATGAAATTTTCATTTAATACTTTGATAATTGTCATTTAGGAAAAATTTTATTGAACTAAATTTTTCAATTTAATATTACTTTTTATTTAATCCGAATTTTCCATTATAAAGGTATATATAATTTTTTATTCAGCAGAATTTTCATTTGGCAGCTTTTTTTTTATTTAAACAAATACTTTTAATAAAGGAAAAGGGAAATTTTTATATTTCACATTTTTTTTCATTTAACATATAGAATTTCTATACTAAATTTTTAATTATGCCGTTAAATTAATTATTCTATCAATTCTTTTTTTTCTGATTAAAAATTAAAATGAATATTCTCATTTTATTGACAATTTTCAAAAATTTTGATTAAATAAAAATTTTATGTAAAAACTTTTTTAAATTAAAAATATCTTCTACTGATTTACTGCTGTATAATAAAAATCGAAAAATTTCTATTAAATGGAAATTATTCTTAATATTCAATTGTAATTAATTATAATAATTATAGTAAATATACAATTATATATACTGGATAATTCGCAAAATAATTTAAAAAATTTAATATACTTTTCTTTCAATTAAATTCTCAAGTAATTTTTTTTTCTCAATATTATTGTTGATCAAAAAAAAATCTCTTTTTTTCCCTGCATTAAAAGGATTATTTTTCTAGCAAAACAATTCATAAAATCCGCTTTGATTAAAAGAAATACATCTAAGGGATTTAAAAAAAAAACAAATTTTCCAAATGATACCGTTTTTTGAGTGTTGAAAATCTTTTAATCGAAAAATGTTTCGAGATTTTATTGAAACGTAGTAAAAGCAATAAACAAGAAAATGGGGATTGAAAGGTTTTTTTTTAGATTTTCTATAAATATAATAATATATATATGAGAGACTTAATCCATTAAAGGTAAACTCTTGAATTTTTGTTGAAGTCTCGGCTTTTGAGTTCGTTTCCTCTCTATCTTTTTTTTTTTTTTTTTTTTTTAAAGCCGTGCTCTTGATTGGTTACGTCGAATTGACAAGTACTTGGTGCTGGGCTCGTCCAAACATTTCGGACAGCCTAAGGAAACACATTTGCCTGTGGGCAAACACACGAGGCGTCTTACCAGACTCGAAGTAAAGTGGAACACCGAATGTGTCTGGGACTGTTTGCATTGCAGGACAATATATTCCGAGTCTTTTGAAGACGAGCCGAGGAAACGTGAATTACATCTCTCCCACTCTCTCTCTCTCTCTTTCTCTTTTTTTCTCTTTCTCCTGTATACTATATATACATCATTTCAATTCCTTTAACAAATTTCGTTTATAAAGGACACGAGCTGTAAGAAAAAAAAAAAAAAAAAAAAAACTAACGATGATGATGAAGAAGAAGAAAAAAGTGTCAAATATGTATTATTCATCTTTTTAGTTTGTGAATATAATTTCAAAAAAATTTTCAATACAACACAAGGGATGAGGAGGAAAGATCCTGAAAATAAACTTCGACAGGGGAATTTTTGCCAAGAGAGAGAAAGACCCTTTTAGCCCCGGAGGTTATGAGATTTTATGAGACTTAAAGCGGTTTACAAATCCAAAGATGCTTTTCATCCCCTTTCTTAAATATCGAGAAAAGAGATGCGATTTTGTTCAATTATGTCCCTGACTTTTGCTTCTTTCAGGGAAATAAATTACTTAATACTCGTAGTATCAAAAAATTCATAAAAAATTTTTTTTTATTAATTACTTCCTGATAGAAGAAGTATTTTTATAATTATAATTATTATTATAATACAAAAAATTATAATTATAAATAAACGTAAAAAAATTTTTTTTTTTGTTTTATTATTAAAATAATAATTAAAGTTTTAATTAATAAAATTTTATTTTCAAAAAATTTGAATTTTAATAAATATTAATTGTTTTCAGAAATTCGATTACAAAGGAAAAATATCATATCACACATAGAGGAAATGTAGTTACATCACTTTTGGGAAAAATATAGTGTCTCAACTTTAATAAATTTAGAGAAATTTCCGGTCCGAGATTTCCGTGCAAGACAGACAGATAGACACGTTTTTCAAGTATATATATATAGATGAAAGAGGTATATGTATAAATCATCCGAAATTTCCTGAGCGTGAAGTCGTTAGGCATTTTCTGACGCGGAGATAAAATTCCGAGAAGCTCATTGAAACGACTCTTGGCTATATATATATATATATATATATATATATATATATATGTACGGGACCGGGTATTGTTTTAACGTGTTTGAGTCAAATATTGACGTAAGTCGGAGCTCTCTCGCCCGGCCTGGAACGGAACGGAACGAGATGAGATGAGACGAAACGACCCACATAACATCCATGGCTCATCGTTGGTACAAGGTATATAACGAAGGAGGAGGATGGCTGTGAAAGGTGATCAGAGGCAGAGAGAGAGAGAGAATGATAATGAAAAGTATATTTGAAAAAAAGGGGAAAAAAAAAGAAAGTTGAGAAAAAAAAGGACATGACTATTATCAGAGGAACTCTTGGCTTCAATTCAATGTTGTAATTGATACATTGTCCCATCAGGTATTATACATTTTTAAGAATATATTATTTTTATAAGCTCAGAATATATATTTTTCATAAGCTCTAAAATTTATTACAATTTCATTAGTTGCCGAATTTATAAAGAAAAAAAAATTTTCATTTAGCAGTATTTTATCAAAGTTCACATATTGAATTCGAATTTTTTATTTAACTGAATTCTTTAACAAGAATTTATTTTCCGACTTTTTTTTCAATTCAAAAATTTAAGGAATAAAAATAATATTTATTTCGCGTCAAACAGAAAATTCCAAAGGTGTTCCCTCTTTTTTTAATGTCATCAAGTTTTCGGCGCCGTTTTGTATTTTTTGAATTTAAGAGCAAGAGGACAGTGCGTGGCCATTTCTTGGATATATTTAAGGTATATATATAGCTTTTACCCAAAGCATTTCACAAAGCTGAATGCCCGTGTAACGCATTGCAAACATATTTTGCCATTGCCTTATTTATATACCCATATACATTTTGAGGGGGACAATAATAATTCTGACCGGTATATAGGACATTGTGCTTAATGTTTGGACATGTGTTCCGCCTAGGTCACGCCCTTTGTTACCATTTTCTATGCATGTTTACCAGTTTAAAATGTTGCCATATAACATTTGCAAACTCGTCATAATGTCATATAACGATGACACGCGTCATTTTCTGTCAAGAAAATAGAAATTTTATTTTTTCTCTCGTTATACGTTTCATTTCGAATTAAATCAAACAAGATGTCTTTACAAAAGTAAAAAAGAAAAAAGAATGAGAATTATAAAGTCAAATTGACATTTTACACGATTTAATAAAAACTAATTTGATTACATATAAAAATTCGAATTTTCATTGCAATTTTTGGTCAGTTGAATTTAAATTTCTTAATGGAAAACAAAAATTTTTGTAAAAAATTTGGAAAATTCTCTTTTGAATGACAAAAATGAAAATTTAGTTTAATTCTTAATTTTTTTTTTTTTTTTTGAAACGCATACAAAAAAATTAGTTTTTTAAAAAAAGAATTTCTAGATAAATAAAATTTCTATTTCTAAATAAATATTTTGATAATAATCTTCTTTGTTAATTAATAATTAATTAATTGAAAAAATTTTTATATCAGCAAAAAATTCTATGGGAAATAATTTGGATAATAATTTAATTAACTATAAATAATGCCGTTATACATTTGAATTGAAAGAATGATAATTTTAAAAAGAAATTTCGTTCAATGCACTTGAAAGAAAAATGTTAATGGACAAGTCATTATCAATAATAATAATAATAATAATAAAATAGTCTTTATATAAATGAAAATAATGTCACGAAATTCCATTTTTATTTTTAATTCTTTTTTAAAGATAATTGAATAAAAATTTGAAATTGAATGGAAAAAAGAAATAAAATAAATTTTGTTGCAAGAGGAAAGAGTGACACACATTATTTTATATGATAAAAAAAATAGTGAGAATAATAAGCGACCAACTCTTTTCACAAAAATTCATCTGTTTGCTCCTTTTTTTAGGGAAATTCATGTATATATATATAATAATATTCAAAAGCGAGTTCGGCACGCTTGTGTGGCGTGAATGGACCCCCGGGGGTGAAATAGTTGACGTTAAATTTATCTCTCGTATAGATATATATATATAATAAAGGTCTTCAGGTATTTTGTGGCTTTAGTCCTTAGTTCCTGAGGATTACAACCCTAGACACACTGGTGATCTCCTGGTGTGATCCTATTCAAAGATTTTAGAAGTAAATTTAAAGAAAAACCCACAATCTTTCTTATTTGCTTTTATAAACACATGTAGACATTTCATTGTACACATTATATATATAGACTCGGAAAGTTTAGTCAAGTAATTGTTGCAATTTTGTTCTTCTTTTTTTTGACACGAGCCACGTGATTTTCTATTTTTGCATTTTCAATATAGTATATAATCAAAATAGAATTGGCTTTTATGAAAGAAACGTTGCGCGTCTCTTTTACAAAATATTTACTTTTACTTTTCAAAAAATAGATCCCCAAAAATTGTCAATTTGACAAATTCAATAAAAATGGCATTTTTTTTTAAAGTTTTATTTTTCGAATTCAATGAAATTGTATTTTATAAAACAATCGTTAGGAATTTATAATTATGGTTTAATATTAAAAAAAAAAAGATGGAAAATAATATGTAGAAAAATTGAAAATTAGTAGTGAAAAATTTGGTTCAGTTTATTGTTAAATAAATTTACAATTTCGTATTGTTTAATTCATTTCATTGTTGAAAATACCTAAAATATTTTATTTACTGTTTTTTTTTATTACTATTTTATTTATTGTTTTATTTACAATTGTTTTTTATTAATATTTTATTCACTAATTTTTATTACTACTATTTTATTTACTATTTTATTTACTATTTTTTATTACTATTTTATTTACTAATTTTTATTACTACTATTTTATTTACTATTTTTTATTACTATTTTATTTACTACTATTTTATTTACTATTTTTTATTACTATTATTTTATTTACTAATTTTTACTACTATTATTTTATTTACTATTTTTTATTTACTATTTTTTATTACTATTATTTTATTTACTAATTTTTACTACTATTATTTTATTTACTATTTTTTATTATTATTTTATTTACTATTTTTTATTATTATGTTATTTATTGTTTTATTTACAATTGTTTTTTATTACTATTATTTTATTTACTAATTTTTATTACTATTTTTCTTTGCTATTTTCATAGATTTGATTTTTGTTACAGTTGCACTCGAATCATTTTCATTTTCCCACATAATCACAAAACGAAACTGTAAATTTTCTCAATAATAAAATATAGACTATTTATTACGAAGGAAGTGATCATCTCGCATTACACGCAGTCTTTTTGACTTTTCATTCAAAAACGAGATGAAAAATAGGAAAGAATGAAATTGCCAGTGGAGATTTATATAAGATGCCGGCGGAAGCTATATTATAAAATGACCAAGAAATTTTTTTTTTTTTTTTTTGAAAAGAAGTCAAAATTGTCCGGATATGTGCGGGTCTCATATAACTATATATATATTGTGTATCACACAATAGGCGGAGCTCAATTGCCATGAAATTTGTGTTGTACCTTTTTTTAAATTTCTTTTGACATACCTTGAAAACGGCTCGGAAACACATTGCTTTCACGACTCTTTTTCTCCATTTTTTTTTCCCGCAAGGTAGATAGATATATTGTATAATATTGCAAGAGGAAAATTGCTTTTAATGACGTGTACAAGTGATTTTTTTTTTGTGGGTGTGTAATTCGGAAGGCGTTTTCACACTTTATATTATATATATATATATACATATATTGATCGATGATAAAGTGCGTGGGAAAAATATCAACTTTTGTGTTTATAAAAAAAATTTCACACGATATCTTATCGTGTCTTGAAACATTTGCAATTTTTCGTTTTATTCAATTTTTCAATAAAAAAAAGTTTACGAAATATTTTTATACTTTATCAAATATGAGATCTGATTTTTATTTTTTTTGAATAATAAATAAAAAGATTTTAATTTTTAATATTTTTATTTTTTTGGGATAAATTTTGTATTTTTAATAATATAAATATTTTATTTTTTGAAAAATTTTGTTGCAATATATATAGAAATATTTGGATTTTATTTTTGAAATTGTTGAGATGAATTTTTATTACTTTTTTTTTTGGAGAATAAGGTGCATGTGAAATCGACCTTAAATCATTGTTCACGGTTAATTTGTCGGCACAATTGATCCCCATGTAAGGTGGTTATGAATACAAGTTATCCCGCCCGAAACACCCCCAGGAAATGGTAGTATATATTCAAACTATACCGCCCCTGTCATTCTTCAATCGAACAATTTTGTTGTCGACTCTTGTTGAATCTAATGGATATCATATTATTAGGGCGTTTGGAAAATGACATTCAAATGAATAATACTTCTGTCAACATCAATCTAAACTTAAAGATATATATATATTCACATGTCAGGAATTTTTGCCTTTTTTTTATTTAATTTATTTCTTTTTCAATTTAAATTTGAAATTCATTTTAATTAAAAATTCGATCAGTGGAGAAAAATTAAAATTACATGTTTGGTAAAGTAAAATTTCTCGATTAAATAAAAATTAGAAAATGCGTTGTAATTAAAAATTTGGCTAAATGGAAATTGGATTAATTGAATATTCAAAAAAAAGTTTCAATAAAAAGTAGGCTAAATGAAAATGTATGTAATACTTTTTTTAATTAATACTTTTTTGAAATATTTACAGAATACATAAAAAAAAAGGGGAGTAATGAATACAAATCGACTCATCTATAAAATTCGTTACCTGCTTGAATTGATTTCTAATCCTAATGTGGAACATTTATATCCTGCGGCGACGGCGGCGGTTAGTTTGGAACCTTTGGATTTTCATTTTTCCTGCAGGGGTTTTTTTTTTTTTTTTTTTTTATTTTGAAAAATGTAAATATAGTGCGTATAAGATGGGGCATCATCGGTGCATTTGAACTTTTAGCTGAAAAGTCTTTTGGTAATAAAAAAAAAAAAAAACCATATATAGGGGCTGTTGGCCTCGAGCCACGGATTGAATTGGATCGGCTTAGAGTTGATTTAAGCCAATCAGTAAACAAGCAGTCACCAGCCCCGGATATATATATATACATATATGAGAGTACTGATCTCGTTAGCTCTTACAAGTTCAATGTTGCGTTTCTATGCGTTTGCTACCGCATGTTCTTTCATTCAATTTCAAATTCAACATCATTCTTTCTTGATTTTTTATCCTTATATATAGTTCCTAAAAAGCATCAATTCGCTACCGAATAATGTTAAATTTCATTCATGATTCAGATCAATTTCTATTTTTTTTTCATCTCTCTTTGATTCTGCGGTTTTTTTAAAATTTTTTTTATTTGTGGTAAAAAAAAAAAAAAATCTCTATTTTTCAACAACTCAATTTAAATTTTTCGAATAATTTTGTACATTAAAAAATTGTGCCAAATAAGAATATAAAAATTAGAAATTAGTTTAAATGAAAGTTAAGTCAAACAAAAATTGAAACTTATATATATAGATAGATAAAGATTGGGCTAAATAAATAAAAATTTGATTAAAATTAAAAAATTCAAATAATATAAAAAGGAAAAAATTAGGTCAACTGACAATTGAATTTGGGTCGAATATTATAACACTTGAAATTTATAATGGAATTTTATTTTATATCCGTCTCGAATTTTTATCTTTGAAAATGGGGAATCAATTTTTTTTTTTCTTGTAAAAAAAAAAGAAACGAAAATTCCGTTGTGTTGAACCTTTTATATAAATTTTGAAAGACGATCCTTTTCATTGTTGCAAAAAAAATCGTAAACATTTAAAAGAATAAATTTTCGAAAGTATATATATATATATATATATATATATATACTACATAATACTAAACTATAATCCTGTAGTGTTAAACGCGCGCGAAGCTTGTAAAACGCGCGGTAGCCAAAAGGCTGTCAACGACACCAGTAATCTCTTTTGGTAATCGTGACAAATTATAGACCAAGTTATGGGTCTCGTGAATACATATATATATATATAGTGTGCTTCGCGTCCTCGTGGTCCTGAGATGAATGGGGCTCTAGGTGCCAGGTGGGGCGTGCGAGCCCCATGCTGGGTAGCAAACAATTATATAACACCCATTTATATATATATATAGTCACTGCGGGAAACCCGTTAAAGAGCATTCAAGTCGATTTCGATCTCACTAAAAAGATGCAACGATTATAAAAAAGACGCGTGGCTCCGGAGAAAGTGAGAGAGAGAAAAAAAAAACAAACAAAATACCTGATAAAATACCAAATATCAAACAAATTTGAAAATTATCTTTCAATATTTTTATTATCCTTTTTGTAAGTTAAATTTTAATTTTAAGCAAAGAAAAATTATGAAATAAAATAGAAATGATTTTTCTCCAAAATTCTTTTTTTTTTTATGAAATTTTATCTAATTTTTATTTGGCAAAGGACGCATTAATAAGGTCTAAAAAAATTTTTTTTTTATAATTATAATTTGATAAAATTTTATTCTTTAGAATATTAATTCTTTATTTTTATAGAAAATGCAAATGGTCGAAAATCATTAATTTGACGCAAGAATTTTTAATTTAGACGAAAATTAATTTGAGAGAAATTTAATTTTCAAATAAAATTGAGATTCGTTGTGAAATTAAATTTCTGTCAAATTATAATTTTTGACTATATTTACATTTTGTGAAAAATTAATATTCGAATAAATAAATATTCTGCAAAATTAATATTCTATAGAAAATAAGATTTTATCATTTTTCTAAACGTATCATTTGAACTAATTTTTATTAAACGTAATTTTTAATTAACATATTTTTTTTTATTCTAATTCTTTTGTAACCTGATCACCATTTGATAGAATTCTTAAATTTAATTTAATATTTATATAATTCTTATTTAAAATAAGGAATTAGGCCTAATAAATATTTAACTAAATAAAAATTAGATGAAAACATTACCAATAAATATTAGGCGAAATTAAATTGAAGTTAGAGACATAAGAATTAGGGCAAATAAAAATTTGATTCAATTTGGAATTTCAATTGGAAAATAATGAATTTCTCTCGTTTTTCTTTTTTTTTTGATAAAACTAAAATGAATTCAATGTTTACAGATGTGATAAGCTGATGGTGAAATCAAATTCAAAATTCATTTGAGATTATAATTTTGGAGAATTATTGTCAATTCGCGAGATGACGCTGGTTCTGCTGAGAAATTGGTATAAGGCGCGCGGGAGAGTGACGGATAGAAGCTCGTCATGACACTTTGCTGTTTAGGTAAGATATTTGTGCTCGCAAATATTTGGAGATTGTCTACAGCCCCTAACCACTGTGCACCACTCTATCGACTCTTGTTACATTTAATGAATAGCATACTAACGCGCCAACATCACAAATGTACATATACTTCAGGAGAATGTTGATGCAAATATGTAAACAGACCGGTTACACATTAAAAAAAAAAAAAACCCCCTAAATTATTCCGTAATACTCAGATTCTTTTTCTCTTTCATTTCTTTTCTTTATTTAAGAAGCAACAGTTTCTTAATACAAAACGCAGTGGGGGACACATTTATATATTTCAGTTTAGATAAATCAATAGTCTTTCTACAAAATTATTAAATTATTAATTATTAAATTTTAATATTCATAATTATTTATAAAAATTCATTTATGGAATATAATTCGATTTAAATATATTTAGTTTGATTTTTAATGTAAATTTTTATTTTGATTCGAATTTTAATTTTTATCTAAATTTATAAATTAAAAAACGTTCAATAATTCGAAATAATTAAATATTTGTCAATTGAAATGATCAGTAAAAAAAAAGGGAAATGTTTGAAAAAGTAACTGGCTAAAATGTGGGGATTTAAAAAAGGGATAGATGAACTCTTGAGTGTTGAGAAAGCTCACACAAAATTTTGCATTTTCTCTAACCGCGAGCGTCACGACGCCGGGCGTCGTTTGCCAAGCACACATTGATTCACTCGTTGGCTTTACTATATATGTATATATATTATACTCGCAACGCTTTTGTTCGTGTGTATATGTGAAAATATATATATATATATATATGTATGGGCTTGAAAATACATTTGTATTCGTGTACACGTATTCATTGAACATTTGCGTGTATATGAGATTTCTATATATATACATGTACTCGTTCTGTGCTGGTGTGTACGATGTCAATATTATACGACAAACACACTTAAATAGGCTTAAAATACTAACATCATCCTCATTCTTCCAGCACTGGTGAATTGTGTGCGCTATGACTTTATAGAAGTGTTTAGTCATATTGTCATATATATATATATATATACATTGCCACTGTAGCACAAATTATTATCAGACCAATATTTTTGTGTGCGGATAAAATCACAACACACACAAAAAAAAAAATTTGTTGTATAATAAGAAAATTATTTGAATTATCCAAACTATATAAAGATTTGTCATTGACTTCAAAAAAATTTCGATTTTTATTATTAAAAATTATTCTCCACTAAATTATAATAATATTTAAAATAATTTTAATGAAATTTTTCACAAATTCAATTATTTTAAACTATTTTTCAATTATAGAATTTTTATGAAATTTAATAATTGTTTATAATTTAAAAAAAAATTATATAATAATAAAATGCTTGGTCTGTCCTTCTATCCTAACTTGAAGTTGGCCTTTTCTGATTTTACATGTTTTTTTGAATAATAATCTTATGACGTGTCAAATTTTGACAATTCTTTTTCTCATTTTTGCCAAAGTTGTATAATTGTGTTTCCAAATTTCGGAATAAGTTTCATTAAAATTCCAAATTCGGAAATTCAAAGCTGAATTTTTAAAAATTAATTCTTAAGGTACCAGGGGCCAACGAATACCTATTAAATATAAATTATAAAAATACAGGCCTCGAATCAACTTAAAGACACAAAAAAGTCGTTTTAGTCGATTTATATTCTAGAAAAAAGTGGATTTGTTTTTTATTTTAACAAAAATATTTTACAGTTTTTTAAATAAAAAATTTTTTTTTAATAAAAATTCTTTTCGAAGGGTTAAAGTTAAAATTTTTAGAAATAATTAAATTTCAAAAGATATTGTTAATTTTCAAACAATTATTAAATTTTACCAAAACTAAAAATAATTTATCAAACAATTTTTGGAAAATATTTTTTAAATTTAATTGAATTTTCAAAGATTTAAAATTGAGATTTTTGAAATTAATTGAAACTTTAAGTGCTTTGTAATTAAAATTTTAGATGATTTCACTAAAAATTTATTAGAAAATGCGGACAAAAGACAATAATTTGAAAATCATTTTTAATTAAAAAATGGTTTCAGATAGTTGAAATTTTAAAGAATATTATTAAAATAGTTAAAAATAATTGAATTTCCTTAGAGTTATAATTGAAAATATTAAATTTCAAAAAAAAAAGTTTTCGATGGAAAATTTTAGAAATAATTAAATTTTAGATGCTTATAAATTCAAATTATTGAAAATTCAATTAATTTTGAATTCAAATTTTTGAGAATAATTAAATTTTATTTGATTTTAAATTTGGAAAATAAATGAATTGAAAACTTTGGGAAATAATTGAATTTTAATTGATATTTTGGATAATTATTGGATTTTTAATTGATTTTGAATTAAAATTTCTTGTAATAATTGAATTTTAGTTTATTTTGAATTGAAATTTAAAAAAAAAAATTCAATTTTATTGTGATTTTTTTTTTAAATTATAAACAATTGTTAAATTTCATAAAAATTTTAATTGAAAAATAATTTTGATATAATTGAATTTGTTATGTATTTCATTAAAATTATTATTAAAAATAATTAATTTAGTGAAGAATCATTTTAGTTTATCTTTAATTTCTTTATAACAAACAATTAATAACTCAATTTGGCGCGCTTGCGCGCATTTAATTTTGCTAGTTATTAAAAAAATTTTAATTTAAAATCACTTAATATTTATAATTATTTTTAATTTCAATTATTTTTATAATATTCTTTGAAAACTCAAATAATATGAAATCATTTTTCATTTAAAAATTGCTTTCAAATTATTTTATTTTTATCTGGCATTTCTAATAAATTTTTTAGTGAAATCATTAAAAAAAAAATATTTTTAATTAAAATTCACTTGAAGTTTAATTAATTTCTAAAATCAAAATTGTCAATCTTTGAAAATATTCAATTAATTTTAAAAAATCCAAAAATTTTTGTAAAATTATTTTTGTAAAATTTTATTACAGTCTGACGAAAATTAACTTCAAAAATTATTTTTTAAAAAAAGTTTTTATTTAAAAATCTGTAAAACTTGATTAAATATTGCCTCTGAAATTTTTTTTTTGACCATCAAAATAAAAAAACTATGACAAAATTTTAAATTCGAATAAATTATAGAATTAATAAAATTAATTTAATATCTAATAACGTGTTAGTTATTTAAAGTAAAATATTTATTAAATTAAATGTCTTTAAAATAAAAATCGACTTTTTTTTTTTGCCTTAAGGACAGGTCAAAGTCGAAGTAATTTTTACTAGAGCCTCAATGGGAAAATCGCATCGACTTTGACCTATGCCCTTAAAGTCGATCCAAAGTCTAAAAGTGCTTTAAAATTGTATCATATAATTTCAACTTTAATTAATTTAATTTTCTAATTAATTTAAAATAATTTATAATTTAAATGGAGATTATGTTAAATTAAATATAAAGGCAATTTAATTTAGTTAACAAATATTGAAATATAAAATACAATTTATTAGAGAGATTAATACTTGATAAATATTAGAGTAGAAGGCTTATTATATTTAAATATATGCGACACTGGTCACACACATGTCTGTAGATTTGTGGTCGAGAATATGAGGAAGACCGCAACCCTTTCTAATTTCCTACGTTTTAAGGATTAAAGGACAATTTTGAAGAGATGGTGGAAGGGGGGTCAAAAAACCACAAGTCCTTTTCCGAGGAAAATCCAGTGGACTAATTCATATAGCCGCAGAACATAATTTAATTATATATATTACAATAAAATATTGAAAATAATTGAATTTAAAAATAATTTTTACATAAAATTGCCACTTGTATCTTAATTGATACATAATTAATAATTATAATTTTAAAAGAATTGAAAATGACTGATAGAAATAATATATATTATTTATTTGTTTAAGGAAGAAGAATGCCTGGAATGGTATAAGGAGAAGATGGAAAAAATATTGAGGGAAAGGGGATGAACCACGACAGTAGCAGAGGCGAGGAACTAGTAACGAGTATTTGCTGGCCAGCTCGATGCATAGTTAATGATTTGTCAACTGAACCTCCCCATAGAGCAGAGAGAGAGAGAGAGAGAGGAGAGAGCATATCGAACTTGACTAGGCCAATACATCGGGTGACCAGAAACACCCGTCACGTCGTGTGGGCACAGATAACGCATAATTGTCCAAGTACGTGCATTCACTCTCAAATAGAGATCGGTACACATAAATATACACGTGCACATCATGTTTGGCTAAAATATACCTATATATATACGCGCGCGACGGACGATCAAAGTGTTGCGTTTACTTTCGTCCTCGGCGTATATTTGCCCTCGTTGTCGGATTCAACCGATCTGCGGAAATGACGAATTCGACACTGTGGATTTGAAAAAGGGCCATAGACAGAGAGAGAAAGAGAGATCACTGACGGAATGAAAAACGATATATTTCGATTTACACTTCGCGCCTGTAAAGCGCGAGCAGGGCGTCATTGCGACACAATATATCCCACCGCCGTCGGGATCTAAAATTGAAAGCGCGCGATATTATTTCCTCGGGGCGTATTCTCCAAATAATATTTTTTGATATGAGCGAATTTTTATTTATTTAAATTAGCTACATATTCACTGAATTTTTGGTTGGAATTCCCATTTTTAGAGAATTTTTATATTTTCTTTAAAGGTATATATTTTTCCAGTTATCAAAATTTTTATTTGTCTATTTTTATATTTAACCAAATTTCCATTGTTGGGGACGTAATTTTTATTAAACGGAATTTTCAATTTGTCGTAGAATTTTAGTTTCTATGCAAATTTCTAATTAACCAAATTTTCTATAATTAGGGGAATTTTTATTTAACTAAATTTTCCTTTTCACATAATATTTTTATACGGAATTTCCATTAAATTTGATAAAAAAATTTGATTTGGTGGCAATTAAAATGGTGTTTATTAATAAAGCGCAAAAATTTTGCTTAATTTTTAATTATTTTCTTTTTCTAGATTTCATCGCGATTTTGCAGTTCTTATCAAGAAAGAATTAGAAAATGAACTTCATCGTGGATATAATCTTAATTGAATTTTTTCCCCCAAGTATATGGAAAAACAGAAAAATTCTTAAATTGCATTATTTACAAACAGGTGAATTAATAATTTTTAATATTTCAATATAAAAAATTTTTCATTTGAAATAATTAAATTTATTTGAATTTTAATATCGAAAAATTTCTATTCGCAACTAAATTGTGATAAAGTAGATTTTCAATAATATATCGAATTTATTTAATAGAATTATGTCATTTAACCGAAATTCTATTGAAATTTTTAAGATAGAGAATTTTTTATACAAAATTAGAATTTTATTGTTTAGAAATTTTTCGATATTTAAAATTGAGCTCATTATAAAATCTACTTTTTTAAAATTCTACTTAAAATTCAATAATTTTTAATACGACCCTATACAAAAATTCCGACAAGTTTAATTAAGGAAATATTAATGCGTCGCAAAATTGGAGTAAATTAATTTAAATAATAAATTATAAATTCAATTAAAATTCTATAAAAATGCTAATAGAAAATAAAAATTCGGCTAAAAGAAAATTTTTTAAACAAATTGAAAATTTCATTTTTGATTAAATAAAAATTTGAAAAAAAATTCGGAATAAAATTGAAAATTATACTAATGAATTTTTTTTTTTTTTTTAGATAATAGATGCGTTGTAAAATTTGGACTAGACAAAATATGGCTTATATTTGGATGTAGAGTGGAATAGGAAGATGAAATTGAATATGACGAGGGGTAGCTGCTGGGGTCTCTCTCTCTCTCTCTCTCTTTGCGAGTATATATAGTTATAGTTAGCTTTGGCTGGTCGATGGTGCAGCCCGCGTAACGCCCAGCTACTGCGCAACCATTGCGCGAGCCACCATGTTTAATGCTCACGAATTCGTTCATCTTTCATTCCTCCAGTTTGGTGCTTTCCTCTCTCTCTCTCTCTCTCTATATATATATATATATATATATATATATAAATATATATCCCTCATGTTGGTGTCTCTGGTTGCAAATATTCTTATAATATACCCATCCTAAGTTCACCGCACATACAAACAAATTCCTATATATATATATATATAAACTTTTCTCTATAAAATCTGCTCCTGAAAACCGCACACATATCCTGACTTTTCAAACCCTTTGTTTTGACCAATTCCTTTCTCCCTTTTGTGCGGTTTCAATTTCAAACGACTGATGCTTTATTTTTAACGTGTTTTTCATGAGAGCTGATTGTATTTTTAGCTGCCAAATTGCAGCCAATCATTAACGAGATGAAAGGATGAAAAGGAAGGGATACAGACCGCGGGACTCGTTGCATTTTCATGCGGCGAGCTTTTCCTATATATATATACATATATATGTGTGTTTAATCGAGTCCTCTAAATTGCAGACTGCCACTAATTCAAAATATTGTTCAACTCATTTCTTTTTCGGTTCGAAATTATATATTGAATTGAATACAAAATAAGGGTTTTTTTTTTAATTCACTGAAACTCAAGTTATTGAGACAGGTTTCGGTGTATATTTTAACGCGCAGAAATGAAAAAATCTTGCATTTCATATCTTTCGAAACAAAATTCAATTACAATATGATAATTTTTTCTTTAAAATTGATTTAAAATAATTTAATTTTAAAATTAATTTAAAATTAATTTAAATTTAAACTGAAAAAATTAATTTTATTTGATTTAATTTAATTGTATTTGGACCAATAATTTCTATATATTTAAATTTTTGGTTAAATGAAATAAATGGATTTGGTTACTATATTATGGCCATTGAAAATATTTTGAATATAATTTTTGCCACTATATTTCAAATAATTAATAATAATAATTAAATAAAGTAATTTTTAATATTACTTATATTGAAATAAAAATAAAATTGAAAATTTAGTATATATAATGATTTTCAAATTAATGCAGTTATATATAATAATAATAATAATAATAATAATAATGAATCGTGTGCGGTTAAAAAGTGACTTTTTAAAATATATAAAATTTTGTTGATTGACACATACAATGATGCACTTAATATGACATCCGACGTATATATATATATATACATAATTAAAACATTGGTGGTGCTAAGTGAGCATAACGAAAGTAGAAAGGGAGTTTATTCGTTTGGTCCGTTTTTAAAGCTTGTGTATTATAGACGATGATGCGTCGACAATATATATATATATATGAGGCAAGCATTTATTATAACCACCCCCGTTCCATGAAATTGCAGTATAATAACTTACGTTGCCCAAGGTTGAATTCAACGATCGACAGGAGGACAAACCGTACAAAACCCTACCCCTTGACATACCACTGACGTGCAGAATAAATTAAAAATGAATAGGCAGAACAAGACTCGAATAATATAATAATGTGATTCTCATATATATATATATAGCTAGAGGCATTTATATTTGACGCATGATTGTCTTTTAATGACGTACTTGTTTTATTTCATTATAAAATTCTTTCTAAAAAATTTCATTGATTTTTTTTTCTCAATTTTTGGCTTGAATTTTGACTAAAATTTAATTTTTCCGAATTTTTATTTCTTTCTATTATTTAAACGAAAATTTTATTTTTTCTATTTCTATATTCAACAGAATTTTTATTTGACCTAAATTTTAGATTTCTTCTCTCTAAATCTGAATTAGTAAAAATGTTTACTAATTTGAATTAGTGACTCACTTTTTGCTTCTGAATTAGTAAAATTTTATTAATTATTAGTAACTTTTACTAACAATTAGTAAAATTTAAGAAAAATAAATAAATAATAAATAAATAAATAAATAAATTTTAAATTTTAAATTAGTAACTTTTACTAACAATTAGTCAAATTTAACTAATTCAGAAGCAAAAAGTGAGTCACTAATTCAAATTAGTAAATATTTTTACTAATTCAGATTTAGAGAGTTTGTATTTTCGTTAAGGCGAAATTTAGTTCTCTATTTCCATTTACAGGAATTTTTGTTTGATATATTTTAGTTTTTTTTTTTTCGAAAGTCAATTTTATATTTTTTGCGAATTTGGTAGAATTTTTATTTTAGAAAATTTATTTGTTGTGAAATTATATAATTATACAGGAAAAAAAAAGATAATTATATCGATTAAAAAATCATGGAGTAAAAAATGATTTTTGTCGCCGCATATTCTATAGCGTCTTTTCGTTGAGCCCCCTTTTCATTTAATTCCACACGTAATTAATAAACTTTTACCTCTTTCTCTCTGTCTTTCTCTTGTGCTATATATATATATACTGCTTTTAGTCCTTTCTCTATTTAGAAACGCGAGGACTCTCTGACAGAAGCCTCTTCTCGTCGTTTCTCTCAGAGAACGCCCGAATTCATCTTCTAACCATTTCACTTCAAAGGGAGACTGCTGCTGTCTACCCCTTTTCTGTGAAAAACCACCTTCAAAACCTCCCCCAAACCCTTATATATATATATATATCTCTTCTCATTCCCAACGTCTCAAATCCTTTACTCTATGATGCTTCAAAGACAGCCATTCTTTCGGAGAGTCTCAATATTATAGCTCCTGTGTCCTTTCCTTGATGTTACAATGTTTAAGATTTTATACGAGCATCGAGGTAAATTTTTTATTAACTCTTTTTTTCTCACAGAAAATTGTCCAATTTTTTTTTTTTTAAGCATGAGATTTAAAAATCTTTTTTATTGTCTTTCTATATTTAATTTGCAAAATTTATTTTAATTTAAAATTTTTATTTTTATATTCACATCGAAGAATTTTTATTTAACAATTGAATTTCCATATTGAGAATTTATATTCACAGAATTTCCATAAACTGAATTTTTATAAAACGAAATTATTATATATAAATTAAAATAGTTTTATATAATTAAAGTAATCAATTAAAAATTTGATTTTATATTTTTATTTTATCAGACGTAAAATAAAAGAATTTTTTTTTTATAATTTTTTTTTTTGCATAAATTATATTTTATAAATACATTTTTTTTTATTAGTATAACAATTGTCATTTTCATATAAATAGATCAGATTAATTTGTTTTTAATTTGTTTGCTCGAAAGTTATTCTTTCCCTAGTTGTGTATATCTTGGTATATTTATTAATAATTAAAATATTTTCAATGCAAATATTTATTAGAGAAAATTCTCATTTCAAATACCATTAAATACTTTATATATAAATATATACAATATATGTGAAAATGAATATTTTGTAGATAAAAAAAATTTTAATTACATTTTTTATACCTTCGATGCAATTATATAATTTTGTAAAATTCAAAAAAAAAAAATTTCACAAAATTGAAAGATTAAGAAATTATTAAATTTATAAATATTAATATTAATTTAAATATATATATATATATATTTATTTCGATACAAAATTTGATTAAAGTTTTGGGTGGGAATTTATTAATATTTCTGTGAAAGAATTAGAGATAAAAATATCAGGATCATCTATAAAATAAGTATATATAAGGGGTTATGCGACATATATAATTATGAATAAAAGCCACGCGCTTCTGTCTTGATATACGAACACATAATAGACGTTTAGGGCGTTTGACCCTCTTTTTTTTTCTTTTATATACCTTCGTCAATCCACGTGACCGGAAACTAAAGACCGGACATTGGAAAGCTCATCGTGTGCTTGAAAATAAAAAAAAAAAAGTTTGTGTAATGAGTGAACGAAATAATTACATTTAAATTACAACGATTTCGTCATGTTTATTCTTCATTTATTATTTATCGTGAGAACGATGTTCGATTCAAAAAAAAAAAAAAAAAAATTCATAAATATATGTGATGGATTTACGATTGTCATTCCATGAATATTGTCTAAATATTTTACAACTAAGAAAAAAATTTATTTTATTCACAATTCTTTTTTTTTATTCTTAATCATTTTATTAAATAATTTTCATTAATTAAAAAAGCAAGATTTAATTTCAAACATTAAAAATGTTTTAAAATAATTGTATTAACTATATATAGTGTAATAATAACTATTATTTAAAATAATAACGTCTTTTTTTATTTTTCAGATGAGTGAATAATTAACTGGCGGAAGTTTAATTTACAAAGAATCATATACCGCACGTAAATGTAAACACAGATCTTTATGGCAAATTCTCGCCCATCGATAAACTGCGTGTTCCAGATATGATTTACACCAGTTGTTAATTTCATAATTCATAAGGTAAAAAATTATGAAAGTATACTATAATTGCGTAATGATTTTTTTTTCGAAATCTTAAAAAAAAGAGATAAATATATTTATTAATTCGAAACAATGGAACGCATGAATATAAGCTTTAAACAAAATATTTTAAAATTATAATTTGATAGAAATCTTATTCTTTAGAATATTATTAATTTTGCAGTTAATATGTTGCCAAATTAATATTCTATACAAAATCAAAATTTCGATCAAATTGAAATTCAATAAAATTAAATTTCTGGCAAAATTAATTTTCGCGTTTAAATAAAAATTCCGTCAAATTAATTTTTGACCATTTGCATTTTCGAAAACATTTAATATTCGAAGAAATAAATTTTTTTTGCAAAATTAATATTCTAAAGAATAAGAATCTATATCAAATTATAGCATAAATATATATTTGATTTAGAGCTTATTCATGCGTTCCGAATATAAATAATTCGTTTCGATTATTTTATCTATTTTTTAACTTCAATTCTCTATTTCTTATTTTATTTAAATTTCCTATAAAGAAAATAAATTTTATTAATTATAAAATTTTATAAAAAGACATATATATTTCAAAGAATTGTATTTTTTTACCAAACTTATGTGTTTATCTTTTTTTTTTTTTAGGATAACAGCGCAAATACAAAGTACCATCTTTTATATATCAATTAAGCAGAGGCAATTGGTGGAAAAAAAAATTCACTTTGTACAAAATTGAATTAGCCGCACGGCTTTACTTTTTTTCCTCATGTGATAATTTTTTTTTTGTTCTCTCTTCATTTAATGAACAAGGGACTTTGACTATATGCGATATTATATATATATCTATGAACGAGATAGGTAGATTATCGTCATAGTGGTATACTACTGCGCTGGTTATGATCCAAACGATGGTCAGAGTCAGTCAATAGGTACATATATGTAGTTCATCCGTTGATGGGAATAAAAGGGGGGCAGAGAAGGTGATTTCAAACGGGGGGGATTCGAAAATGGCCAGGACAAGGGATGGTGAAGAGGAACGAGAGGGCAGAAATGGGTTGTACGATCAAGGGGGAGTGGCGCAAACATTTGCCTGCCGCCCGGTAAATTAAAAGCACACAGAGAGAGAGAGGAGTATAAAGTGAGAGAGAAAGATGAAAGTATATATATATATATATGCTTCCTCTTCCTTTTCTTTTTTGCTATATATATACTTTCTCTCTCAAAAAGGTTCTCCTCTTAAATCCAGTAAAAAAAAAAAAAAATCCACTCCTTTCATTTACTTCCAAAGCGATACACCCTCCACTGGATCTCATTGAAGTATATATCTTTCGGGAGAGAACCACTTTAACTCTATATATATCTGACCATAGTTTCATTGACTTCTATATAATCAAACATGTATGTCCTCTCGTTTCCTTCAACTCTTGGAATCAATTTCCAATGTGAAACGAATTTTATTATCAACCAATTATACTATTTTAACCGAATTTTATTTAAATTTTCTATTCAACCGTATTTTATAAAGTATAGAACTTTTTTTAAGCCGAATTTTCATTTGAATTCTTTAAAAATTTCTATTGAGCCGAATAAATTGAAGTTCGGTTAAATAAAAATTTTCAGACAAATTAAATGCAGATAAATAAAAATGTCAGGCAGCTGCGGCTATCCGGAAAAATTGAAATTCGGATAAATGCAAAATTTTAGAAAAATTAAAATTCGGGTAAATGGAAATTTGGTTAAATAAAAATTTTTTAGACAAATTAAATTCGAATAAATGAAATTCCAGAGGCAACTGAAAATTCGAATAAATTGAAATTCGGTTAAATAACATTTTCAGATAAGCTGAATGCAAATAAAAGTGTCAGGCTACTATGGATATTTGGAAAATTTGAAATTCGGATAAATGAAATTTTAGTCCGAATTTTATTTAAATTTTCTATTTAACCGTATTTTATAAAGTATAGAACTTTTATTTAGCCGAATTTTCATTTGAATTATTCAAAAATTTCTATTGAGCCGAATTTTCACAGCGAAGAATTTTTTATTCCATCACTGGAATTATTGAGAAGAATTTGTATTTTATATATATATATATATATATGTATAGAATTTATTGAAACGAAAAGAATTTTTCTTAATTCAAAAATAATTGTTAATTTAAATTAATATAAAACTCGAATTTTTATACTACACTCAGAAAAAAGATATGTTTGAACCAAAAATGTACCATTTTTTTATATTTACCCAATTTTTTGGTTAGTTCAAACAAAATTTGTTTATTTCACTAAATATTTATTTGATCTAAATAATTGTTTGGTTTATTTTAATAAATTTTTTGAACAAAGAAAAAATTTGATTGAGCTAAATAAACGTTTGGTTTATGCAACCATAAATGTTTGGTTAACTGTATATCATCAATGCATTTATTTTGTTGATTTAACCAAAATTTGGTTGCTTCTATCGAATTTTTTTCTGAGTGCGTAAAATAGAATTTTTATTCTCCAACAAATTTTTATTTATAATTAAAATATTTTTAAACCCCTTTCTTTTTTAATATATATAGAAATACATAATTTTTAAATGGTGAAAATTTTTCGCTGTATCAAAATTAGGTTCTATTATGTATATAATAATTTATAAATTGCTGTTAAAATTGAAAAAATTTTATCTTTATTGTAAAAGTGAATCGAATTTTGAAAGAAATGTTAATTGTCGTTTTGCTATAATTAATTTTCTCGTTTGAAGTTGATATTTTTTTATTTGATAAGATGGACACTGTCTCTCTTTCTCTCTCTCTCTCTCGCGTTCGTTTGACACCGTGTCTGAATGAGTTCACATATACTTTCTAGTTGAAACCTAGAAGGGATAGTAGTGCATATAAGTCTGTATATGTTGACACGCAAATATTTACCGCAGTGTATACACATCAACCTTCTGCCCCTCATTTCTTTTTATCAAAGCACTCTTTTTTTTTTTTTTTTTTTTTTGACTTTACACCATGAAACTTTTTACACACACTTAACAATATATATTTATATAATTACAAATTATTTAATTGAATTAAAATCGCAAACTTTTGTCATAAGCACCGTCGCAACTTTTTTACTTATATATTTTTCATACTTCTTTCATTTATTTTATATATTTCTTTCATATTTTATATTTATTTAATTATATTTTGTTTCAGAATTTAATGGATATATTCTTTTTATAAAATACCTATACAAATGTATAAAATTTGGATTATCCGAAATTATCGCATCGATGGAATTGAGAAAAAAAATAAACTGAAACATCGCAGGATTAACTGAAGTACTTCTTGACTAATCAAAACATAATATATATATGGTGGAAAAAAATTTCTTCATTTTTGTGCAGCATCCCTTTCATCGTTCAAGGTACATTTTCTAAAAATAATATTTTTGCTACAATCGAATCGAAAAGAATTATTTCCATTAAAGTTTTGTTGATTTAGTTTTATAGTATAATTAATAACATTATTTTTTATTTTTCTTAAAAAATATAATATAATAAGATAAATGTCCTGCAGACTTCGTCACTCTGCGTTTGGTTTGAAAATGAAAAAAAAAAAATATTTTCAACAAATAAAAATTATGTTTTTTTTCAATTTTAAATATTTTTATATAAATAATAATTATTATATTATTTCAAATACATTGATTTAAATTCTCAGCAAATATGTGACGATAACTAGGGCATTTATCTTAATTTATTTTATATATATATACCTTTTGCTATAAAAAAAGGCAAGTTTTTTAATGAATGAAATTGATAAAACCGGCTTTATATGCTACAAAATAATAATAATAATAAAAAAAGTGAAAGTATCGACGGTGTTAAAATGTTTACGAGATATTATAAAAGATGCAGAAATATTGTGAATGAAGACAGGTAGCCTTCGAATTAATTATCATACAATCAAAAATTCAACAACCGGTCTTACAAAAGTAAAATCTCATCTCGACAACACCCACGCAAAAATTCTATATATATACTTTTGACCCGATAATGCACTTTTCAGTTTTATTTTTTTGTTTCAATAAAATTGATATGTATTTTCTGTAATTTTTTTTTTCAGTTTTATTTCTGAATCAATAGGATTTCGTATATATGGTGAAAGAATCGTGATTTGACCATTTTTTTAATAGAAAACAATTGAGGCATTGTTTCTTAAAAAAAAAAAGAAAAGAAAGAGAAAAAAAGAAATTGAGAGAAAAAGTGAAAGAGAATTTTTAAAGTCTCAGGATATAGAAACGTATTTATGCAACTTATAGCAAGAGAGGAATATACAACTGTGTTCGTCGTTGAAGCTGAGATGTGGGTATATAATTGAAGGGCCGTTCGGTAGCCAGTTATCCTGATTAACACCATGGACCACACACGACGGTTCCTCTTCTCTTCCAAGTATTCAAAAATCTAACTATATATATATGCGCGACTTTAACTTTAGTCCATGGAATCAAATACATGGTTCTGAGTAGCGTCAATTTGCACTCAAAATCTAACTCCATTGACACTTTAGAATCTTCTCATAAATAGAACAAAACTCCAATTAGCAACAATTATTACAAAAAAAGAAAAAGAAAACCAGGAATATTCTTCGAAATTCATTTATTCAAATTTCCAGTGAATTTTTATAATAGATCGAATTTCTATTAATATTAAAATAATATTCGACCTTAAATGAAAAAGTCAAAATTTTTTTAATTCACAAAACGAATTTCTTTTACTGTCCATATAATTTTAGAAAAAATTTCTATTTATAAATTTTTATTTCGTTTATCCGAATTATATAACTAATTCGTCTAAATATCAATTAATTCGATTATTTTCTCATTAGAATTTTAATTATTTAAATATACGAAATCGAAAAAGGAAATATTGAAATTTTTCCTTATTCATATTTCAGTTATAATTATAGAAAAAACAATATAAGAATTGATCCATAAATTTAATGAAAAAAAAAGTGAATAATTTAATTAATATATATGTAAAGATTAGAAAAATTGAAAATCATTATAATGATGTGAATCATAAAGAATTTCGAGAGGATGTAATAGCAAGTGACATATATATATATATAATAAATTGAGAAAGAGTGAAATTCAAGTAAATTTTTACCGAGATCAGAGGTCAAGGCATATATGATGTGTCTCGCCTTGATGTCCTCACTCTCTGAACTTTGCTGAACTTATATAATATGCATGCGTATAAGGAATGGACCACCCATGTAGAAAGGGATCTTCTCGACTCCGGGCCTCAAGTGTTCATCTCAAGGGTTGTGCGCGCGAACCATGTACTCCATCATCATTCGAATAGTAGTCAGCCAGACAACATTTATATATATATATACGCTCGGACTGTATATAAGATAGACCGTGTTACGCAAAATCAACGAGTCACTTTGGCACCCCAAAAATCCTTTATGCTTCTCAATCTTTTCAGATGACCTCATAAACTCCTTAAATTATTCATATACCAAAGCCGCATATATACATAAGTATCATTTGAATTCAACATTTTTTTTTCTATCATTTCAATATATCAAAAACACAACAAAAACATCGTGATTAATATTTTAAATTTATTTTTATTGTCAATTTATAAAAATTTCCGTTTTATTTGTAAAAATGGTATTTTTTCTCGATTTTAATTTAGAATAATTTTTTAAAGAAAAAATCAAAAAAATATTGAAATAATAAAAGTAAAATTTTTGACAAATTAACATACGGATAAATGGAAATTTGGTTAGATAAAAATTTCGGTGACAAATTAAATTCGGAAAAATAAAATTTCGGGCAACTGAAAATTTGAATAAATTGAAATTCGATTAAATAAAAATTTTCAGACAAATTGAATGCAAATAAAAATTTCAGGCTATTGAATATTCAGAAAAATTAAAATTCGTATAAATAAAATTTTTGGACAATATTGAAATTCGGTAAAATAAAATTTGTTGGATAAATAAAATTTCGGACAACTAAAAATTCGAATAAATTTAAATTTGAGTAAATTTTTTTTTTACAAATTAAATTCGAATAAATGAAATTTCGAATAAATGTAAATTCGGTTAAATAATAATTTTCAGACAAATTAAATGCAAATAAATAAAAATGTCAGGCAGCTGCGGATATTCGGAAAAATGGAAATTCGGATAAATGAAATTTTAGATAAATTAAAATTCGAATAAATGGAAATTCGGTAAAAATAAAATTTTTTTAGACAAATTAAATTCGAATAAATGAAATTCCAGGCAACTGAAAATTCGAATATAAATTGAAATTCGGTTAAATAACATTTTCAGATAAATTGAATGCAAATAAAAATTTCAGGCTACTGGATATTAGGAAAAATTAAAATTCGTAATAAATGAAATTCGGTAAAATAAAATTTGTTGGATAAATAAAATTTCGGATAACTGAAAAATTCAAATAAATTTGAATTTAATGGAGTGAAAATTTTTTTTTTTATAAATTAAATTCGAATAAATAATATTTCCGGCAAATGAAATTTTTAAGTTTCGGAAAAATTTAAATTTGGTTAAATAAAAATTTTTGTCACAAATTAAATTCAAATAAATAAAATTTCGGGTAAATTGAAATTCGGTTAAATAAAAATTTTCAGACAAATTAAATGCAGATAAATAAAAATGTCAGACTGCTGCCGATATTCGGAAAAATTGAAATTCGGATAAATGCGAAATTTTAGATAAATTAAAATTCGGGTAAATGGAAATTCGGTAAAATAAAATTTTTTTAGACAACTTAAATTCGAATAAATGAAATTCCAGGCAACTGAAAATTCGAATAAATTGAAATTCGATTAAATAACATTTTCAGATAAATTGAATGCAAATAAAAATTTCAGGCTACTGAATATTCAGAAAAATTAAAGTTCCTATAAATAAAATTTTTGGACAATTGAAATTCGGTAAAATAAAATTTGTTGGATAAATATAAAATTTCGGACAACTGAAAATTCGAATAAAATTTAAATTTAATTGAGTAAAATTTTTTTTTTTTAATAAATTAAATTCGAATAAATGATATTTCTGGTAAATGAAATTTTCGTGTTTCGGAAAAATTGAAATTTGTTTAAAATAAAAATTTTTATGACAAATTAAATTCGGATTCAAATAAAAAATGTCGAGTAACTTAAAATTTGGATTAATTATATAAATTTCGGAAAAGTGAAACATGGAATAATTGCAAAATTTGTTTATGTGCAATTTGTGCATAAAAAAAGAAATTAAAATCCCAATCACTTGTAATATTTATAATAATTAATTTGAAATTTGTTTGTTTTTTTCTAGAATTCATCATATATGAAGAGAAGGAGGGAAAAGGGAGATAAAAAAAAGGATTTGAGATTTCAGCTCGTTTTGAGGACAGTAAGGCAATATGGCCGATTCATCATGGCACTTTCTGCGACTTCTAGAAGCAGGACGCAGGACGAGAGAAGGGTATTCCTCGCCTGTTATCCAAAGATAAGGAACGGACCCTATATTCTCGTTTCGCTTTCCTCATATATACCTTCCTTTACACTCGACCTTTTATCAATCCCCTCCCACTGTCTTTCCCCTTTTTTGTTCTCACATTACTTTTTCCAATAATTTTTTTTTAAAAATTAGATATATTTTAATTTTTAAATTCTAATTTATTGTTTATTATTCCAGTAATTAAAAAAATTTGTAGTTACCAGTTTTTTTTCTTTTTCTTTTTTAAAATACTAAAATGTTTTTTTTTGAAATTATTGCTATTTTTTAATAATTAATTATTTGTTATATATATATGTATATATATATAATTGTTAACATAATAATTATTATTGTTATATTATAATAATTGTATTTTATTTTTTTTATACAGATTTTTCTACATCGTGGTGACATCTTTGAGAGATTTTGTGAATTTCGAACGTTTATGTTATCCATTGTGTCTGTCAGTCATGTCTGTTTAGTTGTGTTCTTCAGTCATAAGAAGAGCCACGATTAACAAAAAAAAAAATATATATATATTTAGTGAAAAATTCCAAAAAGTGCCGTAGAAAATTATAAATAGTAATAATAATAATAACGAAAACATTGTTTTATCGATAAGCAGATAAATTATACGAAAAACGTGAATTTCAAAACATAAATAAGTGAGTAAAAATATTCTTTAAAATAATTATAAGCATTCTAAAATTAATTAAATTATCCATAAATTAAATTATTATTAGCTAATATACTAATTATTTTTTCTAATAGAATAATTTTCATACTAAAATGAAAAATTTTGTAATTTAATTATATATTTAATTGAATATTAGTTTTTATTTGTATTTTAATTTGTTATTTTATTATCTATTTAAATAAAATTAAATTAATTCATTACAAAGAAAAATGTAATTATATTAAGAAGTAGAAAGGAAGTAGAATTAATTTAATGGGAAGTATTTTTTTTTTATAATATAAAAGAATTAACTTTCTAATCATATAGCATTTCGTAACATATGTTTTATCGCATCTTTAGGGGATACTTTTCTCAATTTATTCACAAGAACATTTTATTGTTTTTTCATTTTTATTAATATTTTAAACTCCATATTTTTTTTTTTAAAGTATAGGCTATCTGAATTACGTCAGCAATGTTATGGGGGCTTTCCTTTAGGATGTGACGTATATACAAAATTCTCGTTTTATTCCTCCAATGGAAGTTGAATTATTAAACAAAATTTCAATGTTTAAATTTCTGTTCTTTTTAAAAAATATTTTATCTCTTTCAATATTTAATTATTATTCTAATTTCATATTTGATTTTTATTACAATTTTTTTTTTTTTATTTAATTTTTATTCTAGATCTTAATTTATCTTAATTTTTATCTGAATTTCTTCGCTTAATTTAATTATACAATTTTCTATATTGAAATTTATTTTTATAATTGAAAAAAGAAAACTAATGAAAATTTTTCTTTTTTTTCAGAATTGTTGAAAAATGCCTTTTTGGTATTATGACAAGGAAGAATTAAAAGATACACCTTCAATTCGAGATGGAATTAATTATGAAACAGAAAGTCGATATAGAACTGAAGGTGCACGATTTATTATCGATACAGGAGCAAAAATGGATCTTGGATATAATACAATAGCAACGGGAGTTGTTTATTTTCATCGTTTCTATATGTTTCATTCTTTTAAAACATATCCTCGTTATGTAAGTAAATATTAAACAATATTTATTTCAAATAAATTTGTCAGTATAAAAAAAAAATAATTTAATTCAAATTTTTCATTACAGGTCACAGCGAGCAGTTGTTTATTTCTAGCTGGAAAAGTAGAGGAGACACCAAAAAAATGTAAAGATATTATTAAAACTGCCAAATTTATTTTGTCTGAACAAAAATTTTCAACTTTTGGAGAAGATCCTAAAGTAAGATTTTGACAGAATAATTAAATAAATTATTTACGTTTTTTTTAAATTCAAGTTTTTAAATTCAAATTATAGAATATTTCTAGTAATTAAAAATTTATCATTACAGGAGGAAGTAATGACGTTAGAAAGAGTGTTACTGCAGACAATTAAATTTGATTTACAAGTCGATCATCCTTACAAATATCTTTTGAGATATGCAAAATGTTTGAAAGGAGATAAAGCCAAATTACAAAATATGATCCAAATGGCTTGGACTTTTGTTAATGATAGGTAAATAAATTATACTGATTAAAATTATTTTTTTAATTAAAATTACAAAAATGAAAAATATATAATTTCGATATTATTTTTATTTTATTACAGTTTATGTACAACTCTGTGCCTTCAATGGGAACCTGAAATAATTGCAGTTGCTTTAATATATCTAGCTGGACGATTAAGTAGATTTGAAGTTGTCGATTGGAATGGAAGGCAACCAAAGCATTTAAAATGGTGGAACATGTTTATTGAAGATATAACAATGGAAATTTTAGAAGGTAAAATACTTTTTTCTAAGGAAAAAATAGTTTTACAAAATTTAAATGCTTTTCCAAAAATTTTAAATAACAAAATATTAAAATAATATTCAATTTTCAGATATTTGTTTACAAGCCTTAGATTTATATCCCCAGGCAAATAATTTTAAAATTCTTGAATCAAATTCAACTGATTCTACTAATGGAACAACAATAGAAAAAACTACAACACCACCACCACAACCATCACTTGTTTCCATTACAAATTCTCCAAATGGTAAGAAAATTATCTTATAAATAATCTAGAAATAATAATAAATGTGAATAGTTAAAAGAAATAGTTTAAATAATTTAAACTAATGAATAGAAAAAAAAATAAGGAAGAATAAATTTTAATAAACTTTTAGTTCCTGTGACACTTACAAGGGTTTCAGCCACAGAAACTAATTCAGTGCCTGTTAATGAACGTCAACTGGGTAATGACGTTATTATCGAGAATTCAAGACTGATTGAGTCTTCTACGGTGCAATTTCAACCGTACACTATGAATTTTTCAAATAATCTTATTTATCCAACGGTTTATCCTCCCTTAGATTTATCAATACCACCGCCAAATGTTGTGCCAATGAAATCCATTCATCCACCTCCTAATACAATGAGAATTATTCAACCTCCAACAAATATTCGACAACCACCGCCACATCAATTTCAATCTCATTTTAATTATTCTCCAAATCTTTCTTATATTCCTCAAACACCTGGACCTCCACCATTTAATAATCAAACCTATTATCCACCAAAATTATGAACTGTGATAAAACTGATTCATAATATATTTATATATATATATATATTTTGTTGTCTATATTTATATATAATTTACTCAAGATGTTTGTTAATATATATAGATAGATATTATATATAAACGCGATTGGTGTATGTATTTTTGGTAAAGGAAGTTTAATTGTAAATAGAAAAAAAAGAAAAATTAATTACTGGTTTTATTGTTTAGTTTAAAGGAAGCTAGTTAATACTTTATAGATTAAAGATGGAAAACACCTAACTTTAAAAAAAAATGATTATTTTATATTTAAAATCAGTTTTAATTTTTTTTTTATATCGAGGGATTACGTTAGCTTTATATTTTTCTGATTATAATTTAAAAAAAGATCATACACTTAATTTCGTTGTGAATAAACAAATTTTATTTTCAACATTAATAATATTATAAATTGAATATTTACATATTATTTTTTCAAATTAGTTTTTGAATATAATTAAAAATATTATATTTTTAATAAAAATATTATATTTTTAATTTGAAAGAATAATCTAAAATTATGTTTTATTATGTTGAAAAATTGTATTTAAAAAATATAATTGAATGTCCCGATTTTAATTAATTTAAAACAATTCAGAAATAATAATCTTAATTAAATTGTAGATAATAAAAATATGGAAATAAAAATTAATAAAAAATTTTATATAATTTACTTGACAATTTAATAAATTAATTCAAAAAAAAGGAAAATACATTCTAGATTGTAGCGCCAACGGCAATATAGAGAAACTTTTCATCTTCACATAAAGTACCAATATTAATCAAGAGAGTTGTATTTAGTATATATACAAATTGCGGTCAATTTTATCCCAGTCATTTGTGTTAGTTGTGTCATTTTTTAAAATACATTAATAAAATAGTATTTATAAATTGTGTAAAGAAAATAAAAATTTTTTTTTTTGAGAAGATTATTTAAATTATATAAAGTTATGAATATAATAATTTAATATTTTGTTTATACTAAAACGATACTAATGGAATGACTGTCAAAATAATGATCTTTATACTGCAGTTGGTGGTAAAACTCTTGAATATCAACAACAAAGATAATTAAAGTGTTTAAAAAAAAAATTAGTGAATTTGCTAGCTGTGATTTAGAAATTAAACAATATTCCATAGTAAATAAATAATAAAAAGGTGTGTATTTAATTTATGTTATTATCAATAATATAATTGTCATAAATTTCAATCAATAAGTGTCAAGAATTTTCCACAATTTTGAGGTTAGAATATCGGCTTTATATTTTGATATATAATCACATATATAATTTTACAATAATATTGCGTAGTTTTCTATATTATGAAATATGAAATGATTATTAAATAGAAATTTTTAATATATTATTATAATGTAATATATTTATTAAATATTAAAATATTTACATTTTGATTTTTTTTTTAAATTTGTCCAACGTTTAATATTAATTTCTTGTCTTTTTCGAAATTTTAATATTAAAATGAAGATTTTTTATTTCTAGAAATTAACAAAAATGCCATGCTGGTATTATGAGAAGAAGAATTTAAAAAATACACCTTCCGTTCAAGATGGTATTGATTATGAGACAGAATCTCGATATCGAAAAGAAGGAGCACGATTTATTATTGATACAGGAACAAAAATGGATCTTGGATATAATACAATGGCAACTGGAGTTGTTTATTTTCATCGTTTCTATATGTTTCATTCATTTAAAACTTTCCCACGTTTCGTAAGTGTTGAAAATTTTTATATTTAAATCTATATATCATTTTGAGGGAGAATTTAATTTTTTTTTTTTAGGTCACAGCGTGCAGTTGTTTATTTTTAGCTGGAAAAGTTGAGGAGACACCAAAAAAATGTAAAGATATTATTAAAACTGCAAAAGGCATATTGTCTGATCAAAAATTTTTAACATTCGGAGAAGATCCTAAAGTAATTAAATTTTAGTTTTATATTCAAAATTTGAATTTTGAATTATTAACTAAATAAGATGATTATTTACAGGAGGAAGTAATGACATTGGAAAGGATTCTTTTACAAACAATTAAATTTGATCTTCAAGTTGAACATCCGTATAGTTATCTTTTGAAATATGCAAAATCACTAAAAGGTAAATTTTCAATAAATTTTCAATTATTTGGAGATAATTTATTTATTTTTAATTTTAGGTGACAAAAATAAATTACAAAAAATGGTACAAATGGCTTGGACTTTTGTAAACGATAGGTAAGTATCTTAATTGAAAAAAAATTTGTTAATTTTTTATACAGTTTACGATATTGCATCTAATTTTTATTAAAATTTTTTTTTTCAGCTTGTGTACGACATTGTGTCTTCAATGGGAACCAGAAATAATAGCAGTTGCTCTAATGTATTTAGCGGGAAAATTAAGTAAATTCGAAGTTGTCGATTGGAATGGAAGACAACCAAAACACTTAAGATGGTGGGATATGTTCGTTGAGGATGTCACAATGGATCTATTGGAAGGTCAGCTTTTTTTTTTGGAAATTAAAAAACTATTTCTCTAAAAATATAAATATGGAAATTTTTTTCTTTTGTTTTTAGATATTTGTCATCAGGTTCTTGATCTTTATTCCCATGCAAATAATGCAAAACCACCGGATTCACCGCCTTTAATTGCATCAACCGAAACTGTTAGAGAAAGACTTATTGCCCCGCCATCGATAGAATCGGCATCGAGCACACCAAATGGTTAGTAAAAAAAAAAATAATATATATATATATAAATTTTTTTTAAGAAAACATTTTTTCTTTTTTAGCTGGAATTTCAGTAAAACCATCGAAAACTGAAACAAATTCAGTGCCAACAAATGGTTGTAATACAACGGAAGGAATCGAGAATTCAAAACCTTTAGAAGTTCATTTTCCATCGTATCCGACAAATTTTGCAAATACCACAAATTATCCACCTGTTTATCCACCTACAAATATCGCAGTACCACCGCCTAATGTTAATACATTAAATCATATTGTACCTACGACACATAATTTAGGTACACCAAGTTCTGTGAGACAAATACCAACTGTCTCAACACCTACACAACAACCATCGTTTCCACCCTATGGTTATCCTTCGAATTCATCATTTTTTTCAGGTGGAACGCCAACTGGTCCATCGAGTAATCAACGTTCATATTATCCCTCACAATCGTAGGTTTAAAATATATTTTTTTTTTATTAAATTTTTACTACGTTGAGATTGTACATCTGTCATACGTCATGTAAGTGCTTTTTTTTTTTAATAAAATAAAAAAATGTAAATATCCAAATGTTTTTCACATTTTTAAAATGGAATTTTTGTCTAAAATTTGGATTGTATTTTCTAATTTCAGATTTCTTTTCGTAATAAAATTGAATAATGGAGGAAGTATAGAATACATTTTTTTAGAATACATTTACATATAAAGATTGCCTTTATTAAAAATGCCACTTCGAACAGATGAAAATTCAGGAATATTACGATTCGTTATTTCGGAAAATAATTCAACCAATGGATGTGCACTTTTTGAATCTAAGATATAATTATCGGTGTAAAGCACAAAAAGAATACCGTAAGATCCTTTTATTTCAGCGAAGGAAAGCGCTGAAAATTTATTAAAAAATTAAATTTCACCGAGAGTAGAAAAAAAAAAAAAAAATTATTTTATATATCTTTACCTCCTGCAGCAATTCCAGAAATTATATTTGGCTGACTTAAATTTGGTGCATTAATCTTCCATGAATTTCGGGCTTCCTTTGTTGATAAAGATTTTAAAAATGATGGCACACTATATTCTTCATTGCTTTTTAATTGCGATACATGACAATTGGTAAGTGCAATTATTTTCTTTGCTTTTGTTAAAATACGTTGAATCTAAAATAGAAATTTAATTAAAATCTAATTCACAATTTAATAAAATTCATTACAGTATAAAATTTTCAGTATATCATTGAAATTAAAAATAATTTATTTACCGTTTCAATAAATTCTCCTGCTTCGGTTAAATCTAATTCAGTGCTGACAAGACAAATGTATAATGAATTTTCAATTTCATAAATAATTGATGACTTTTTATCAGATTTGTGTTTAATATTACAAATTTTTTTTGCATCAGAAATTATTGTTTCTTTCGTAAAATCTGAAAATAAAAAAAATATTAATCATAAATACAAAAAGAATATTAAAATTATTTATTTGAAATATAAGAAATTATTAATTAATTATAAAATAATTACCGATTACCATGTCACCTTCAACGATGACTAATTTTTCAATAACTGTAGGTTCATTCTCCAACCACTCGAGGGAAAATAAACTAAAGAAAAAAATTTATTTTATTTCTTTAATACAATGAAATAATAATACTTTTAACAATTTGAAATTTTTAATAGAAAATTATATTTACTTTTCTTCTAAAAAAAAGTGAGGTTAGGTTTTGTAAAACTTACGATTCATTTTGTACACTTTCATTTAATTCTTCATCATCCTCATCTAACCAAAAAGCACGTGATGACGGTTGTACAATTTCACCAAATTGGCAACTCATTTTTTAACTTTTAACTTTAAAAAAAGAGACTTTAAATTAAATTCAACAAGTTGCATACATAAAAATTCGAATTCAAAAACGCGGTAGTGTGCAATTTTTTTTCCATAAAATTTACGTTTTTGTGGTAATAAATTAGTTTTCAATCTCAAAAAAAAAAAAAACTTAAATTAAACAACAAATTTAGTATTTACACCAAGTTTTAATTATTGTTCGCGGCAAAAAAAAATTTGTTTTGAGAAAAAATGAGAAAAAGTAAATATTGAAAAGTCGGTAAGGGGGAATTTTGTATTTTCAATATTAGAGGGCGCTATTAATCATAAGCGGGGAAATTTTAAATAAATAATAAAAATAAAAATTATTAATTAATAGAAATCATAACAAATAATGCATATAAATAATAATAATTCTTTCTTTTTAAAAATAAAATGAATGGAAATGAAAATAAATATTTAAATTATTTTAAATTTACGCTGTACTGGCGCTCAAAATTCTGAGCCAATCAGAGATCGCGTTACTTTCTTAGCACACAGTTGTTCCCATAATGTTGAGAATTCACTTCCTGTTTTAGAATCTTCAGAATTGTTCGTGTCATTTTTGTGCATCCAATTAATAATAGTAAGAATTTTCTTCTTTTCATATAAATTATTTACTAAATCGTTTCCTTTTAAAAAATTTTTGCAGTTTGTAAACAAAAATTTGTTATATAGTATTGATATTTTTTTGTTTGTGCATACATTGTTCAGGTAGCAACTACATACTTTCGCATTTTGCTATAGGTATATATTTAAAATATTTATATATTTCCATTTTTTAACAGTTTTTTTGTAGTTTTTAATTCGAAAATATATCAGACTTATTCAAAAATACATTTCAATCATTCGGATATTGTTTTCTAACCTCACTTTATCACTTCCATGCACGATGAAGAAACATGGTAAGGTTATTCAAGACCACGTGTATATTTAATTTAAAAATTCTGGAAAATAATTATTTATCTAAACGAACTGATGATAATATATATATATATATATATATATATATATATATATATATATATATATATATATATATATATATATATATATATATATATATATATATATATATATATATATATAATTTTAGTTTTTTTTTTTTAAATTACATATTTTAGTGAGGTTAGAAATACAATATACACTGCAAATAAAATGTCTAATTACAATTTTATTATAGTTAATTATTCTTATTAAACAATTTAATTATCCTTATGAACTTATTTAGTTTATAAAATTGCTAATTATAGTGAACTATAATTACTAATTATATTTTTTTCCGTATTTGACAAATTTTTTGCATTTGATAATTTTTTTTTTTTCATTTCATTTGAATTATTTTTATAAATTTTTTTAGGTGAGGATCTTTTTGAAAATTATTGAGCCAAATGTGAAAAGAAATCGAGATTCTGGGAATGCAGAAAAAAGTCAACAAAACTGGTGAGTTTCTTTTTATATATTTTTTTAATAAATAATTTATAATTTATTTTGATTAATCATTGTCAAAGTTATTACTATTTCATCAAAATAATTGTCAATGCAAATTTTTAGAAGAAATTAATTTTTATTCTAAGGAAATTTTCTCTTATTAAAATGTATAATGAATAGAAATTTAGCAATTTTTTGAATTACATTTCGGAGTTGAAGAGCAATCTGGTTTTTCTGGAAAATAGTTTTGAATTTCACAACAATTTGGAGGTTTAGGAGGACAGGAAGTAGAAGGCATAGATCGTGTAGGACATTCTGTTGGAATTTCTCTAAAAGCAAAAAATCAAAAAAAAAAAAAAAAAAAAATTGCTAAACGGATATTTTTTTAGATAAATTCTCTATATTTTGATATTAAAAAAAAAAGATAAGTAAGTTATGAAAAATTACTTACGGAATACATTTATTAGGTTTATCTACAATTCCAACTGTTACTTTGTAATTAAATCTTTGATTCTTCTCAGGCACTTTCTTTTTATCTTTATTCTCTTTATCTTTATTGTTCTCTTTTTTATTTTTTTCGTCTTTATTTTTATCTTCTTTTTTTGGTGGCATAGTTATTTTTTTTTTATTTTTACTTAAATATGATTAATTATCAGTAAAATTTTGAAAAAAGGTGATCCAAAATGTTAGATGGTTTTGTTTATTTTGAATATTAATTTTTCTTTTGTTCCAGTTGCTAGTGATTTGTGTTTTGTTTTTTAGCGAATTTTTTTTTTTTAATAGAAAATATTTATTTTTTTTCATATTGTAGAATTTTTATATACATAAAATTAAATTGGAATATTAATTATTATTTTGTAATAATTTTCCATAAATTCAAATTTTCTTTTAACAAAATCTTGGACATTGAGGAGCTAAACAACTTGGTTGAGGGCAATTTTTCGAACCCTTTCGATACCATTTGTCTGACTAATGGAGAAAAAAAGTCAATTTTTTTTTTCTTAAATGAAAAAAATTAATTAAAAATATTTCTCTTCACACTTACTCGTTGGATATAATAATTTCGGGCAGGTATTGGATATGCTAATTCAGGTTTAATTTCAATAATATTTGATCGTTTTAAAGTTTCACAAACTGAATTATATGTAATTAGTGGTCGTTTTTCTGGAAAATTCCAATTTGGTTTACATTCTTCGGGACTTGGTTTTACATTCCAAGCCTCAGGATCATTTCGACAATTGTATTTTACAGTAATCATTGGTTTATCACTGCGTCTATTATAAAAATAATTATTATCTTCCAAAAAAAAAATTAATTATTTATTTATTAATAAATAAGAATTAATTTATATTTAATATTTAACTCACAAACAATCAATTTCTGTAAAAATATTTTTCATTCTTTGAATTTCATTGCCATGACTTGCTATTCCATTCGAAAAACCCCAATTTCCAATTGCTTCAGAAACACCCGTTCCATATCCACGGGAAAATTCATACGTACAATGCATTTTATTTATTAAAAAAGCTAAATTAATAATAATTAATAAAAAAACTGGAAATTTTGATAAATTTATTTTTTATAATAATTTATAAAGAATGAAATTGTCCTGAAAGTTTGATACTTCTTTTATTTTTTACAAAATAAAAGAATCGAATTATTTTTTTTTCGTAATTCACTGTATTTTACGCACGATATCTTCTTTTATTTTACCTAAAAATACGGATTATTCGCGTAATTGACCCAACCCTGGACGAAAATTTCAATTTTAAATTTACCGCGTTTTTGTATCTGTGACTCAGTTCACGTTGTTTACAATTTTTTTAATGGTGACAAAAAAGTGTTTTTAAAAAAAATAGAAAAAAATTGTGTTTTAAAAAATGGATATCCTAGAATTAAAGGATGTCAAATCTGTACCAGATATAATACACATTTATTCTGGAAAAGTTAAAGAAGAATCAATTCCTTTGATTATTGATAACGGTAAGTATATATATATATATATATTTAATATCCTAACCTCAAAAATAAGTAAAAACAATCTTTTTTTTATTAACTAATTAATAATTAGTTAAAATAGAAATTAACTGAAACGTAAGTATAAAGTTCTAAAGAATATATTATTTAAGTTTTTAAAATTATACTTTCAAAGACAATTTGTTAAATTATTTATTTATTTATAGTAAATTTTTATATTATTCAAGGTTCTTACAACTGTAGAGTTGGATGGGCGACGGACAAGACACCGCTTTTAATATTTAGAAATCTAATTGCAAAACCAAGAAAAGAGAGAGGAAAAAAAGATGGAGAATTACAAGTTGGTAATGATATTGCAAATATTGAAGCCGTTCGATTTCAATTAAAAACACAATTTGATCGCAATGTTGTGACTCATTTTGAAGCACAGGAACAAATATTTGACTATACTTTTACTCATTTGGGTATTGACACTGAGGGTTCAGTGAATCATCCAATTATTTTAACTGAAGCATTTCTAAATCCCAATTATTCTCGAAATTGTGAGTTTTTAATTAATTTTTGTTTATAAATTATAATTTTCTTCATTTTAAAAAAATATATATTTTTTATTTTTTTTAGTAATGGCTGAACTTCTTTTTGAATGTTACAATATTCCATCGTTAAGTTACGGTGTTGATTGTCTTTTTTCCTATCATCATAATAATTGTTCATCGGATGGTCTTATTGTTAGTATTGGCTATCACACAACTCATATTATACCAATATTAGATGGTAAAATTGATGCTATAAATTCACGACGAATTAATGTTGGTGGTTATCATTTGACTTCATATATGCATCGATTATTGCAATTAAAATATCCCGTTCATGTAAATGCAATTACACCGAGTCGTGCTGAAGTAAGTTTATTTGAATTACATAAAAGAAGTTATTTTCAAGAAAAGGAAATTAACTTTTTTTTTTTTTTATTCGAATAATGATTTTATTTTAAGGAATTGATACACGATCATTCTTTAATTGCTCTGAATTATCAAGAGGAAATTGCCAATTGGGCGGATCCTGATTATTATGATATGAATATTTTGAGAGTTCAACTTCCTTACGTGGCGCCTGCAAGTACTCCTGGTTTAACAGTTGAACAACAAAAAGAAAGAAAACGAGAACTCGCGCGTCGTCTTATGGAAATTAATGCCAGAAAACGTGAAGAAAGGGTAATTATGAAAAAAAAAATTATAACAGTCCTCGGATTATATTTATTAATTAATTAAATTAAAAAATCGACTTTTTTTACGCCTTAAAGTCGATCCAAGGCCTGTTATAAATTAATAATAAATGCCGATAATTTAAAAATCGATTTTATTCTTTTTCTTTTTTAGCTCGCTGAAGATGAGGAGCAATTGAATCAATTGCTGGCAGTTCAAGATCTTCTTGAAGAAGGCGAAATGGAAGAATTTGAGGAAGCCCTAAAATCCTATTCACTCTCAAATGAGGCAGAATTAATGAAAATGATTAATAATTTACAGGCGAAAGTTGAAAGAACACGACAAAAAATAGTTGCTGCCAATTCACAAGAAGAGAATATGGTAATTGAAGAGAAACCAAAAATAAAAACTAGCCTTCAGCCAAAAGATCAACAGGATTTTGATGAATGGATAAATGGTGTGAGAAAAAAGAGGTAAAAAAAAAAATTTTCTCTACCATTATATGAGTAATTTAATTTTTTTTTGTCAATTTTAGACAAGATATATTGGATAAACGAATGGCAAAACGACAAAGAAGACAAGATATGGCCAAGAGAAGAACAGCAGCTGCACAAGAGAGAATGAGAATAATAAGTCAATTGGCGAGAAAAGAAAAGAGAGACGATGATTTTGGAATGCGTGATGAAGATTGGGATGTTTATAAAGTTATTAATCGAGTAAGAATTTCAGTTTTATTTTATTGAATCGAATTTTTCTAGTTTTTCAAATTTTAATTTTTTTTTTTAAATAGGAAGGCGGCGATTCCGATTCTGAACTTGAGCAAGAGAAATTGATAGAACTCGAAGATGTATTACGTCATCATGATCCTGAATTTGATGGTGCTGGTTCAAGTGCACCAATGGTGCCAGGTGAAACTCATCAATTACACGTTGGTATTGAACGTCTTCGTTCACCGGAATTATTATTTCAACCATCAATGATTGGCCTTGTTGAGGCTGGTATTGCCGAGACAATTGAATTTGTATTAAAACGTTATTCATCTGAATTACAAATGCGACTTGCTTGTAATATTTTTCTAACTGGTGGACCGGCTTCATTTCCTGGTTTATTGGAACGTTTAAAACGTGAATTAAAAGAAATTCGACCATTTGGTTCTAATTTTCATGTGAATATTGCAAATAATACAAGTTTAGATGCTTGGTTTGGTGCAAGAGATTTTGGATTAAATGGGAATTTAGATGATTATTTAGTTACACGTAAGGAGTACGAGGAAAAAGGTGGAGAATTTCTTAAAGAACATACTTCAAGTAATTTTTATAATAAATCACCAGATCCATTGCCAATGTTACAAGTTGCGGCAATATCGGAACAAATTGTTGTTGAGGATGCAATTGTTGATGTGGAAATTGAATAAATTTTTGTGCAAAAAAAAAAGGAATTTTTTTTTTAATTTAATTTATTATAATACGATAATAAAACATTTTTAATTTAATTAATTTTCTTATTTTCAATTCTAAAATTTTAGATATTGAAATTAATTTATATTTCCCATTCTGTGAAATTAATTTTTATTTTGGAATTTGAAAATAATTTCTATTTTTTGATTCTAAAATTAAATTATATTTTCAAATATTTTAATTTAGCAAATTTTAATTTACGTTCTTGAAATTGTGAACGTTTAAATAAAAAAAAGTTTTATATTTTTTTTTTAAATTACAAAAATATGTAATTATTATTTTTTTACCTGTCGTTATATTTAAAAAAAAATTATAGTAATTCACTTTTAAATGTTCACAGTTTCGAAAGCAAATTAATGAAATTTTTTTGTACCTATTTAATTAAAATTAAATTATTGTATTTTAATATTATATTATTATATATTAATTGTATAAAACAATGTTTAAATTTAATTTTTTTATATAGTAACAATAATTATAATATATATTTTCTTTTTTTAAATAATAAATTTCATTTTGAATTTTGTGATTTTGTTTTTAATAGGTCAATGATGAAGGTCTTAGCCAATCAGATGCCACTGGGTTTGAATTTTTTCACACAATCAAAAGTTCAAATAATTTAGTGAAAGAAGAAATTGTTGCTTTTTAAGGAATTTCGAAATATTTCCAATTTCAAAATGACTTCATTAAAATCAGTGATAATTTATAATTTTAAATCTTACCAAGGATTAAAAAAAGTTACACAGTTCAATCAGTTTACAGTAATAATTGGACCAAATGGATCTGGTGAGTAAAATGAAAAATTGTTTTTTATTTTAAATTGAAATTTATTTTGTTTTCTGTTAAATTGTAAACGATAAATTTTACCACGCTATAAAATTATTTAATTATTATTAATTTTTTTTGTTTTTCTTCAACGATTTATTGAATTGACTTCTATATAGGAAAATCCAATTTCATGGATGCTATCGCTTTTGCATTAGGCGAGAATTGGGAAAATTTACGTGTCAGTGATTTATTAAAACTTATCTATTGTGAAAAATCACAAAATCCAAAACCTAACAGGTTTGTCAAAAATAATTTATTGAAAATTTTTCTTTTTTTTAAATTAACAGAAAATTAAATGTTTTTAATTTATAGTTCTTGTTATGTTGAAATATCATTTCGTTTGGAAGATGACAATGAGAAAATATTTAAACGTACATTATTTGCAAACACCAAAAGAAATAAATACGAATTTAATGGATCTGTAAGTTTATTTTGTTTATAATTTAAAAAGAAAAACATTATTTGGCAATTGTTTTTTTTTTTCATTGTGTAATAAAAATGTATATTTTTTTATTTTGCTGGAAAAATTAGTCTGTTTCGATTGAAGATTATAAAGCAGAATTAAAGTCAATTGGAATTCTTGATTTTGGCAAGAATTGCTTAGCTTATCAAGAAGATGTGGAATCAATTATTAAACAAGATCCAAAAGCAAGATGTCGATTTTTTGAACGAATGTGTGGCTCACAAAATCTTGAAAAAGAATATAAAATGTGAGTTTATTAATAATTAATATTACAAAATTCTAATATATATAAATTAAATTATTAGCATTATTTATAATTTAATTTTATTTGATTTTAGTGTTGAACATAATTTAGAGAAATTGAATGCAGAAGGAAAATTAAATTTCGATAAGTTAAAAATTTTAAAACGTAAAATAAAAGATTTAACAGAAGAAAATAAACGACGAATAGAATATGAAAATTTAAAAGAAGAAGAGGTGACAATTTTTCTTTAATTTATTGAAAATTCGTTATAAAAAAAAAAAAATTTAATTTAATCGTTAAAAATATATTTATTTTCAGATCACTTGGAATAAATATCAACAACTTTTTTATCTCTATCATGAGGAATTAGATATTGAAAAATTAGAAAACGCAATAAATACAAAAAAAGAATTTGAACGTTCTTTAGAAGAAACCATATTAGAAGAAAAACGTAAATTAAAAGAGCTACAAGAAAGTATTAAGGATGAAAAAATAACTATAAATCAATTGGAGACGACAATTAATGAGAAAGAAATATTAATGTTAAGAGAAAAATCAAATTTAGGAAAAAAAAATTTAGAAATAAAACAGTATCAAGAAAGAAGGGTTATTGCTTTAAAAAACTGTGACGATTTAAAAAGAAGAAGTATTAATCGAAAAGAAAATCTTCTCGAACTCAATCGTAATAAAGAATTTTTGATAAATCAATTAAATAATATTGATGAAAAAATTATGCTCAGTCCTGATTGTTTTAATGATGAACAGGTAATGTGTTTATTTTATTTACAAAATAAAATTTGTATACAATTTTTTTATTTAATGATAAATTAATAATTTAATTATTTTTATAATTTTTTCTTTTTTCAGTTCAAGGAATATAATGATTTAAAATTAACTTCTGTTAATAGAACAGCAAATTATGAACATGAACTTAATTTAGAAAAAGAGAGACTTGAAAATCATAAATATCGGCTTGAAAATAAAAATAGAGAAAAATGTGAAATCACTGGACTAATTAATTTGTATACAAAACAATGTGAACAAATTATTTATGAACTCAATAGAGAGAAAGAACAATTGGAGAATGTCAATAAATCTTTAATTGAAGAGGAAAAATTACGTGAAATTTTACAAAATGAAGTGAATGCTTTTTCTCAAAATAAAATACAGGATTTAGAAAAGGAATTAGAATCAATTAAGTTAAATCAAGAATATTATAAGAGACAAAGAAAAAATGATGAAGTTTTTAATAAAATGAAATCATATTTTCATCCAAAAATAGTAAGTATTCATCTAAATTATTTTATTTAAATTTATTAATATTTTATTATAAGATATAGAAAATTTAATAATTTTCTAAAATTAAAAAAAAAAAAAGAACTTTATTAATTAAAGCAATAAATTTTTACAGCATGGACGTTTATCTGATTTATGTAAACCGCGCGATTCTCGTTATAAAATAGCGATTGCAAAAATTATTGATCATAGAGAAGATTTTATCGTCATAGACAGTATTAACAATGTTGAGAAATGTACAAAATTTTTGCAAAATCACAATGGCGGTTACGAAGGTTTTTTTTCATTGGACTTTACTAAAGTTAAGCCAATTAATCCTAAAATTCGGTGAGTATTGAAATTAGAAGAAAAAAGATATTCGATTTTATTAATTTTTTTGTCTTTAAAAGTTATTAAAAAAAAATTTTTTCTTTCAGAACAATTGAAAATGCCAAATGCGCTTTTGATTTAATTGATTTTCCTGAAGAAGTTGAACCTGCAGTGCGTTTTGCGGCGGGTAATTTTCTCGTTTGTGAGACAAATAAAATTGCCATAAAATTGTCATCTGGTGGATACAATGTGAGTAATAAATTTTCTTTTGTACAATTTTAATTTTTTTTATTAATATTATTCATTGATAATATAATTTAATGTTTTAATAATTATTATTAATTATTAATTATAAACATATCTTGGTAAAAAATTTCTAAATACTTTTTTTTTAAAGTGTGTAACTCTCGATGGGATAATGTTTACAAATGACGGACAAATATCTAGTGGAATGTCCCGTGTTAGCGAAATATCGCAAAAATTTGACGAGGAAAAATGGAAATTACGAAAGGTAAATTACAATAGTTTAGAAGAAATATTTTTTTGCAAAAACAATCAAATTCGTAAATATGTGTGTTATTTTAGATACAAATTAAAAATGAATTAAAAAATGCTTCGGAAATACAATCCAAGAAAGATAAACTAGACGAACTTAATCGTTCAACTGAAGCTTTAAGAATGAAAATTCCTTTTATTGAAAATCAGATGAAAAAAAGTGTGAGTTTTTAAAAAAATAGAAAATTTGACTTTTTTATTTTCATTTCATTATATGTTTTAATTTTTTTTTTTACAGATGGAAGAAAAAGAAAAACTTGAAACCAAATTATCCGATTTAAATTGTAGAGACGAAGAAATAAAGGTAAATATAATAATTAAAATTAATTTCTTTTCTAAATTTATATTCTATACTTTAATATAATTATTGTTGCTTAAGTATTTCTATAATAGTTTTTAATTTAATTTTTATTATTTTATTAAATATTCTATTTTTTTAAAATTTTGATTCATTTTGGAACAGAGTGCAATAGAAGAAATAAAAAATGAACTACTTGTCATAAAAGCGGCAATAAAAATGAAAGGGCAAGAAATAGATGAAATTGTGGATGTGATTTTTGCTGATTTCTGTCAAAAATTGGGATTTGAAAATATACGAGTATTCGAATGTGGCGGCAGTGATTATGAAGAAAGAGAAATAAAAATTAAAGAAATTCGAAATCATCTTGTTCGTCTTAACACCGAAATAGATTTTGAAGATTCTCAATATTTTGATGGTATAATTATTTTTAATTTACGACTTATTTTAATTATAAAAAAAAAAATTTAACAAACAAAATAATTTATAATTTTCTTTTAAAAATAATTTTTTTTTTTTTGTTTAGATGAAATCTCCAAAAAGGAAACAATCGTAACAGAATTGGAGACGGAAATAGAAAATAAAATGCAAATAAAAGAGAACATTGAAGCAATAATAAATGATTTTGAAAATGAAATAAAAACTATTCAAAATGATTTACAAGTAAAAAAAGCAAATATTCAAGAATCATTGGATATTTGTAATAATTTTATGAAAGTAATAAAAAAAAAATCACAGGAAATTACACAAATACAGAAAGAAATTCAAGAAATGAACAAAAATAAATTGGTTATTAAAAATAAATTTTGTAAAATTCTCCATTATTGTCGAGTAAGTAATTTTTATTTATTTAAATTTTTAAATAATTTACATTTATTTCAAGTTATTTAATAAATTTTTCAGTCAAATACAATAATTATTCCTGTCTTATCTGGTAATTTGGAAGACAGTGAAAATATTGACATCAATTACAACGATTTAGATGATTATTATAAATCTGAAATAAATAAATCAGAGGCAGAAAGCAAAATTATGGAAAATCTTGATAAAATTCAATTAAAGCTTAGAAATATAAATATCTCGGATGAAAGGGTATTGGATTATTTTTCGCTAAATAAAAAGAAAATTTTGTTTTTTGTTGATGTTTAAATGCTAAATTAATTTATTTTTAATAGATTGATGATAATATATTGGCAGAATTAAAACGAGAGTTACTAAAATTAAACAGAAAGATTAGTGAAAAGAAGAAGTCACTTAAAAAGATGCATGACACTTTTGATAAAGTCAAAATGAGAAGAATGAATTTATTTGTATCATTTTTCACTAAAGTTAATACAACAATTGATTCTATTTACAAGGTATTTATAGTTATTTAGAAAAAAAAAAAATTGGTAATGATTTAAAATATTAAAATAATTTTAATTTTTTCTATTTTAGATTTTGACACAAAATGATGCCGCTCAAGCTATTTTGGTTGCAGAAAATCCGGAAGAGCCTTATTTGAGTGGTTTAATGTACAACTGCATTGTTCCTGGAAAAAAATTTTTTTCTATTGATGGACTTTCTGGAGGTGAAAAAGCAATCGCTGCTTTTGCTTTATTGCTTGCCATTCAAAAGTAAGAATTAAAATTTTTTTATTTATTATTATAACAAAAATGTTTTTTTTTTTAAATAGTAATATTTTATTTTTAATTATTAAAATTAATAAACAATTCATTAGTCAGAAAAGAAATTTTAAAATAACTTTAGAAAAAGTAAGTTCTCTTAAAGTAAAAAAAAGAAATCTAAATGATTGAAAATTAAATAAATATTAAATAAAATGTTAAAAATTATTAAATTTGAAATAAATAGATGAAAATTATGAAAAAAAAAAATTGCTAATTTCTGTGAATATTCTAATTTCTAGAGCAAATCCAGCGCCATTTATGTTATTAGATGAAATAGATGCTGCTTTAGATTCTGAAAATGTAGAGAAAATTACCGATTACATTAAAAAGGAAGATAAACAATTCATTTTGATTAGTCATAATGAAGAACTGAGTTCCAAAGCAATGAATGTTATAGCAGTTACTAAAACTGTAAGTATTTTTTTAATAATTTATTAACAACTAACAAAATTGTTTACTCTTGTTGATGTTGTTTTTTTTTAGGGAAAATATGCCACTGACAGTTGTTTTTTCACTGTTGATTTACAAAACTATCGCGGATAAATTAGCGATAAAAAGATTTACAAATTTTCTAATTAAAAAAAAAATCAAAAATATCAATAAACAAAAAAAATTAAAGAGTTGGAGTGAGGAATTCATCAGCAACAAACGTAGGATCACCAACATCATCATCATCATCGTCCTGGAAAAAAGTATCAATGTTTTCTCCCCGCCCCCAAAGGAATGTATGTATGTATGATTATTTTATTTTTTAATATTAAAAAAAAATCAAAAAATGGAACCAAAACAATAAGTAGAAAAAAATTCATGAGTCCCGAAAAAAATACTAAGGTCAAGTTAAACCATTTTCAAATAATGAAAAATTCAGTCATTTACTGAAGAAATGAATAAATAAATAACAAAATGATAATTAACGAAAAAGGGGGAAAAATCGTAGGGTTTATTAAAATTTAGGACATTGTCTATGGATATCTACTTTATTACACAAGTGTTCTCGTTTGTTCATGATAATACGAACAAACTACATTGTAGCTTGCCGATCATAATATACATTTCCATTGCATTTTGATCATCCAAATAGACAATATTATACGGATACTTTTTATTTCCTTGTTGTTGTAGCTGTAACTTTTGGATAAGATCTTAAAAAGAAGATTTTCTTTAAGTTGATCAAAAAAAAAAAAAAAAAAAAAAATGTGAAAGTGATCCTTCACGCTAGCGTCTTTTAAATTTAAGTCTACAGCGACCTCAGTTTACCTCATTGACTTAGGTGCGCAGCTTAAAACCTAACATCACAATTATAATATAATAATATTATACTGAAATTATCATTAACTTTATCTTTGCCTCCCTTCCTCAATTTGAATCTTTCTCTTACTGATAGAGCGACAATTTCCATGAAATTTTAGGGGAAAAATATCAAATTACTCTAAAAAAAAAGTTCATGATTTCGTTAATTTTTTTCACTAATTTAGAAAAAAAAATTATTTTTTGACAAAAATACTGTTTTGTCAAAAAAAATTCTAGAATTGCATTTTTTTTTTTCTCGAAAAATTTCATTTTATTTCGAGTTTCTTTTTTGCATCTCGAAATACTTAATATAGAAAAAAAAAATTGATACTTTGAATTATTGATATTAAAAAAAAGAAAAAAAGAAAAACCCACAGAAAGTCGCATTTTTCTTAAACACAATGAATTTTAATTAAAATAATATTCTTTATAGTTTATCACAGAATGAGGTCGCTGGAGGCTAATAAATCGCTATTTCAATTTTTCTTTGAAATTTTCATTTGAAAAAATTTTTTTTCTCACAAGACAAATTAAATGTCGCGTGATTTTCTTTTTATAGTACAAAAAGAATACATTTTTTTTCTTTTTTCTTTTTTTTTATCGTAAAATTGAGGTAGAATCCAATTTTTTGAAAAATAATAATTCACACACTTCTTTTCTCTATTTATTTCTTACTTTCTCTCTTCGATAAAAGTGCTAAAAGTGAGGATCTACTTCCGCTAATATGATAGAAAGTTAATATTCTAAATTAAACAAAAAAAAAAAAAAAAAAATTTCTCGAATAATCGTAATAATAATAATTCATAATATTAATAATCATAAATTGATAGAATAATTTAATTAGTACAACAATGGTTAATGTTTTTTTTTTCTTTTTTTTTTCTTAAAAACTAGTTTGGTTGTATGTATAATATATTTATAATTTTTTGTATGTATAATTTCGTATGAGGGTTCGGGCAGAGGGGGAGGGGGGAATCAGTGACAGCTATGTACAGTACATACTTGCCTTATTAGTTGTACCATCGTTATTATTATTATTATTATTACCTCTATGGTTTTTGTATATTATTATTGATAATTTAAATATCGTTTTACACATAAAATAGCCTATTTATAACATATATATATGTATACACATATATATATTTATTTATTTATATTATTTATATATTTATATTCATATTTATATTATTTATGTATAATAACTAGGTATTATATATATATATGCAGTATGTACGTAAAGAGGAGGTGTTTTAACCAGGATATGTCGATATCTGAAAATTATATTCGTGACAAGCGTTTGGAGCCTTTTTTCGAAATTTCTTCATTTTATTTTTTTCTTCAATTGTTTCTTCTTTTTTATATATATATATATATATATTAAAATCTGCTCTCGTGAAGTGTCTTCCTGACAATGAGCCTGTGTTATAATTTTTTTTTTTCTTTGCACTCGGAATAAGATCGCATGATCTTTCTATCTACTTCGGTAACTTATCCCTTAATTAGATACTTTTTATTAATAGGGTACTATGGTGTCTTTTCTTTAATTTTATTTGGCTCAATCCACTTTTTCTAAGATCCTTATTTTTTTTTATTATTTCTATTTTTAAATTTAATTTTCCTTTAATTTTTAGTATTTCTTAATTTTTTTAAAATTCTATTTATTCATATTTTTAATATTTTGTAAAAATTTGAATTAGCAAAAGATATAATTGAATTTTAATGAATTCTCATTTTTTTTTTAAATTCTCTCAATTACAAATTATTTTTTTAATTTTAATTTTTTTTCTTACAATTTTCTATAATTAAAGATTTTTTTACATTTTCAATTTTATTTTCCTGATATTCAAAGGCAAATTTCACAATTCTTTTTTTTTTATTACAATTAAAAATTTCTTTGTCAAAAACAAAACAAAAAAATTAATTATGAATTTGTTGAATAAATTGAAGATATTAGCGTCGAATAATTAAATTTTTTCTTTTTTTTTTTAAAAAAAAATAAGGATCGTTTTGTAATTAGCAAAATGTTTATCAGACTTTCCCGTTTCGACACTCGTTTGTTTTGTTTCTTCTATATTTTACCTAAATTCTAAATTATGAATTACAGTTTTTTTTTGCGTCCTTATATAATTTGGAGTAAAAATTGTTTTTTAAGCACGTATCTGGTCATTTTTGTTGGTGAGCGTCGAACACGGTTTAATCGAAATCTTCCAGCCCTCCACCCCATTTTTCTACAAAATCCTCTAAACTTATTTATTTATTCATTTTTTTTTACGCAGGCCTCTAAGACTTACGGGTAGCACAGTAAAACCTCTATAAAAAATAAGAACTATTCTACGTAAACGTATTACAAAAATAAATGGCATTGTACTCTGCTAAAGAAGCAAAATGGTACAGGCGCAATGTCGAGCGACGCGAGCATTTCTTTATTTTTTCTTCTTCATATTTTAATGAGGAAATATCATTTAGGTAGTTTTTTGTTTTTTTCATTAAATAATTCTTTTGTTTTGTTATTACAATTTATGCCTTTCATTATTTATTATTTTATTTTTTATTCAATCTGTCATTGACATTAATTTACTCGCTTTTTTTTTTACTCTCGAAAACTCTCATTGCTAAATGTACAATAACATCGCGTGAAAAATCAATGTACTATATTATATTTATATATATACGTGCTTCGAATCGTATACGATTAACACTTCCATTTTTCTTTATTTTCATTTTTTCAATCATTCCATCGTGTGCTTATCGAACGATTCGTATTTATATGGCATTCTAAAAGTCTGTCAAGCTTACTAAATTATCTTTCTAAACACTGGGCGTTTTACACTTTTTCCATTCAATGAAAGATTTCCTTCAAATTTTTTTTTTTTTTTTTATCATTTTCCCATTTTTTCTTATTTATAAAATTTTATTCCTTCAATTTTGTTTTTTTCTTTTCGTCAAATAAAGTGAATAATCTCTTTTTTCTAAATTTTTAATTTTCATTATTTAAAATAATTCATTAATTATTTAATATAAATAATTAAAGAATATTGTTATTAAATACTAATTTGAAAATTTGATTAATTTCGCCTTCAAATTTTATATATAAAAAAAGAAACTTTTTAAACTCTTCAAAAATACATTTTTTTTGCGAAAATGAATTACAATTTGAAAGAGAATCTTTCTTTAATTTACAATCATTCTTGAGTCTAATCGCTATTTTTTATTAAGCACTCTCTCTCACTCTCTCACTCTCTTTTCTCGATTTTGGTTTCCTTTCTTTATTTCTGGAAATAAGTGCGATAGCAAATAATTAAGTAAAAAAAAAAATTAAAATAATTTTTTTCTTCTAAAAATTGTTTCTACCTCTATAAAAAAAAAAATTCCCTTCTCAATGTTTTTTTTTTCTTTTCTTTTTGGAACCATTCTTTTTGCACTTCCCCTGTTATACACTTTCACATTCTTTGTCGTTTATCATAATTATGATACCTCTGATAAAGATGTAAATTATCAAAAAGTTATTGCTACAATTCTCGCTTCTTATATACTTATCCGACTCTCGAGTTTCAGAAATCGAGGATTTCGTATACAATCATGAAAAAATTTTTTTCATTTAAAAATATATAAGAATAAAATAGAAATTAAAAAAAATATTTTAATTAAAAATTTTTAATTTAAACATTTTTTTTTTATTTCTTATCTTAAATGCATCCAAATTTGTAGATAACTTTCGAGTTAGATTTCGAGATTTGAAAGCATTTATATACATTATATTGAATTTAGCGTTTAAATTGAAAAAAAAGTATTTCTAATTTATTATTTAATAATAATCTTAAATTTTGTTTTTCAAATTTAATTTGAATTTTATAAATTACAAATTAGATTTAGCTTATATATAATATTAAATAATAAATTTCAATCTAATTGCACATTGATTATATTTTACTTCATTTTTCTTTTTAAAGTATAAATTACTTACAATTTAATGACTTACAATATTTAATTAGTATAACATTTTAATTAATTACATTTTAATTTATTACAATTTAAAATTATTGCATTTTTAATTACATTACATATTACATTTAAACACTTAAATTCAAATATTTTGAAATTATTATAGAACAATATTGTCTATAACTAATTATTTAAACTTAAATTTATTCAGAAAATGTTATTTTAAAAATTGAATATCCTCGAATTCGAAAGTCATTCACATTTTGATGTCATATGCAGATTAGAAAACTCATTCAAAGCGCACACTTTACAAAATAATATTATGTATTACATATAATATTGATTAACGGACTCTTGAAAAATACATATTATTATCTGTTTATTATTATTATTATTATTTTTTTTTTCATTGCAAATAATCCATTAATAATTAAAAATTGATAAACAGTGTATCGATGATACAAACACACTATAATTAATAATTTTCATCTCACTAAAAATAACAAACTATCACAACTTTTTCATCAGTAAAAAAATAGTGTCCCCGATTTTCACAAAGATATTGTTTTTTTTTTTTTTTGTTTTCTTCAAAGAAAATCGAGAGTCGATCTTGAGTATTCAACGTCAAAAATATAAAAAATACACAACTCAATAATATTTGACGTTAAAAAAAAAAATAAAAAGAAAAATTTTTCAAAGCTGATTCAGATACGAATATTTTTTCTTTCAAGTTTCATTTAAATGAAAAAGAGATATTTTCGATTTTAGAAAATAAATTTTTTTTTTCTTTAGTTCTTATAATAACGTTAATTTGAAAAAAGAAATTTTCGATTTTCTTGTCAAAAAGTAAAATTAATTAAAAGAATAAAGAAATAAAAGAAAAAGTTATCTTCATAATTAAGAGCTTGAAAAATTGAAATTAATTTCTTTATTAATTTATTTTTTTGGTATTTCTTTTTTTTTATTATATTCTTATTTATTATATAAATAATTTTATTTATTGATTATTACTGTTAAAATTGAAATATCAATTGTCATTTAAACGAAACTTGTCACAGGAAATGTTTTTTTTCACAAATATATATATATATATATTCACATTGAATTCAGTGCAATAAATTTCGTCGATGGCAAATCTGATCATTATAATCATCACAGATAAATCATTAACGAATATAGCACACTCAGCTCCAAAAAAAAAGCATTTTCTTCGCGCCTCATTTTTTTCAGTTTATTATTATTATTTTTTTTTTTATTATTTTGCACTCGTATAAGCTACATATTTATTACTTTTTTTATATATATTTATATATATATATATATATATATAAAGAAGGATAAAACATTACTTTGTGCTTCGATGTTTTACCGTTCAGTGTGTTTATTTTCTTTGATCACTCATTAATTAAATATTGAATGGAAGAGAAAATCCCCGTTTAAAACATTTAGTTCAGTACTGGTTTCGAATAAAAATGGCACTCTACTAATAAAAAAAAATTTTCTTAATTACTTTTTTTTTTTCTTTACTTAAATTAACAATCTTTAGTTAAGAGACCAAAATTTTTAATTTTCTCTTTCTTTTATCACAGAATAGATAATTTTTTTTTTTGTTAGATAAAATTTTACATATAAATTTTTTTTTTTTTTTTAAAGCAAAAACAAGTGAAAATTTTTCTCGAGATCATTTTAATTAAATTTTACATATATAAATATATATATATATATATAATTTTTATAAAAAGACAAAATTTAAAACTTAATTGTAAAATAAAAATTCAAATAAATAAAATGATATTTTAAGTGTTACTATCACTGTACAAATGTTTAGAACATTTGTAAATAATTTTTTTTTTTTTTAATACAAACTATTTTCTAAAATGTTTGAGATCTAACTTAAAAATAAATATATATTTGCAGAGCTTTTTGAAAAGAAAATTGTGTTCTAGATTTTTGAAACCAGAACTGTAGCTATCACATTTTTTGTTTTGAATGGGGATGAGACTAGCGATTTCCTTCTTTTACAATTTTTTTTTTCACCCACTCTTTTTTTTGGGGGTGGGGGATTTGAAACTGAACGAAAGGCAAAATACGACGCAATGGACGATATTTACCGATTTTTCTGAGTGTCATGTAGTATCAAATATGATTTTATATTTTTTTATTTCTTGTCGCATGTGTTTGATGAGGTATTACTGCTAATCAGTATTTTACTTCTGTTTTTTTTCCCTAATTTTCTATCGCACTAACTTACGTGTTTTTTTTTACTTTTTTTTTTTTTTAATATATTTGTTTATTTATTTTTCGATTAGAAAATAGCTGTTGCGCCTTGGTATTACTTTAGTGCCTTAAATTCTATTTTACATCGGGCGTTTTACATTATTATTATTATTATTATTATTATTATTATTTTATTATTATTATTATAATATTACATATCTCGATCAATGGCTAAGTGTATTTTTAATCCTACGTAGACCCTTTACTCAATTAGTTTTTTTTTCCATTATGAATTATTATTTAGATTATTTACAAGCTTGGCTTATTTCAAGGCTGAAAAGTTTTTATTTTTTTTCTCTCGTTTCGATCGTCACTTTTCTTGCGCGTCTCTTATTATATACGATGACAATTATTTATTATAAATAATAATTCATTTTTCATATGAAAAAAAAAATTTTTTTTTCATTTAATTATAAATTCCGAAAAATTAAACGATTGATTGAGAGAATAAAAGTCATTAAATGACAATTTTCAACACACACAAATCAACCATGAAAATAAATTATTATATTTATAATAGTAAATAACTACTCAACGAAAAGCTTTTTTACGGCAAAAAAAAAAAAAAAACATATACACAGCACGTGACACTTATTGTGCACGAAAAATCTAATCTCAACCAGCCGGAGGATTTTTTAGAAAAATCCAAAGGCAGTTTTTTTTTTACTTTTTTTTTTTTGTCCAGTACGCTCTATAAAATTTTTTTTTTTTTGGCTTTCTCTCTCTCTCTCTCTCTCTCTCTCTTTTTTTTCTCTCTATGAAAAAATATTATTTTGATCTACGTGCCAAAAAAAAAAAAAAAAGAAAGTTCCCTTGAGAGTGATTGTTTATTATATAGAAGAAAGAAAACAAAGCGTTTGAAAATACTGGAATAAGGAGCAAAGATCGGAAGTTTAAAGATCATTTCAAATAATAATAATAAAAAAAAAAAAAAAAAAAAAAAAAATTGAAATGAAATTCAAAATCTTACGAAAAAAAAGAACTATCGCCTGTAGATTCGTTTTAACGAATAATTTCAGTAATTCTAGTCTAACTATTATTATCATGGGCGTAAGCTAGTGTATCACTAAAAATTAAAAAAAAATTAGTTTCTGCGCTAACATATGCTTAGAGGCTTTAATCACAGCTCAGTAGTACAATATCTTCTTATAGCTGCACAATGACTAGCCAAAAGATCATTATTTTCATCTTTAATCATCAATTAGTGTGGTCAAATAATTTTTTTTTTCTTCTAATTTTAAACTAATTAAAATTTTGTATTTTATATATTTTTATTTTTTCTATTTTTTTTCTAATGAATTTTTAATTTCAATATTTAATAATCAACTTTTATGTGTAATCAATTTTTTTTGTGCTAAAAATCACTTTAGTACAAATTCATATTTTTAAAAGAAAATCAATATGATTTTTACCATTCTTTTTACTATTATAAAATTTCTTTTTCAAAATATTTTCTATCGTCAAAAATCGTATAAACATTTTTTTTTTTTTTTTTTTTTTTTTTTTTTGGTAAACCTTGTGGAAGACATTAAATTAGAAGAAAAAAAAAATTGTTTCTTCCACCACTAATTTTTCGAGCATTCCACGAAAGACTTTCTTTTTTAGTTTAAAAAAAACACACACACGCACACACAAAATCTCGAATTATCATTTGTCATCAGTTAAAAAAAAAAAAAAATTCTCCCTATAATAATCAGTCTTCTCGTGGAATTAAAAGCCTCAGGCATAAGTGCGCATTGAAAAAAATAAAACCATATAAATTAAAAAAAAAAAATTAGCGAAGACGGATCTAAAAAAAAAAAAGAAATGAATTGAAAATTGTTTATCGCTGAATTGCGAAATCACGATTGACTCTTTTTTTTTCTTCTTTTTTCTGCCGTTATTCAAGTCACTTGTGAAACAAATGTTCTTTTTTTTTGCAGAATAAAACACAAATATTTATTCGGGCCTCGTATTTTGTCACGCGTTTTTTTTTTTTTTTAATTATAAATCGCAATTTTTTGAAATTTAAATTTCATTTTGCGATTTTTTGAAATTTCGTTGATGTGGGAACATGTATTGAAATAATCGTCGCACGATTGTCATGGTTCCCCCCGCACTTTTGTTTGGGAAATTTGTGTGTTTTTTTTTTTATAGCAACATTTTCAAATTAGTAGCTTAATAAGTGGTTTTACATTTAACATTATTTTTTTTCGCTACCTTTTTTCTTCTCTAAATAATGTTCTTGGACCGTTAGATGAATGTATGATTTTTTTTTTATTATTATCAAACATTATCTAAGTTTTTCTTGATTCGTAATTTGTATTTACAACGTCGTATAAAGTATACTTCGATATGTCAAACATAAGTACACCTATGGAACTAATGGCTTCAAAAATCTCTAGTTTTGTTTGTTTTAAATCTACAGTTGGAAATTTGTTTTGTTTCTTCTTTTATTCTTTTTCTTTTATCATATATCAATATTGTCTCTCGCTCCAAGAAAAAATTAATCATATATAATCTAATGTGAATCTCTAAACGTTAGGTGAGAAAATTAAAAAAAAAAAAAAAAAATAATTCTTTAAAAGGAAAAAAAAACCTTTTTGAAGACTAGAAAATATTTCTTTTGAAGAAATAGTTAAAATAATTGAAGTAAAAAAAAGTCCTTTCGAAAAAATTATTTTTATCCAAAAAGAAGAAAAATAGTTATAACAATTTTTCTAAATAAACAAACGATTAGAGAATCACTTCAGAAATAAAAATTATGAAAGCTTTTCGAGTCAAAGAGAAACCATGATGATGATCTCGATACAAAATCTGTATGTCGCGAATCAGAAAAATTTAATGGAATAATGTCGAGAATTATTTTCTATTCTTTTAATTAAAAATGATTTTTTTTTCCCCTCTATTTGTGCATTCAATAAATTATTTTAATATTTTTTATTAATTATGCAATTATAATTTTATTATTTATGTAATTAATAAATATTTATGAACATAATTAACAAATATTTATTAGCATAATTAATAAATGTCTATTAGCATAATTAATAATTATATATAAAAATTATGGATTATTATAAAATAATTAAAATTAATAATCGACAATATTGTCAAAAATCAAATTCTGATTCGGATATGAAAGAAAAAAAAGAATAAGCGATTAGTACTGTTATCGACATTTGAAATATAAACGTGAGATGTTTGATAATATATTCGATTAAAAGTGAAAATTCTAGTGATGGCGAATAGTATCAAAGAAACTATAGTTTCACGAATTATTTCGTGATTAACTATAGGGTGTCTACCAAACACCTTTGGTAGAGGCCAAAGATTTTTAAATATCGCTTGATGACATTTGCTTCCTTTCTTTTCACTTTTTTCTTCTTCTTCTTCTTCTTCATTCTTTCTCTTTTTTCCCCTTCATTTTTAGTTTTTGTTGTATCGAAACAGCAAAACCAATGTTTTTTTTTAAACCTTGTAGACAATAATTACTATCTATATCACAGATCCAAGTGACTAAACTCCTTTAAAAATATAATATAAATATGTGTATGTGTATGTGTGTGTATTTGTGATGTTCGCATATACTCGCAGACGTAGTTAAAAAAAAACAAAAAAAAAAAAAAAAAGATACAAAAGAAAAGTGCAGATACAATATTTGAAACGTGTATTATAGAGACATCCGAGAATTGATCTCTTGCTGCGACATTGGTAAATTTGATGATTCAAAAATCAGGCAATTTTACTTTTTAGTCTCTTTCTTCGCGATTTTTTCCTCAGAATAATTTTTTCACGTTCTAATTACTCGGAATCATAAATTAATTTTTGATGGAAATTGAAATATAAGAAATTGTAAATTAATTTAAATTCAAATTATTTTAATTTTATTTAAGTTTTTCATTTTTTTTTTTGTTCACTGTGTAAAATTTAACAATTTTAGTGAAATTTTTAAAGTTTATAAATTTTTTACATTTTTTGTATTATAAATTTATAAAATTTATTCCAGTTTTTTAAAAAAATTTGGAAATGTTTTTTTCGTAATTTTGTTTGAATTTAAAAAAATTCTTTTTTAAATCATATTTACGAATGGACGAATAAAAAAAAAAAAAATAATTTTTTTTGTGAATTATTTTTTAAAATTCTTTTTCTATAATTGTTAAATTTATAACTTTGAACATTTTTTTTGTTTTTCTTTTATTTTAATTTCGAGAAAAATTTGTTTATTTGAAAGTATTTCGCCCGGGGAAATTAATTTACAATAAATATAGAAAATTTTGTCAAAAATTTGCAACAATAATTAATTTGTAATTTTCAATTTTTGTAAAAAGAGGAGGGAAAAATGTAAATTTAATATTTTTTTTTTTTCAATAATGTAATAGTTTACAGTTTTTAAGTTAATTTAATATTTTTCTCAATACTTTAATGAAAAAATTTTTTTTTTTAATTTAATACTTTTTAAGTTATATTTTTAATTTTTTCCAATAATGAGAAGAAAATTCAATTTCAATGAAAAAAAATTTGATTTTGTCATGGAAAGAAATTGAATTTTTTGAAAGTACGCGAAATGTGTTTTTTTTTTTTTTGGAAAAAAGAAAACAAGCACGAAAAAAGTACGCGTAAAAAGACACTTAACCGTAATATTGTGAATTTGGAATCACAAACTGACAAGCCCAATGCGAGCAATGAATTTCTTTTCAGTTATTTCGTTGAATATATTCGGGATAAGAAATAGCGGGACCGGTATTTGTGTACTGGGCATAAAGATATAATGCAGGATGTAGACCAGGTGGTGGAATTCCGCGATGTAATTGATGATGCGATTCCGCTGGATCGAGAGTTGGAGGCGTTAAATGTGAATAGATTTGTGTTGAATTGGAACTGTTTATAGGACCCGATGATGATCCCGTTGTTTGGTAGACACTCTGTGATGTTAAATGGTGCTCGTGTGATAGGGATGATGATGATGATAATGATGATGAATTTAGTGTAGTAAATGACGTACTCGCCGTAGTGGGACATTGTATTACTTGCTGCGGTGATTGTTGTTGTTCTTGTTGTTGTTGTTGTTGTTGTTGTAGTAACGGCAGAGATGACTGTGTTGTCGTCGCGCTGCCGTCCAAACACTAGTTAGTTGTCTGCGGATGCAGCAATGGAAGAGGAAGTTGTAGACTGTTCTTTGCTAAATTTGCAATTTCAGCGGCAATACCACCGCCTTTACTCGTACTCAATGATTCCAATGATGATGGCCCATCGGTATAGCGTAATTCACAAACAGGACTTTCAAAACCAGTTCCACTTGTGCCACCGCTACTTTGCGGTGTTGGTGGATTATGATTATTAGCATTATTGCCCTGATTCATTTCACGATGAACTCGATTTTGATGTCTTATCAGATAGCTGTCGCGAACAAAGGTGCGACCGCAGATGTTACACTCGAATGAAGTGTTTGCCGTGTGGGTGCGAATGTGAATCGCGAATTGACTCTTTGACGTGAAGGTCATAGAACACCTGTGGGTTTAAATTTTTTTTTTTTTATTATTTTTCATTTTTTTAAATTGAGAAAAAAAATTTACCATTAAACAATTTTTTTTTTTTTTATTGAAAATAATTTTTCTGTAAATCATTATTTAGTAAAAGGGTTTCTAAAAGAAAAATTCCCTTTCGAAACAATAAGTACTAAAAAAATAAGGTAATGATAATAATGAACCAAATTTTTTAAAATTAAGTTTCTAATAATAATAATAATAATAATGATAATTAAAGGAGTATCATATCTATCACTCGAATAATAATAATTATATTTAATTGACGAATTTTTCGCGAGTTTCCAGAAATTTTAATTATAATTTATCAAATACTTTTAAACAATTGAAAATTTCATAGAATATTTATATTGCAATTAAATAATTAGTTTCCTTTATTTTTTAGTTAAATTAAATTTTTTTTTAATATCTAAAACGCAATTTTAATTTAAAAAAAAAAAAGTTGAGAAACAAAAAACGAAATAGTTTTCAAAAAAGTAACTAAATTGTGTTTTTTTTTTTACAAAAAGAAAATTAAAAATTTTCCTTTTTTTTTAGTCATGATGTATATAATATTTAAGAAAATATTTCTTCTTTAAAGAGAGAGAGAGAGAGAGAGAGATAGGGAATCGTTTATCTTGATCATTTATGATTAAGAGATAAATTAGCCTTTACTCTCTTTCTTTCATTGCTGATAAAAGTGGTACATAATTATTAAGTTTCATAATGGATTATTATCTTGAAATTAAAATAATTTTATTTCCCTATTTCGTTTACGGAAAATCTGTCTTTTTTTTTGGGGAAATTAAATTAATTTAGTAACTTTTTTTGAAAACGAGTTTTTTTTTTCTTAATATAAAGATAAATTGAAATATTTAATTCTATTATAATTTAAAATTATTTTTCAAAAGTCAATTTGACAAGATTTTCAAATTTATTTAAATTATCTCGATAACGTTAAATAAATGCACTAAACTTGAATTTTATATTATTACAATGAAAATGTGATTCATGCATTAACGCGACCTTCACGCTTCGATACACTTTACGAAATAAAAAAAAAAAAAATTAATTACTTTTAAATTTTAATCTTTTTCAATTCTTTATATAAATAATATACTTTCAATTGTTAATTTTATTTATTCTTTCCGATCAGATGGAAAATAGTCAAAAAATTTTTTTTTTTTTTTGAATTTGTTCCCTATTTTTTATTTGATAATTATATAAATATAAATATAGAAAAAAGGTATTGTAAAAATAAAAAAAAAGTAAAATTCCCAATTTTATTTTCAATTTACATGAAATGAATAATAAAACGGCAATTTTTTTTTTGTTTAATATTTACATAAAAATTTATAAATAATAAAATAGTCGCATTACATTGACTAACAATAAAATTATTATAATTAATTAATTTATAATTAATTATGCTAGTTATTATTTTTTGTGTATTCACTTAAAATTATAAAAATTTCGAATATTCATTATTTGGATAAAATAGTTAATACGATTACAATTTTTCATTGTATTACATTAACTGACATTAAAATTATTCTTGGGTTCTGTTATTAACCAAAAGTTTTTTCGGAAACTTTCTTCGAGGTTTTCTGCAAAAAAAAGTTCCATCTATCATTATTATCATTTTTATTATTATTATTATTTTATTATTATCATTATTATTATTATTATTATTATTATTATTATATTGTAGATTACTACGTTGTAAACTATTCTGCTAACTACCAACTTTTAAGTGTTTAATTAGCAATGGAAGCGTTTAACGCTCAATACTAGAATTAAAAATTTTTTTTTGTTTAAAATATAATTCAAGTAATTTTTGAATTGGATTATTTTCCATTTGATTATTATTCGTCTCGTTTCAAATCTTAAAAAATATTTTCTAATTGAAATAGCGGTTTTTCAAATTTATTTATACTGTTTATATAAAAATTGAAAAAAAAAATTTTTTTGGCAAAGTTTACAAAGTGTAAGGAACAACAAAGAAAAAGAATAAGTAAAAAAAAAAAAAGAAATTTCGTATAATAAACGAACGATGGCGATAATAAAAAAGAATAATATAAAGAAAGTAATAAACATTTTGATTAATAATTTTTCAATCAAGTCACTGATTTTTATTAATTTGGTAAAAAATTTTAATTTTAAACAATTTATTTATTAATTATTAATTTTTCTTTTATTAACAATTTAATTTACTTTTTTTGTTTGGTTAAAAATAACCAAATATTTAAAAATATAAAAATTTTTTTTTTTATTTAATTTTGATAATAATAATAATTTTTTTTTTATTTTTTGATTAAATAAAAGTAAAAATTTTCAAAATTGTATTTGACTAAATATGTAAAATACTTTTTAACCAAGTTTCATGGAAATCAGTGACTAAAATAGGGATCACAGTGGTTTATTTTTAGTTCAAAATAGGGGGGAATCTTTCTTTTCAAGAAAGGGAATTTTAGAACTCAAGAAAAAGAAGATGTAAAATATTTCAAGTTTTCTTTAAAAGAAATTTGAAATTATTTTTTCTTTTTTAATTTTAAAAATAATTTTTAAAATTTTGTAATATTTTTTAAACACATATATAAATATAAATGATTTTTTAAGATATATATATTTATAATAAATATTACAAAATATTCAATATTTATAATTTAAATTTACTTTAAATTAAATATTCAATAATGGATAATAAATATTGGAAAATGTTTTCTTTGGGATAAAAGATATCAACTGTGATCTTTTTGGTGAAAATTACTAAAATCAAAAATTTATATTAAAAAAAAAAAAAAAAAAAAGAACGCGTTACATGAAGGAAAAATGGATTTTTGAGAAAGAAAAAAAAAATGAAAAATACCTTTCGCAAACGAGAGGCTTCTCAGCAACGTGACTCCAACGATGTGCCGTAACATAACTCTTGACGGCAAATCTTTTTTGACAAATATCACAAGCGTAAGGACGTTCTCCAGTGTGTACACGCTTGTGAGTATTTAAACTGCTCTTCTGAGTGAATCGTTTGAGACACAATTCACATTGGAATGGTCTCTCGCCAGTGTGGGTCCTCATATGAACCTCAAGATATGGCTTCCTGCAGAAGCTCGCCTCACAAACCGTACAATGGTACGGTTTATTTCCTGAATGCAATTTCATGTGTACGTAGTATGAGCTCGCTGATGAAAGAACTTTACCGCAAACTTTACAAGGCTGTGGCTTTGAACGTGTTCCTTCTTTAACAGTTTGTTGGCCAGTTGATTGACGATCTGGTGATTCACTTGGTCCTTGTTCGTGATGATCGTGATGCTCGTGATGTTGTTGATGTGGTTGCATATTTTGCAAATGGCCCTCTGGTTGTGACATATGCCCTTCTTGTTGAAGATGATTGTCACGTTGTTGTAAATGTTGATCCTGTTGTTGAATATGTCCGTCTTGTTGTGAAAGTTCCTCGCGATCGTCAGAAAGATTTACCATAGAATTAGAACCATCAGAACGACTTGATGCAACTGAATAAAATCCCATAGGTTCACTTTTAATTTGTTGATCGAACATAGATGTCATATCACGGTGATGATGATGATGATGATGATGATGGGGATGGGGATGCACCAGCTGTTGCAGTGGCTGAAGATGATGGCTCGCTGCTTGCTGTTCTGGGAGCAGAGTCAGGTTGCGCTTGACAAACTGCTCATATCCTGCGTACCAATCCACCTGCATGATATGAACACAAGATGATGAATATATATAAAAAAAATATCAGGCGTCGTTTATCATCCATCGATGAAACTATATTCCAAAATTTATTAATTCAAATGTAAAAAATAGAATCACAATAATAGATGAAAATAAATTTTCTATCTTGCTATGATTTTAAAACAACATTCGACATTTATTTTTGACAAGTGACAGATAATGCTTTGCCAAGAAGGTGTGCGGGGTGAAAATTGAATGAGCGAGTCGATCAGCTGATTGCATAACTTTTCCGCGAGTTGATTAATAAAGAAACAAGTGCAACAATATTTTTGCGAGAGAGAAATTTTTCATCTAATTAAAATACACGTATTTGATTATCATTAATTTTTGATTTAAAATGAATAAATAATGTGCAAATTAATTTGGACGCTAAATCGAGTTTGCGATGCGCGACTCTTATTCGCGAGACGTCGCACTAGGAGTCTAATGCCAATGGGGATAAAAATTCCAATAAAATTAACGTTTTTATTACTAACCTTTGCTAATGTAGTGGTCCGGGCTAATGGTAAAAAAGCTACGCCTCATCGAGCGCACGCCTCCCTCGACGTTTCTACTCACGGAATAACGCGAGACATTTGTTTAAATAAATGTTTTTCTTCAACACAAAATATAAGATGGCTGCTGCTATATTGCTCACGAGCCTAGTGTATATATACGCACCAATACAATGTAATTACGACAATGTGTGGCAGACGAAAAAAAGTATGGATGGGACAATTTAATTGGCTAAAAACATAAAGGCTGCGACGCCAATGTCGCTACAAATTTCAAACTGTGAATCACATTTTACTGGCGGTAAATTCAAAAAATAACATTTTTAAAGGTTAAATTTATTTGAATAAAAAATATTTAATAATCAATTTTAAGTATTTGTTGCATTTATCAAAAAGTATTTATAATTCGGGATATTTTTTATATTTATTTTAATGAGTTGCAAAAAAATTTGCCAAATAATAGATAAACGCTGATTGGCCAATGCAATATTAAAGCATCGTTCATTGAACATGTTTTTGAGAACACCGAAAAATTTCAATTGATATTTGTGTTTGTCGATTGGCATTTTCCGATTTTTTTTCTCTGACAACTGACATAATTATAATTAGAATTCCAATTATTTTTGGATGATAATAATTTTCCAACGTTAAATTTAAAAAAAAAAATGCAGTACTAATTTTATCGGAATCATATAATCAAAGTTGATTATTTCGTTTTGTTTATATCTTGATTGCTCAATATATGCGATCGACTATTCCCGCATGTGTATGTTAATTTAAAAGAAAACGATTCTGTTTTCAATAATATAAATCGAAAAAAAATTGGATTTTTATGGATATTTTTTAAAAAGAAAATCCTCTGTGAATCGGTGAGTTTTTTTTGAGGTTATAATTTCGGTAAAATAATTTTTGCATTTACTTTTTTTTTTTTTTTTATATACTTTTGCAAATAAGATATTTTTCAAGAATTGATTATTTTTGTTTACGTGCTTTTCAATTTGACATTGATTTTTTTTTTCGAAGTCGACAAAATTTGTTTGCAAACATTTGATGATTCAAAGTAATTTCATTGTCTTTGGCATCGTTGCTTAATTATTATTATTATAGATGTTTATGTTTGAATAGTCTATTAGAAAAAAAAAAAAAAATTCTTTCAATGATTTTTATATTTTAATGCTATTTTTATTTGATTTTTAAAAATGAAATTAAAAAAATTTGAATTTTTTAAATAGAGAAATTTTTATTTTCAGGAAATTTTGATTCAAAAATTATGACAGAACAACTGTCAGTTAATCCACAATTGAGGATGGACGAATCCTTGAAAACAAATTCTGTTGATCATTCAATGATTAATGGAAGTGACAATCAAACAATGGATCAAACGGGCAATAATCAAGCATTAAATGATCCAGTAACGAAAGCTGTTGTCGATAATATAATGGGAAATTTGCCCACAAAAAAACCTTTTTATCGTTGTGATGATTGTGATCTCTCGTTTACAAGTAATACAGTATTAGATGCTCATTTACAAGGCGCACGTCATGCTAAACAGGTAAAAATAAATATTTAATATAATTATTATAAATTAGAGAAAATTAATTAAAAATAGTATTATGTTAAGAAAATTGTTTTCTATATTTTAATTTTTAATGGTTTAAAATCTTTAAAAAAAAAAAATTAATTTAATATTTAAAAATATTTTTTTTAATCCAAAAATAGATTAGATCGAAAACCATAATGGCCACCTTAGATGAATCGAAAATTCCATTTGCTAAAGATGCAGAAACAAATGGACTTCAATGTAACGTTTGTAATGTTCGCCTCAATTCGTTACAACAACTTCACACGCATTTAAATGGTAAATAAACAATTTTTATGTTTCTATTAATTAATTTAATAAATAAATTTTTATATTATATCAAAAAAAAAAAAAAGATATTTCTAATGAATTTTCGTTTTTTAAATTATTTTTCAGGAAATCGACACAAAAAGAAAGCGATAAGAGGTAATAAATCAACTGGCGTGAAATCTACATCGAACAATGGTTTTCGAACTAGACGAACTTTGGTTGTAGATCAACAGATTCGTAAAGAAACTGTTGTTTTAGTTTATTGTTTGATAGTTTTCACATTTGCATGCCTTACTTTATTGCTTACATTTGTTTTTCACGTTTACGTTATGTAAGCTTACGACTTTTTTTTTTTTTTTTTATTTTTTTCGGTTTGAATTTCATTTTTTTGTTTGTATATAATTTTATTATGAGCAAAAATTATTTCTATTTTGCTTTGTTTTTTTGTTTTTTTTTTTTTTTTTGTTTTGTTCGTGTTTCGTTTAGTTCAACATTTTTGTATATATTTTATTATATTCATTCGTTGTTTCGTATGTTTATTTATTATTTATTTTTGTCTTTAAAAAAAGTGAGCAAATTTGTTTCTCCCCGATAATTCAAAATTTTCATCTCGGGGGGGTATAAAAATATTTGTATAAATAAATTAAAATTGGATATTTTTTTGTGTATTTTTTTTTTAATTATTATTTATTTTTTATATTATAATTTTTCTATTTATTTTTTTTTATTTGTATTTGATCTTGTAGTGAAAAATATTTTCGAATGGTAAGTAATTTTTTTTTGTAAATCTTTTTTTGTTCTTATTTATTTTTTTTTTGCATTTTCAGGGGGATGGCGAATTCCTGAAACGGAAGCTGATATTCAATTAGGAAATCCATCATCTTCGCAAAAGGTTATAACTGGACAATTATTACAAAAAACCACTTGCCGTCCTTGCAAAGAAACGTTTGACAGTCTAAAATTATACAAAAAAGTAAATTTCCCCCCTTCAATTATTATTATTTTAATTTATTGTTATTTAATATATTTTTGTTTTTTTAGGACACTTAAAGATTATTTTAAATAATATTTTGATTAAATTAAAAAAAAATTAATAAATATAATAATTGATTGTTTGCAGCACTGTATTAGTAAGAAACATCTGAATATGGTGAAATTAAAGAAGAAGGAGAAGAAACGAAGAATATTTATTGAATTACAAAAGAAGGAGGCAAAGGCAAATCGTAATTCGTCGGATATAAACTTTGACTCTAAATCAACATTGCAGGATTATTTTGTGTCAAGTGGCTTTATTCATAATGGCGTGGCTTGCAAAATGAGTGATGACGCTTTTTAAATACGAGAGAGAAACAAAAAGACTCAAAAGTGCGTTTTGAAAATGATAAATTTTTACCAAAAGAAAAAAACGGGATAACGAATCTATATATAAATATGTAAGTATTATTAATTTTTTTTATTTTTTTTTGTCTTTTTTGCAAAAAAAAAAAAAAAGAAATATATTTGAAAGAACAGGAATACAATAATATAATTGTAAAATTATATATATATATTTCAATTACAAAAATAATTGAAAATGGTGCATGAGTTGAAATCTCGGTATAATGCCTGGATTACAATTAAAAAAGCCGTGAATATGATTTCCTTTTACTTCATGTAAAATTTTTAATTTCTACCTCCGTAAATCATTTTCCGGCTGAAATTTATAAAATGATTATTTTTTTTTTTTTCCTAAAGCGATATTAAAATATCGTTAAATTATTATTTTCACTTGCCTTTTTGTAAGTCTTTAATAATCGATGAAGTTCGGCATTTTGTCGACGTAGTAATTCTGTTTCATCATTTAGTTTATGTCGTTCTTTTAAAATATTATGATATTTATTTAATCCAATTAGTAATGCATCCCAGAGTGTTTCTTTTTCTTCGTTAAAAATTTCACGATATTTATTCCAAAATTTCATTACATCTTCGGCTAAAATATTTCTCGATATTGTAAATTTTCGTTCAATTAATTTTTCCTTAAAATCACGGGGCGATTCATCTTTTTTTATTGAATGATATTTTTCCAAAAATTCCGTTAATCCGCGTATTATGTACTTTACATGAATTTCAAGAACATGTCCCATGTCGCATGTAACTTTTCTCATTTTTAAATTGTCAGAACAATCGCATGATAATTCTTCAATAGATCTTGATCCTTTGAAACAATTTTTTTTTTATTTTATTTTGGAATTAGAATTTTTTTTATAATTAGTTAGAAACATTGTTTTCTTTTTTTTTTACCTTCGATGGTGTCTTTATCAGTTTCGGAACTGGAGCAGTCAATTTTTTCGGCAAATGTACTTTCACTGCTTTTGCTTATTTCACAGGGAGTAAAAACCACAGTGACTTCTTCTTTTACTGTTTCAATTAATTTTCTGGTTCGTTCGTCTTTTGGTTCTTTTAATTTTTCGCTGTCATCTCTAAAAAAAAAATTGTATATTTTTTCTAACTTTTTTTGGCTAAAGAAAAATTTAATGAAAAATATTTTTTTTTGGAAATTACTTGATAGTGGACGTAGAAATTGTTTCAATTTCATTTGTTTTATTATTATCACAAATTGGACAGTAGGTGTAGGGTAGAAAAAAATTTAAAAGCATATCGATATTCTCTGGCGAATCGATACACAAAGCCTAGAAAATAATTTAATTTATTTAATTTAAATAATAATTATTTTCATTTAATTATTATTTTGAATTAATAATTACTTTTGAATTAAGATATTTTCTTTTATTTAAATTTTTGTCATTACCTGAAAAACATTGTCAAGTCTGACGATAATTTGATTTTCATTGCTTTGATTTAATAATAATTCTTTTAATTTGTCTTCAATTAAAAATCCAGCGCGATCGGAAATTAATTTCATAATATGCACAAGCAATTTCCTTTCTAAATTAATCTCTTCCAATGTTGTTGCTGGCTTGTATGGTTCGCACATTTTTAATTTTTCAGCATCGAGTTTTTTTTCTAGAAATAATAATAATAATATTTAATAATTAATAGATAATTATTTTTAATTTTCTTTTTACTTTGCTCAATCACAGCCATTGATTTTACATAGGATGGCAAATCTTCTTTTCTTAACAATTTCTCTTTTGGTGGTTCCCATTCCAAACCCAAAACTTGGTGGAATATTATTTTATCGGCTGTTAATATCTAAAACAATAGAATCATTTTTTTGAGTACATTTTTATTTTTTAATTTAAATTTACTTTTTTTTACTTCTCTTTCTTGATTTTTTTTAATATTTATTTTTATAATTTTTATTTTTTTTTTTAAATTACCTTTTGAAATAAATCATCGGCAATTTTGCTATTCATGTCCCAAATTTCCATATAATTTTTTTCATTAATCGCTGTAAAAAGATCAGATTTTTCTTCGAGGTCTAAAATATTTTTATGAGCCCTTAATACTTGATCGGACAATTTTTGCATTTCTAGTTTTGTATTTTTCTCTAAATTTGAATAAGTCTTCTTTAAATCGCTGATAGTGTCATGTAATCTATTGGAAATATTTAATTTTTAATTAAATTTCAAAATAATTGAAATTATGAATTAATTATTATGAAAAATTTACTCAACTTGTTGAGTTTTCGTTTTTGATGATTTTTAACAATTGCATTTTCATCTTCGCGTCTTTTTAATAAATTATAATTATAATCCAATTTTTCAACATTTAACATACAAATTGCTTTCATTTGTTCTATTTGTTGTTGAAGTTTTTGTTGTTCAATTTCTAATTTAATTTTTTGTTTTCTATATTCCTCATGATGTTCAATTCGCGTTTTATTCATTTCAAGTTGAAATTCATTCATAATTTCTTTTCTCTTTTCAATTCCATGTATTTCATTTTCAGCACGTTGATTGTATAAAGTCTCCCATTTTTTTGCCGATACTTCCAAAAGAGATTCCCTCTCCAATTGCAATGTATTTTCAATGATAGCTAATTCTTTGCGAAAGGATTTTGCCATTGTATTCACCTATAGAACATTTTATTTTCAAAAATTAAATAAAAAAAAATTAAATTGAAATTAAATAAAATTTTTGATTTTATTCAATTAGAGGATTTTTTTTTTTATTAACTTACATGATGATCAATTCTATCGATTAATATATCAATATCTTCAGTTTGTTTTTGTAGATCCAATTGAAATTTTTCGTCAGCTTCTTTTAATTCTTTTTTTAAATTATCAATCGCTGAATTTTTAAATGCAAGAACGGCGAGACATTTTTCATTTTGTGCTATCATTGCCGAATTAATATCCAATGGATCTTTAGATTCAAGAATTGTTGTCCATTTATTATTAATTTCTTGATAACGTTCGCTACATTCTTTTGCATTTGTCTCTAACATTTTTAATAAATTTTCGCGAATTTCATTTTCTTTTTCACGACGTTGCAATTCACGGGCATCGTTTGATATTTTTACATTCGATATCTGAAAATATATGCGAATTTTAATTTTATTAATTTATTAAATTAAATTAGAATTTAAATTAATGTTTAATTAAATTTTCATGATAAATTTTTTTAAAATTTTATTTAAATATCTTGCCACTCTATTTCCATCGTTAATAAATTTATCCAATTGTTCTGCGCTTATTAAAATTTGCTTTTCAGTATCAGTTGTTTCCACTTCATGTGTTTCGGTTAGTGAAACTTCTCTAAAATTTAAAAAAAAAATTGCTTTGCAAATAAAATTATTTATTACCTACATATATATATATAAAAAAAAAGAAAGAAAATCTTTTTAACTACTCTTTGATTGTTTCCTGACGCTTTTGAATCCTGATCCTTCGGGCTAATTTTCTTTCATTTGGATCATTTGACGTCACAGAGGGTTCTTCTTCTGATTCATTTAAATTTTCTTTTAAAATCACATCCATTTTAGACAATTTTTTTATTTCACAAAAAAAACCTAATTTTTCAATATGTAAAAAAGTTTTTTTATTTAAAAAAAAATTACATATTTATAATAATAAAATATTTTAAAAATATTATTAAAAATTCACTGAGGTTATTTTTTAGTTTATAGATTCAATTTTTTTTTTTTTTTTTTGAGGGAAAAAATTTAATCAATCACCATGGCAATGAAAAATGTGGATAAAGCAGATGTTTGTTGATAATGTAGAACGATGTTGATAAAGTAGAAATGCATGGTTGCCACTAAGCTGCCAGAAGGTGGCAACACTGTATCAGTTGGTGAGACGCAAGCGATGAGTAAACACACAAGATGGCAGCTCTTATCATCATTCGCAGGATTTATCATCAAAAGAAGCAAATTATTTTCGGTGAGTACGACCCCACGGCCTATTTTAAATTACACATCTTCTCTTTATGAATTAACGAGTCAGAAATTATGGTAGAGCCGTCTTTTATAAACTTAACTTTATAACAAGAGCGTCGTTAATTGGCAGAAAAATTGCTTTCGAGTAGAATATTATTTGACAGTTAGAAATTTTATTTGTCCTATACGTATATATATATAGGCAAAATACGTTGTTTGTCTATAAAATGAACGAACCGTTACAAGTATACATATATACCAATGATCAAGCAATGACGAAACGAGGATGCGTACTACTTTCACGAAGAGTTCTTTTTAAAGCAGAAAGAATTTGCTTAACTCAGAAAGGAAGTTCAAAACGAAATCTTCTGCACGAAAGTCTCTCTCACTCTCGTGTTTGCAATTATATTCATCGATTTCGAAAGGCGCATTTGGATATATAGAGAAGCAGCAGTAATACAAGTGTCACCCGGGTGCGAAGAGTAAACACGAGAGTAAATAACCAGAGGCTGAGGTTATAACAGGGAAATGTAGAAACTGCTTGTTTCCGGAGCCTTGGGCCGTCAAAGTTTCACAAGATGACATCGAATTCGCTTTCTCTATATATTTGCGAACTAAATAAAAAAAAAAAAAAAAAGAAACCACGCGCGGTATTCGTAAAATAAACGATGGAATTTGTTACAAAAAAAAAAGAAAAGGTGAGGTTATGTCAACTTTAGTGATACTTTACTTTATTTGAGAGGAAATTCTCGCGTGGGAGAAATATTTGCAAAAAAAAAGTTTTAAATAGTTTTAAAACTGATAAAAAAAAAATTTATTTGCAAATTTCCTGATCATTATTAAAATAAGGTTAGGAAATGGCGAGTAATAGAGAAAAATTTGTTTTTCAATAGTTAACATTGTTTCAATGAATTTTTATAACTTGTATTGTTTTTAATAATAATTTGCTTCGCCCTAACCTCAAAATTACTGGAAATTGAAAGTATTTTGTTAAATTTTGCAAACAATTTTTTTTTTTAAACTTTTTTTTTTTTTAATTGATAAAACAAATAGAATAAATTCTATTTTAAATCGTGAATATAAAATTTTGTTTTTTTTTTTCTTCTATTGTTTCGAATTACATATTTTGGAGAATAACAAAACTATATTTATCAATACTTGACTCGCTGTTTTAAAACCTGAAATAATGTGCGTAATTCAGTAATATATCGTGTCGACATTTTTGACTATTTAGAAAGTTTATGTTGTTGAAATTGACACTCGTTCATTGGAGGTCGTTGAACTTTTTAAAAATTCCTAAGCTTTTTTTTTTAAATTCAATCACTTTTATTGTATTTTTTTTTTTTTTTTTAATGTAATATACAATTTTTCTAATTTTCTAGTTGAATTTATAATATATTGATGAATTTAATAGGTGCCCACAGAACTAAAGTTACCTTTAGTCATTGCAAGTCGATACTTTTAATTTATATTTAACTTTGCGATAAAAAAAAAAAAAAAAAAAAAAAAATGACGACGTTTACAAAATATGTGTTTGTGTAATTAAAAACTATCGTATTTCCAGCGATAAATTTCATTCACTCGATGTGTGATATAATTCCTTTTGTATATTGCTTTATTTATATATATATATTTTTTTTTTTTAAAGGCAAAAACAGGACTTTAAAAATTTGTTGACTTATTTATAATAGTTTAAAAATATTTAACCGCGAAGTAAAAAATTAAGGCCCATTAAATACTTGATGATAATTTAATGTATTTCATTGTATTTCAGGATATTTCACTATACACTGAAAAAAAAATTTATTTGATTCAAATACCGGTGTATTTGGTTATTATCAAATAAATATTTACTTGAATCAAATATTTCTTATTTGAATCAAATAAATGGTATTTGCTTTAAATACTGAAATATTTGATTCAAGTAAATATTTATTTGATAATAATCAAATACACCGGTATTTGAATCAAATAAATTTTTTTTTAGTGTACTTTAGATAATTCGAGATACTTGAGATAATTCCCGATACTTCATATATATATTTTAAGATAATTCAGTATAATTGCTGACAATTCTGGATATTTTCAAATAATTTGTATTTCATGATATTTGAGATAATTTAAGATACTTGAGATATTTTTGGATACTTCAAATATTTATGGATACTTCAGATAATTTAGGATACTTCAAGATAATAATAGAATATTTTCAAATATTTCAAGATAATGTAGAATATTTTCAAATATTTCAAGCCACTTCAGATAATTCAGAATATTTAAAAATATTTTGAGATAATTGAGATTATTAGAAGATTCTTTATATATTTTCGGATACTTCAGATATAATTCATGATAGTTGAGGATACATAATTTAAGATAATTCAGAGTATTTGAAGAGATATTAATTAATTCAGTATATTTTCAAATATTCCATGATACTTTAGATAATTTATTAAACTTTAAATAATTTAGGATACTTCAAGGTAATTTAGGATACTTCAAGATGATTCAGGATATTTTAAGGTATTGCAGTATATTTTATGATACTAAAGATAATTTAGTATATTTTTATATATTTCGAAATATTTAAAAATATTTCATAATTCACCAGATAATTTAGATTACTTCAAGATAATTAAGAGTATTTTAAGATACTTTAGATAATTTAGGATACTTGATCGGATATTTTCAAATAATTTATATAGTATTTCAAGATACTTCAGATAATTTAAGATACTTCAGATTTTTTGTCGATACTTCCGATATTTTTGAATACTTCAGATAATTTAGGATAATTCAAGATAATGCAGAATATTTGAAAATATTTCAAAATCATTCAGAATATTTGAAAATATTTCAAAATCATTCAGAATATTTCAAAACACTTCAGATAATTTAGGATATTTCAAATTATTTTAAGATAATTCAGATTGTTAGAAGATTCTTCATATATTTTTGGATACTGTAGATAATTCATGAGATTTGATGATAATTTAAGATAATTCAGAGTATTTGAATATACTTTAGATAATTTAGGATACTTGAAGATAATTCAGGGTATTTTAAGATACTTTAGATATTTTCAAATATTTCAAGCCACTTCAGATAATTCAGGATATTTCAAATTATTTTGAGATAATTCAGATTATTAGAAGATTCTTTATATATTTTCGGATACTTCAGATATAATTCATGATATTTGAAGATAATTTAAGATAATTCGGAGTATTTAAAGATACTTTAATTAATTCAGCATTTTTTCAAATATTTCAAGATACTTTAGGACACTTTCGATAATTCCGGATACTTCAAGATAATTCAGCCTATTTTAGGATATTTAGATAATTCATGATATTTCAAGACACTTCAGATAATTCAGGATATTTCAAATTATTTTGATATAATTCAGATTGTTAGAAGATTCTTCATATATTTTCGGATGCTTTAGATAATTCATGAGATTTGAAGAGAATTTAAGATAATTCAGAGTATTTGAAGATACTTTAATTAATTTAGCATATTTTCAAATATTCCAAGATACTTTAGGACACTTTAGATAATTCCGGATACTTCAAGATAATTTAAGATAATTTAAGATGATTTCAAGTATTTCAGAACATTTCAAGTTATTGCAGTATATTTTATAAAGATAATTACAGATACTTATAGATAATTTAGGATATTTTCAAATATTTCAAAATTCACCAAATAATTTTGGGTTATTTCAAGATAATTCAAAGTATTTTAAGATACTTTAGATCATTTAGGATACTTGAAGATAATTCAGGGTATTTTAAGATACTTTAGATAATTCAAGATATTTCAAGACACTTCATATAATTCAGGATATATTTTAAAATAATTTTCCAATCTTTAAATTCCCAAATATTTCCAATACGTGATCAATATACATATATTCATTTTTATATTTAATTCATATTTCCTGAATCGTGCAAAAACATTCGTTTATTGTATTACAAGTTTAGTTCTCTACATTTCCAAATTTGCTCTCAAGAATGTTTTTCTTTTTTTTTTTTTTTTTTTTTTTTTTTTTTTGCACCGTGTATACATGCGCGAGATATAGTGGAATTATAAAACCAGTCGTGGAATTTTAGGAAACTAGAATAGTAAAAGGAGCCAGATTTTGCTCACACGAGAAAGGTAAATCTTGGGAGAGAACAGGATTGACTTGAGCAACCAGAATGACTTTTTTTCCGTAAAAAATAGATGATGTGAGGAACTGGAAAAGAGTTGGGGGAGGTGGAGAAGGAGGAAGGGGGGGGGTCTCTCTGTCGCTAAGGGGATTCACAGGTTGTATGTGCGCTAGAAGCCTAGACCATGCTGGCAATGTTCTCGGTTCGTATGGCAAACGGAAAGAACGATAGAACTCGATAGAATAAAATGAACGATCGAGAGAAAGAGCGAGAGAGTGAGAGAGAGAGAGAGAAAGAGAGAGAAAGAATGGTCAAACGAAGGCACCGTACGATTGCCAAGCGTCTACCATGGATCTACAATTCTACAAGCAACGTTCGTCGGCTTAGGTTGGAGAGAAGAGAGAAAGAGAGAGAGAGAGAGAGAGAGAGAGAGAGAGAGAGAGAAGGAGAGGGGACGAGATTAACAGAGAGAAGAGAAAGAGGAGCAAAAGAGAAAGAGTCGGTGAGACGAGCTTTGGGTTCGGGTTAGCTCGTTCGACCCGTTATCCCCTCCAATCCCAACTCCCTCCCCACTCTAGTGCCAGTGCCGGATAAACAGACGCCTTTCTCTCCTATATAACCTAAAGGAGATGTTTTCCAACACTTGAAACTCTCCCTTTACATTAGTTTTCAGGCTTTTCACAAAATCAACATCTTCTGCCAACTACTTTTCAAAATAATACATAAATCATTTGGTTCAATGATTTCCATTTTATGATTTCTATAAATTTTGCGCTTGTTATTATAACACAGTATTTTTTACATCTTCTATTGACTCATTTTGAAATTGAATTTTAAAATCAGTTTCATAAAGGAAAAACATTTTTTAAATTTACTTTTATTTGTTATTTTTCATTTAAACAAATTTTTAAATGACAATATTGATTTTCATAAAATTAATCAGGTGAAAATTGTTATTTTTTTTTATATAAAATAATATAAATAATATATTATTTAAATAATATGTGTGATTTTTATGTTCCGTATCCCCTAAATTTTTTTTTATTTTCATTTTTTTCCTTTTTTTTAAATGGAATTTAAAATATAAAAATTGTAAGGTATCCGGAACATAAAAATCACCATTTACTATTAAAATAATATAAAAATTGAAATTATATTTTTTTATGTTACAATTTAAATATGTCTCTATTTGCGTGTTTTTTTTTGAAAAAATATTTCATTATTCTCTCTTTTATTTATAATTTTTATTTATATCTAAATGTCAACAGTCGTTATTTTTTTCCGCTTATGACTGATTTAAACAAATTTTCCTTATTTCCTCTTTAAACGAATCAAAATATTATAAACTGTTTATCAAAAAAAAAAAAAATTTTTTTGAATGTTAAAAAATAAAGATAAATTAAAATACAAAATTAGTATAATTTTTTTTTATTTGTAAATACAAAAAAAAATAATAATAATTTTCTTGTGATGTGTAAAAATGTAATATTCTCTCGTTTATATTGATACATCTACTTTAATATATAAGAACTTCTATATCTCAGAAAACATTGACTTGACATTTTACATTATTTTCAGCATTTATACAATATACAATATAGACAAGTCAGAGTTCTAATGAAGATCGTTTTTCATCATGAAAGGAAGGCACAGGAATAAGAATCAAGAAAAGAGAACAGTCGTTTATATAATTCATCAGGATGACTTTATTTTCAATTCATCGAGGCAATTTGTTTATTTTCAATACATAGTCGACTTCAAAAAAAAGGTATTTATTTTTAAAAATTTCTTAATTTTTAATAAAAACAAAAGTTTATTTGCTTCATAAAATATTAAATTTAATACAGATATTTCTAAATTTTGTTTTATTGAAACGAGTTGAAAAAATGAAAATTGAAAACCAGTAAAGTTAATTTAATTTAATTAAAATGAGTGTTTTTAAATTTAAATACAAATTCGAGCCAAATGTAGTTAATTATTGCATTGAGAAACTTAATTTAAAATATGACATTTATTTTAGCCTATAATTAATAATAAAATATATCAAAATGTCATTCAATAATTTCTAAAAACAATTTTTGAAAAATTAAACAAAAATAATAATATAATATTAAATTTATTATTAATCTTTTTTCAAAAAAAATACAAACAAAAAAAATTTATTTCCTTCAAATAATTGATTTAATATTAAGTATTTTTAAATTAAAATATTAAATTAAATTTACATATATTTTATTTTAATAATTTCATTAAATAAAATTTTATTTCATTGTTTCCAATAATAATTATTTATTATGCTAATATAATGGAATACATTTTTTAAAAATAAATTTTCCAAAGTTTAAAATAGACAAAAAAATCTTTACTAATTTTTATTTTTTACAATAACAAATAGTGGATTTTTTTTTTCAATATAAAAAGAAACTAAAAATAAATACAATTTAATTTTATGAAGAAAAATTCCCATACAGTGTTTATAAAGTTAATAATTAAAAATATGTATTTTAAAAGAAAAAAAAAAACAATTTAAGAGAAAATGAAATGAATTATATAAAAAAAAAAATAGGGGAAATTAATTTTTTCTGTTCAAGGGGCACCGAATGAAAATAGTTACGCTACTGTGTCGATTCCACAGTTTCCCCTCTAACCCTTCAGCCATCTTGAGCAGCCACACCATTGGGGCTCTCATTCTCTTTCTCTCTCTCTTTCTCCTCCCCCCCACCTCATCTACTTCACTCCATCATGATCCCGAAATTCCCCACCATGAGGCGAACGCTGATAGGCGGAATCGCTTCTCTCGAGTAGACTCGCTTCGCTCTCCTCCAATATCCCCCTCTCCATGACTCTCACAATGTCTGGCCGGCGAGCCATTCTATGCTCCCGCCACGGTGACGTCACTCTGAGTAGTGTAGTGCAGTGAGAAGGATGTACACTCCGTCCGTGTACATACCCAAGTGAAACGAAACAAAAATATATATATATATATACTTAAAAGTATATATACAGTGAAACCCAATTCTTGCAACACCAGTGTTTAAATTATAGTAAAAATTGCGAGAATATCCCGCGTGCATTTATTCCCCCCCCTCCGCCCTATTGATAAATGTGTGTCTATGCACATTAATACCAACCCCAACAAGTTATCAGTAATTCCCCCCTCCCCCTTCAAAACAGGATAACCTTAAAAAAAAATAAAAGTGTCTTCAATTCCAGTGATGTGAACTCGGTGCAAGTGGAAGAAACGAAACGTCACTGATTTGGAAAGCTTACGAGAGAGGGGGATTAAGAGCTCTAATAAATTTTTTTTCTCTCCTCTCTCTGTCTCTATATATAATTTTTTTTTTCCAAGTGTTTCTGGGTGCAAAAAAGAAAAACGTGATTGTTATTTTTTTTTTCTGGAACGAGGAGAAAGGTGGGAAAAATCGTGAGTGAGAAAAAAATGTTTTCGCGATTTGGAACGGGATGGGTAGATCCCAGGTGAATATCTCGTTGTGTCGACGAGTAAAGTGATTATTAAGTGCGGTGTAAGATGTGGTGTAGGGCGAAATATCTTCGCCTTCTTCTCCTCGTTGAAGCTGATAGTGGTGAATCCTGCAGTTTTTCAAACGCGGTGAAGTGTGATAACGAGCCACTTTTTGTCGTTGACCCTTGCAATCAACCCCCAATCAGGGGTCAACGATTTCAAAGCTAAGTGTTGTTGTTTTTTTTTTTTTTTGAAAGAAGAAAAGGAATTTGAGTTTTTTATCTCCCTTTTTTTTGTTTTTTTTTTTTTTTTTATTCTGTTCGGTGAGAAAAGAATTCGCGAGTAACGGTTTGCTCGCTCGCGAAAGCTTTGGGTTCTTCTGCCTCATGGCAATATTGAACCGGCGCTCGGAGACTCACTGAGAAAGAAAGAGAGGGTGTGTTTTGTTTCTTTTTGCTGTACCAAAAAGAAAATTTTTTGAGAAAAATAGAAAAGTTTAAAAGAAGAAGATTAAGTGAAGTGGTGTTTTTTTTTTGTGTGTGGAAGTCGCTTGTTAAATTACGGTCGAGTTGTGTGTCGTTGTACAGTGCCGCCAAACGATACCACAACATCCGATCCCAAATGAAGAGTTCGGAGCAAAATGGTTAGAGAGACACGTCACCTGTGGGTTGGAAATCTGCCGGAAAACGTCCGTGAGGATCGAATAAGAGAGCACTTCAAAAGGTGAGTTTTTGCACATTTTTTTTTTTTTTTGTATGTATTCAACATATTTTTGTCTTTACCGAATATTTTAATGGATATAGCAAATATTAAAAACAAAATTAACGAATTAATTAATTGGGCGTTAATTATTTTGAAAAATATATATTTTTTTTGTTATAAATTTGAGAAATAACTGGAGAATTTGTGTTTTTTTTTCTCTATAAATGTTTGGTAGGAAAATTTTTAGGACTTGTTAAATTTATTGCATAGGGTTTATGGAAGATTTCTCTTCATTGTGTAAAATATGGTCTGGGTGGTTTTTTTTTTTTACTCTTTTGTTCAAATTTTCTCCCATGGATTTATGAATTTTGGTTGAATTGCAGTCAAATCGAATAAAGGGCAATGTGACCCTGGAAATGTCAGGTACTTTCGGTTATATGGACCCTATCCTCCTACTTGGTCCATGATTGTAAATTTTCACAAAATATTATTCTGTTTCTTCTATTTTCAACTTGATTTTTTTCGTTTTCAACTTGCAGAATTTGTTTTAGAAAAAAATTATAAACTGTTTCCATATTTATTATTATTAATTTTTTTTTTAAATTAAAGTCGATTAGGAAAATTTGAATAATTTCCAAATGATAATATTAACCTGTTCTTTTAGTTTATATTAAGAATTATTAATTTATATTTAAAAGATATTTGAAATTATTATTGATTTTTTTTTTCTTATTTTTTAGTTGAGCGATATTTTTTTTTCTTTGTTAGTTATTTCGAATCTTGACAATTATTTTTGTTATTTATTATTCATCAAGTGTACACTTGTCATTTTCATGGAATTCGCGAAGAAAAAAAAATGAATGTCTCCTCTCGATGTTTTACAAAACGTTTTATGCGTCTTGTGAAACGTTTTCATTTATATCACGAAGCACAGAATTTATTTTATCAAATTCTTTCTTTAGTATGTCCATGAGAAAAAAAAACTTAATTCGTATTGTTTTCTTTTTTTAAAGATAAATTTAAAATGAACAGGTTTTAATGGATTCAATTGTTTTTTTTTCGAATACAAAAAATGAATAATAACAATAATAATAATGGCATTAAAACAAAAGAACTTTTAAAATTTTAACAATTGAAATTTAATGCTTTTAAAATATTACATTGTTTTTATATAATTTAAAAAAAATGTAAATATTTTATTTCTTATTGTAATTGTTATTAATTTATATTCAAAATTTGCTATAAACTAATATATATCATTAAAGTGTAAAAAATTTCCAATTAAAATTTAATTCCTTTTTATTTACACAAGTACAATACAATTTTGTTAACTGTATTATTTTTTTGGTTACATATAATTTAAATAAATTCTCTAATAATTGTAAAATATTGATTTTTAACACATTACTACGTATTGGAATATTTTATTGTTTTATTTTTAGTTTAAAATTTAATTTTTGATAATGTAACAAGGAAACAAAAAAATATCTATTATTTTTAATATTAAAATTATTATTATTATTGTTATTATATTGACATTCATTCATATAAAAATATCTAAGTTTTTAGGTATTTAATTTCTTTAATTTTATTTAAATTTATTACAAAATTAAAATTAAAAGAAATATATTTTTTTTATAGCAAAAAGTTGATGAAATTTTCGTTATCAGTGTAATTATTATTTTAGTTTTCTCAAAGAAAATCGAATATAGAAATGTAAAAAATTGTCGTCCCCTTCTTTTTTCTAGATTCGTTATATTTTTCATGTCACAAAGATTGGATAGAATAAAGAAATAGTGTTTTTCTTTATTATTAGTATTATTATTATTTTTTGTTGTGTTTTTTTTTTTTTTTTTTTTTTTGATGGGGCTCAAAGAGCCACAATGTTTTCAATACGAGGAGTAGACTCAACAACGAGGATTCTACACGTTCAGGGCCTTGGCTGTCTCTCCTCGTAGCGTGAGCAAGCCGACATTCGTTTTTTCCCGAAGTAATAATAGCTGAGGACAGCCATTTTGAGAGCTCGCGGCGGCACGAAGTTATTGTTCGACAGTGACACTCATTTTGAGGATCCATAGTTGTTTTAGAATATTTCTTTTAAATTTTTCCATGAAATTTCAATTAAATATAATGATATTAGTGTTGATAATGATTCTCACATCAAGACACTTTTTATTATGAAAAATTTACATTAAATTCTTGATGAAAATTTACTTTAAATGCAAATAAATGACAATAATTAATATATTATTCGAATTTTCTATTTTCTTCAGGATTTTTAAAATAAATTGGGGGGTTTTTTTTTCGATAGAGAGAAAATGTTGATTTATTTATAAAATTAAATTTTTTTTTTGTTTTAAGTTTGAGTCTTTCGATATTTGTTTCTGGAATTTTGTTTCCTTTTTTAATAAAAAATAATATAATTTTTTATTATAAATTATATTAATTATTTCTTAATTTTTTGGTCTTTTTTTTTGTTTTTTACATTCTCATTATAATGAAAATATTGATTTCACTTCTTTTTTTCTTATTCTTTCGAACTAAATGTAACGTTTTGAATTTTTTTTTCTTTTGCTTGAAATTGAATTATATGATTAATTAACGAATATCGAGTTGTGTTTTTTTTTTTTTTTTTTTTTTTTTTTTTTTTTGTACTTAAAGAATATTTTCAGTCAAGTCTTGTTTAGAATAGAAATGAGACGTTAGAGAAATTCAGGTAACACACCTTTTCAAGGATCAAACTCCCCAGGATTTTTTTAGTTTCCGTTAGAATTTAGGAATTGAATGCTCGACAAAAGTTGAAAACTAGAATTTTTTTTTGCCTTTTCTCAAAATCCTATTGAATTTACACAGAAATTTTCCATATTTGACAATATTTTTAAGAGAATTTTTTGGTAATTTTTTTTTGGCTTTTACATTAAGTGAATTTTTTAGTAATTTTTTTTTTTTTTGCTTTTAAATTAAGTGAATTTCAAATTTTGATATATTTCGAAATATTTTTGATTTTAAAAAGTGTTTTTCTATTTTTGTAATTTTTTTTTCATACTTAAAAGAAGGTGTGTTTAAATAACATAATATTGGAATAATTTTTATTCAAAGAAACTGATTATTGAAGCAACACTTTTTAAATTCGTGTGTTTGTTTACAATAATGTTTAATATCTACGTTTCCTTTTTTTTTTTTTTTTTTTGTTAAACAAATATTGACAAGCATGTGAAGGTTATGTGGAAATTCTTATAAATTTCTTTGAAAATATTGTCAAATGAAATTTTCTCAATAGATATTGAGAGTAATTTTTTGAAGTTATCGAATAGTGATTTTAAAAAAAATTGTATACCATTATGTTTAATTAATAAGAGAGAGAAAAAGAGAGTATTCATTAATAATAAAGTGAGTTGGTTTTATTTTCGAATTATTGTAATGGAAAATTTACGATTTAATTGAAAATAATATTAACGTCTTGTATCAAAAAGATGAAAATCCTTCCAGAATATAATATATTGAAGATCAAGGGAGCCATTTTGAGATCAAGGCGTTACGGAGTTATTGCTCGACAGTGACGATCAACTTGAAGCTCCCACAATTTTATACCCGAAATAATGAAATATTAAAAATTTCTTTTTATTAAAAAAAAAATATATATATTCATTATTGATAATGCTTAAGTTAACTTTTTTTTTATTCTTTGCAAGAGGATTTTGTGGAGCTTCATTCTAAAAGATTATATTAGATAATGTCTATCTCTCTCTCTCTTTTTCTCTCTTGGTAAAAGTAGATCTTTCAGGAAATATTCATTAATAGCAAGAAAGGGGACTAGGGATTATTATTCTTATCATTGAAATTTTCAATCTCAGTTCTTGAGGATCCATAAAAAAAAAAAAAATGAAAATCCGATCTTAAGCTTTATGAAAGACTTGAGCGAGAAAGAGAGACAGAGAGAAAGAGAAGCTAAAAGACTGGCTTGATATGATACAGAAGAGGGGGAAAGAGTGAGAGACAGGCTTGTGACGTAGTTCAGTGTCACTCAACTTGCGGCTACTGATTTTCTAAATCTTTTGTATTTAATACATAAAATTTTGTTTTTAATTTCATATAGAATTTATAGGTTTGCTTTTTTTTTCTCTCAATAATTTTCTCTTTTTGTCTCGTTAACTTATATGACTAATTTCATTGTAATTAACTTATAATTATCATTCAATGAATGGAAAAATGATTTTTAAGTCGTTTTTCTGAATTCTAATTTAAGGATTTTATTTCTTATAAAATTTCAGCTTTTTTTTTTGGTATTTAAAAAAAAAAAACTGAATTATTTTTTGTTGAGTTGGAAATTCCAAGATGGTGTTTATAATTCCCCACAGAATAGTGACTCATTAGCCACCCATTGAGCCTTGGATTTTAATTCTATTATTTAAAATTAAATCTTTATAAATAGAGGAACAAAATTTCCGAATATCTTAATCTTTAAATCAATGTTATAGTTTAAAAGGAACCTTAAATTTTTTCAGTTATATTTTCTTTTATATTTAGTTTGGAATTTAATTTTTCTAAAAGCAGTTATTAAAAATCAATTTAAATGGAATTGAAATTTAATTTTTATGTCCATTGTAATTTTCTAAGGATATGTATTTCTGATATTGTTTCTGAATGATTAATTAATGTTTAATTATTAGTTTTTCTTTTTTTTTAAATTGTGTATAGTGTATAATTTCTCGAGAGCTTTGTTAAATATTATGGGTGAGTGTTTCCAGGCCAGCTGGCAATTTCAAATTAGGGGAATACATGATACGTATCAGGAAACTTTTCTCTCTTCTTTGTTTCTTTGAATTTTGTTTTATTTTTAAATTCGGGAAGTTAGTTTCCTGAATTTACATTTGTTTTTAGATAATAATAATTGTAACAGGTTGTGTTCGATATTCAATGATGAAAATTAAAAAAGAATGCGCAATTTTTTTTTTTTAATTCATTTTGAAAAAAAAAATATATATATATTAATTTGTAATAATGTCGGAACTTTATTTTCT